ACAACAACAACAACAACAACAACAACAACAACAACAACAACAACAACAACAACAACAACAACAACAACAACAACAACAACAACAACAACAACAACAACAACAACAACAACAACAACAACAACAACAACAACAACAACAACAACAACAACAACAACAACAACAACAACAACAACAACAACAACAACAACAACAACAACAACAACAACAACAACAGCAATGTATGTTTTTTAGAATTCTCAAAAAACATACGATGAACGAAACAACAACAGCAACAGCAATCAGCGAACACAGCGCACCTGATCAGGTGGCTTTTGAGTCGACTCAGGAGCAGCTCACCTGATCGGGTGGTGTACCACCATCACCCAACCAGCCCTTGCCACCGGCAACCTTGCCCCCTCGTCCCCATCAACCGCCACAGCAAGCAAAAGCAGCCCACCTGATGGGGTGGTGCACCACCATCACCCCCGCGCCCCTTGCTGCCCGGTTCATGCCATCCCCATCCAAAGCCCTACCCACGCAACCAAAATGAGCAAAGGAGCCCACCGGATGGGGTGGTGCACCACCATCACCCCTGCGTCCCTTGCTGCATGCACCCTGGTCCAGTCCGCATCACAGTCCCTCTTTTTGCTGTAACGCCCCCAGTCAATCACCACAACCAGCAAAGGGAGCTCACCTGATGGGGTGGTGCACTACCATCACCCCCGCGTCCCTTGCTGCTCTGTTCATGCCATCCACGTCCACCGCCCAGTTGAGCTTCTCTGTTGCTCGCTGCAGGTCCAGCACTGCTGTTGTGCTCTGAGGAGAGATGGTGGAGGGGGTAAGGGTGGGAGGGGTTATGAAGACCATGTGATGGGCAGGGCAGCCAATATATGCCATCCACGTCTACCGCCCAGTTGAGCTTCTCTGTGGCTCGCTGCAGGTCCAGCACTGCTGTCTTGCCCTGATGTCGGATGGTAGAGTGGGTAAAGAAAAAATACGGAGAGTGTGTGAAGGGGAGATTTACCAAGGGGTGGAAATGGGGAAGAGTGGGGAAGGGCGTGAAAGACCCCTCTGTAACTTCATCCACGTCCACCGCCCAGTTGAGCTTCTCTGTTGCTCGCTGCAGGTCCAGCACTGCTGTCGTGCCCTGAGGTAAGATGAGCTCAATAATTCCCTTCAGAAATAAAGACTGGTATGGCAGTGCAGTGGCTGTGCAGCGGGAAAACATTACCATAACACAGGCCAGAAAGAAGAGAAGGGGCGCACACAGGGAAGAGGGGCGAATAGAGGGGTGGAGCGTCGTATAGAGGAGTGGGGGGCGTGTAGAGGGGTGGAGGGGCGTATAGAGGGGTGGAGGGGTGTTTAGAAAGCAGGGGGAGGGGCGTATAAAGAGGGGGGTGGGGTGTATAGAGAGCAAGGGGAGGGGGGACGCACCAGCCTTTGGTGCGCGGAGGTGATATCTTCTGGGCACAAAAGTGCTGCTCCAAACGCCAGATGCTCTGATACCTGTGGGATGTTCATGACACGGGGCGACCAAGAGAACATGAAGGGTAGAAGGAGGGGAGAAGAAAGGAAGGAGGGAGGGAGCTTCTGGGCATAGGAGTGCTGCTCCAAACGCCAGATGCTCTGATACCTGGTGGAGGTGAGGATGGTGAATGGGGGACGTTGCATAGGAGGGCGGAAGAAAGCCAAGGGACGTCGCATTGGAGGTGAGGACATCTGTGCGTGAGTGGGCGGGTGAATCAGCTTACAATGATTGTGGTGATTGAAAGCCCCCACGATCTGCACTAAAGTAACAGCATACACGCCATTCTGTCTTGCTTGAATGTGACACACGTATGCACACCTTCCCTCACCTGTGTGTGGGTGGGCGAATGCAGCAGCTCAAATCTTGAGTCCCCCATGCCTCTCGTATACACCTCCACAAATTCATCCACCCGCCCCACCCCAAGCCCCCACAAGCTGTGTCTAAGCAAGACTGCACACACACCACGTACATCACACAAACAAATCTACCTCACCTGCGTGTGGGTGGGCGAATGCAGCGGCTCGAACCGCGAATCCCCCACACCTCTCGTATACGCCTCCACAAATTCATCCACCCGCCCCACCCCAAGCCCCCACCACTTTCCCTCCCCCTCCACTCCCCCATCCTTTCCAGAGGAAGCATCCCAGAAACCGCGCTCTGGCCACTGCCAATCCGCGTCCTTCCGACCCTGCTGCTTCCCCTCCCCGTACCACTCTTCCCTCTCACCCTCCCCCTCCTCATCCCTGACCCTTTCGTCCCTATCACCCCTCATACCCTCCTCGTCGCTTTCCCTTTCCTCCTCTCCCCTTCCCCCTCTCATAGCTGCTGCAAGCGCTGCTGCTGCCTCTGCTGCTTGCGCCCAATCCGCCCCATCCTCCTCCTCCTCCTCATCTCCGTTCCTCTCTTCAACCTCCTCCCCTGTCCTCTCTTCCTTCTCCTCTATTCTCTCCAGGCCCTCATCCCCTTGCTCGATCTTCTCTTGGCTTGCTACTTGAGCCGCAGTTCCCATAGCTGGGGACGCACCTGGCCCATTGTCACCCGAGCCAGCCTCACCTGCCCCAGCCCCACCTCCCCCAGCCTCACCTGCCCCAGCCCCACCTCCCCCATCCTCATTACTTGAGCTCGCTTCCCTGCCAGAAGCCCTCTCTTCTGCCAGGCCTCCTTCCCTTCCAACCATTTCATCAGCATCGATGGAGAGGGTGCCCTGGGTTTCAGAGGCTTGGGCTTCAGCTGCTCGACTTTCCGAACCTTCACCCGAACCTGTCGCCTCCTGCTCACCAGACCTCTCATCAGCTCCGGAATCCGGACCTGAATCCGAGCCAGACACAAGCTTCCCCTCAAAGAATGGAAATAAGATCCACTCTGGTTCCGCCTGTGCTTGCTCCACCCGCTCCTTCCCCGCTCCTCCCTCTCCTTTCCCCGCTCCTCCCTCTCCTTTCCCCTTTCCTGCCTTCCTCTTCCTACCCCACAAAGTGCCTCCTACTATCGCCCTCACACCTCTCCCTCCTGGTTTCCGTGGCCCCCCTTCCTTCTCCCCTTCTCCATCTCCCATCTCCTCATCTACCCTGTTCTCCCCTTCTCCGTCTCCCATGCCCCCATCCCCATCTGCACTCCTCTCCACCTCTCCACTCAACACCACATCCTTCTTCCCCCCTCCTTCTGCAAAACCCACTCTCTCCACCTTACCTCGGTCTTCCGTCTTCCCCCCATCATCCACCTTCCCCTCATCTTCCACCTTTCTCCCATCCTCCCCACGCCCCTCCCCTTCCCTCGCTTCCACTACCTCTGCTTCTCCCACATGCTGGATCACTACAGGCTCGGTAACGTCTGCAGGCATCCCATCCCTTTGCTCTTCCTCTCTTCCTGCTGCGACCACCACCCCCACTGATTCCTCTGCCTGTTTTCCCTCTTTCACTCTCACCCCTCCTCTCATTTCTCCTTCGCCACCACCACCATCACTACCATTCCCTTGCTCTTGACTTGGCCCGGACACACCCTTTCCCTCCTCTTCCTTCCTCCCCTCACTCCCCTCCCTCGTCCCTTCCTCCACCCTCCCCTCCCCTTGTCCCTGTTCCCCACCCCACTCCCTCCTCTCTCTCCTCCTCTCCCCATGTGGCCTTAGCTCAGAAAACGACACAAGACCCACCCGCCCCACTCCCCCCCTCATGAACAGCGTCCGTGTTGACATGGCGCTGCTCGCACAGTACCGCGGCCAGCTGGACGGGTGGTGCCACGTGGCAGCTGCTGAGCGGCCGGGGTTGTCGGAGTGGAGAGGGTGGGAGAGGATGATGCGTTGGGTGGTGGGAGCTTGAAGAACTCTCTCTAGCACGAACGTGCAAGGGCCCTTACCCTCCTCTATTGCATTTCTGTAGGGGAGAGGGAAGGGGGAGAGAAGGGGCAGGCGGAGGATAGCAGGACTTGAAGAATGATGGGATTATGTGCTGCCTGGGTGGTGAGGTGAGGGCGTGTAAGGCTCGCTCTAGCACGGACGTGCAAGGGGCCTTGCCCTCCTTGACTGCGGTTCTGTAAGGATGGGATTTGGTGGGGGCAGGGGGACACAGGCAGAGAGGGACGAGTTTGAACGAGCTGTAGAGGAGAGGAGAGGATAACGATGGGATAATGTGCTGTGCTGCCTAGGTGACTTTTGAGTTGACTCAAAAGCCATGGGATAATGTGCTGCCTAGGTGACTTTTGAGTCGACTCAAAAGCCATGGGATAATGTGCTGCCTAGGTGACTTTTGAGTCGACTCAAAAGCCATGGGATAATGTGCTGCCTAGGTGACTTTTGAGTCGACTCAAAAGCCATGGGATAATGTGCTGTGCTGCCTAGGTAACTTTTGAGTCGACTCAAAAGCCATGGGATAATGTGCTGCCTAGGTGACTTTTGAGTCGACTCAAAAGCCATGGGATAATGTGCTGCCTAGGTGACTTTTGAGTCGACTCAAAAGCCATGGGATAATGTGCTGCCTAGGTGACTTTTGAGTCGACTCAAAAGCCATGGGATAATGTGCTGCCTAGGTGACTTTTGAGTCGACTCAAAAGCCATGGGATAATGTGCTGCCTAGGTGACTTTTGAGTCGACTCAAAAGCCATGGGATAATGTGCTGTGCTGCCTAGGTGACTTTTGAGTCGACTCAAAAGCCATGGGATAATGTGCTGCCTAGGTGACTTTTGAGTCGACTCAAAAGCCATGGGATAATGTGCTGCCTAGGTGACTTTTGAGTCGACTCAAAAGCCATGGGATAATGTGCTGCCTAGGTGACTTTTGAGTCGACTCAAAAGCCATGGGATAATGTGCTGCCTAGGTGACTTTTGAGTCGACTCAAAAGCCATGGGATAATGTGCTGCCTAGGTGACTTTTGAGTCGACTCAAAAGCCATGGGATAATGTGCTGCCTAGGTGACTTTTGAGTCGACTCAAAAGCCATGGGATAATGTGCTGCCTAGGTGGTGAGGCCATGCAGGGCTCGCTCAAGAACGAGCATGCGGGGGTCGTTGCGCTCCTCTTTTTGAGGCGCCTCGAAAAACGAACATGCGGGGGTCGTTGCGCTCCTCTTTTTGAGGCGCCTCGAAAAACGAACATGCGGGGGTCGTTGCGCTCCTCGATTGCTCTTCTGCGGGATTGAGAGATGGAGGTACACACACACATACACGAGCACATTGAGACACGCATAATTCGTATATATGTTCACACACACTTACACGAGCACATTGAGACACGCATAATTCGTATATATGTTCACACACACATACACGAGCACATTGAGACACGCATAATTCGTATATATGTTCACACACACATACACGAGCACATTGAGACACGCATAATTCGTAGATGTGTTCACACACACACACACACACACGAGCACATTGAGACACGCATAATTCGTATATATGTTCACACACACATACACGAGCACATTGAGACACGCATAATTCGTATATATGTTCACACACACTTACACGAGCACATTGAGACACGCATAATTCGTATATATGTTCACACACACATACACGAGCACATTGAGACACACATAATTCGTATATATGTTCACACACACATACACGAGCACATTGAGACACGCATAATTCGTATATATGTTCACACACACATACACGAGCACATTGAGACACGCATAATTCGTATATATGTTCACACACACATACACGAGCACATTGAGACACGCATAATTCGTAGATGTGTTCACACACACACACACACGAGCACATTGAGACACGCATAATTCGTATATATGTTCACACACACACACACGAGCACATTGAGACACGCATAATTCGTATATATGTTCACACACACATACACGAGCACATTGAGACACGCATAATTCGTATATATGTTCACACACACATACACGAGCACATTGAGACACGCATAATTCGTATATATGTTCACACACACATACACGAGCACATTGAGACACGCATAATTCGTATATATGTTCACACACACTTACACGAGCACATTGAGACACGCATAATTCGTATATATGTTCACACACACATACACGAGCACATTGAGACACGCATAATTCGTATATATGTTCACACACACATACACGAGCACATTGAGACACGCATAATTCGTAGATGTGTTCACACACACACACACACACACACACGAGCACATTGAGACACGCATAATTCGTATACATGTTCACACACACATACACGAGCACATTGAGACACGCATAATTCGTATATATGTTCACACACACTTACACGAGCACATTGAGACACGCATAATTCGTATATATGTTCACACACACATACACGAGCACATTGAGACACGCATAATTCGTATATATGTTCACACACACATACACGAGCACATTGAGACACGCATAATTCGTAGATATGTTCACACACACTTACACGAGCACATTGAGACACGCATAATTCGTATATATGTTCACACACACTTACACGAGCACATTGAGACACGCATAATTCGTATATATGTTCACACACACATACACGAGCACATTGAGACACGCATAATTCGTATATATGTTCACACACACATACACGAGCACATTGAGACACGCATAATTCGTAGATGTGTTCACACACACACACACACACACACACGAGCACATTGAGACACGCATAATTCGTATATATGTTCACACACACATACACGAGCACATTGAGACACGCATAATTCGTATATATGTTCACACACACATACACGAGCACATTGAGACACGCATAATTCGTATATATGTTCACACACACATAAACGAGCACATTGAGACACGCATAATTCGTATATATGTTCACACACACTTACACGAGCACATTGAGACACGCATAATTCGTATATATGTTCACACACACATACACGAGCACATTGAGACACGCATAATTCGTATATATGTTCACACACACATACACGAGCACATTGAGACACGCATAATTCGTAGATGTGTTCACACACACACACACACACACACACGAGCACATTGAGACACGCATAATTCGTATACATGTTCACACACACATACACGAGCACATTGAGACACGCATAATTCGTATATATGTTCACACACACTTACACGAGCACATTGAGACACGCATAATTCGTATATATGTTCACACACACATACACGAGCACATTGAGACACGCATAATTCGTATATATGTTCACACACACATACACGAGCACATTGAGACACGCATAATTCGTAGATATGTTCACACACACTTACACGAGCACATTGAGACACGCATAATTCGTATATATGTTCACACACACTTACACGAGCACATTGAGACACGCATAATTCGTATATATGTTCACACACACATACACGAGCACATTGAGACACGCATAATTCGTATATATGTTCACACACACATACACGAGCACATTGAGACACACATAATTCGTATATATGTTCACACACACATACACGAGCACATTGAGACACGCATAATTCGTATATATGTTCACACACACATACACGAGCACATTGAGACACGCATAATTCGTATATATGTTCACACACACATACACGAGCACATTGAGACACGCATAATTCGTAGATATGTTCACACACACTTACACGAGCACATTGAGACACGCATAATTCGTATATATGTTCACACACACTTACACGAGCACATTGAGACACGCATAATTCGTATATATGTTCACACACACATACACGAGCACATTGAGACACGCATAATTCGTATATATGTTCACACACACATACACGAGCACATTGAGACACACATAATTCGTATATATGTTCACACACACATACACGAGCACATTGAGACACGCATAATTCGTATATATGTTCACACACACATACACGAGCACATTGAGACACGCATGATTCGTAGATGTGTTCACACACACACACACACGAGCACATTGAGACACGCATAATTCGTATACATGTTCACACACACATACACGAGCACATTGAGACACGCATAATTCGTATATATGTTCACACACACTTACACGAGCACATTGAGACACGCATAATTCGTATATATGTTCACACACACATACACGAGCACATTGAGACACGCATAATTCGTATATATGTTCACACACACATACACGAGCACATTGAGACACGCATAATTCGTATATATGTTCACACACACTTACACGAGCGATTGAAGGTCAATAACCCGAGTGAGCGGCGTGCCTTGAGCCACAGACACCTGTCGCACCACATCCCCCACCATCACCATCTGCCCGCCCTTCAACTTTTGGGGCGCCTCAAAAGACGCGATACATACACGAGGGATGGAAGGTCGATGAATCGAGTGAGCGGCGTGCCTTGAGCCACAGACACCTGTCGCACCACGTCCCCCACCATCACCATCTGCCCGCCCTCCAACTTTTGGGGCGCCTCAAAAGACGCGATACATACACGAGGGATGGAAGGTCGATGACTCGAGTGAGCGGCGTGCCTTGAGCCACAGACACCTGTCGCACCACATCCCCCACCATCACCATCTGCCCGCCCTCCAACTTTTGGGGCGCCTCAAAAGACGTGATACATACACGAGGGATGGAAGGTCGATGACTCGAGTGAGCGGCGTGCCTTGAGCCACAGACACCTGTCGCACCACATCCCCCACCATCACCATCTGCCCGCGCTCCGCGTTCCCCTGATACAACCGCATTCACCAAGAACGAAACGGTCAGATCATATAAACCACCTGATACAGTAACATACTGAAGCGAACTCGCGTCAGTCACTTTCGTTCCCTCACAAATTCTCTTACCAGTGTGGTTATCCCTTCCCCTGTACGTACCTTCTCCTGTAGTGCTTCGACATAAACTGCTCCACTATCCGTCTGGGAGAACCAGATTCCCAGCGGCTTCTCTATAGTCACCATGTACTCATTCAGATTGAATTTGTACCGCCCGTCCCTCGCTGCAGTCACACCCCCGCCCTCACTCTCCCCCTCGCGAGCCCACCCGCGCCGCCGCGTCTCCAGCAGCCGCCACGTGTCCCCTCGTCGAGTCTGGTTCCCGCCAATGAAACTCCATCGTGGTCGAATCCCCTTGGGAATACCGTTTCCAAGAGAGAGTGGTTCAAGAGGTTCCCGTTTGAAAGCAGACGTTGAGAGGGGGGTTACCACATGGAGCCGTGTTCCTGACGTGACACTACAAACCGAATCTTTTGAAGTCTTTCTCGAGTTCAATATTCCCGACGGCCGTGTCGACTGTAGTATTTCGGGTTTCGAGCCTCCGGAAAACACTATAGAGCGTCCGGATGCCAAGGAGAAACTGGATGAAGAATCGAAAGAACGCGGGATTGCTATAAGCGGACGTGCTAGCGAATCACAACTCGACCAGGAGTTATCAACAATGGACCCGCAGGCAGGAGTCACGGCAGAAGCTGCCATGGGTTTCACTGATATCGACCCTGTTCCATACCCGATATAATAGTCAGGAAGCCTTTATAGCACGTGACGCATAACCAAGGTAAATGAAGGTTACGCGTAAACGGCTCGAGGGATGCGCACGAGAGTTTCAACGGAAAAGAAATACACCTAGCCACCGCTATTTTCAACTTCTGACCTTGGCACTGTTCCCGATTTTCATGTAATCCCTGCCCAGCTTTTGGGGTTTTCTGTTAGAAACCTCGTTATAGGGGACTATGAATGACATCAAATGGAGATTTCAATCGGGCGAGTGTAAGACAATTTCGGCTCGTGTGGAGTCTGCTTGTTGTTGCGCATCCCATTGCGTAGCTTTCAGGAGTCAGGAACTAACTCTGCGTAGAGCGTATGACGTCCGACACAACCCTCGGTCAAAAACGTTTTGAAGGGTGCCTACCCCTTTGCACACGTGGGGGTTGAAGATAGACCGAAAGAAAATAGCGGTGGTTAGGTGTAGTTTCCCAAGAGATCCCCTACCGTCTCAACAACGGCATTGTCCGTTCGTCTGTTTGTCCAGCCGCCTGTTAGACTAGAATGCGCAACCCAAATTAGCATCCAAAATGGCCTTGCCCTGAGTATTTCAAGCTAGCCAGAAAAATAGGCCAAACTGTCTCGTTTCGTCAATCCCGAGGGCGTGTGACATGGTCGGAATCCTAGGGAGTGTCCTTGTGGCAATACAATGTACGAAAAGCCGCGCGAAACGCTCGGATACCTCCGAAATCATTGCCATCCGTTTGACGCTGTCGCAACTCAAGCGGAACAGGGTATCCCGGGTTACGAGGATCACATTTTCTGTCAGCCCGCTTCACCTCTTGTGAAATCCTCGTACGGTAATACATGCAACAAGCTTGGCGGCTTGGTGATGTGAACAGCTGGCAACACTAGACGGTTTCTCCTCACCTCAACACCTGCCATATAACCTGGAAAATAGGATCTCTTACAATGCTCCATAACAACATCAGTCAACTCAATGGACATATGAAGCCTTAAATGCAACAGCACATTTGTCCTTCGAGCATTACAGAACCACTGTTTGTAGTCAGTTGTCAGTTGGGACAAATGACACGACGTGACCATGTGTTATCTGCCAGCTCCTTCCTTCTCCTCCACTGTCTCATCTCCCTTCTCCACCCCTGCTGCTGGTTGAGTGGTCGCCTCCCCGTCTGGAGCAGAAGAAGGGGCACCAGAAACCGCAGCAGCAGTAGATGCCGCAGCATCGGAGGCAGCTTCACCAACAGGGGCATCAGCAGAAATTGCAGGGGTGGAGTCGTCAATCGCCTCTAGGAAAGAAACAACCCCATACCCATCTGAGCACACAGGGAGAGAGAGAGGCGAAACATGCTTGTTTCCTCCATTTATCAGTTAGCTCTGAACAAACACTGCATTGGACTAGACAGCATCTTGGCAGGGACAGGATGGGAAGGAATAACACTGATGTCAATCGGATGGCAGACGGATGTCAAATGGATGCAAATGGTTTCATGACCCATTTCAACGGACACCAATAAGACTCCGCAAACTGCTTACAGTTGTTCACATAAATCCCATACTGACATGACTTGCAAGTCGACTCAAAAGTAAATTTGAGTTGACTCAGAAGTAATCTCGTTACAATGTCACACAAAGTTTTTTCTACAAGAACTTACACTTGTTCACATCGATGCCAAACTGCAAGAGGTCAATCTTCCCAGCAAGCAACACCTGCCATGGAGGTATGGAGGTTGAGAGGGAGGACGTGAACAGACTTGAAGAGCAACAGTCAGGAAGTTGGGATGGGAAGCCGGTGTACTTGCAGGCATGTGCGCTATTTGTGTGTGCATGCGCGCGCGTGTGTGTGTGTGTGCGCGCGCGCGCGTATGTGTGTGTGTGTGTGCGTGCGCATGTGTGTGTGTGCGTGTGTGCATGTGTGTGTGCATGTGTGTGTGCATGTGTGTGTGTATGGCGCGAGGCTAGTTAGATGGAAAAAAAATGAGGTGACGAGCATTCTGTACCCCAGACACGCTTCTGCTTCACGCTTCTGCTGGATCAGCAGGCATGTCCGGTGGGTGTGTGGATGTCTGGCATGTGTATAAGACTGTGTGGTGTGCGTGTGAGTGCGATGTATGTGCACTGCGAGTGCGGCGGGGGTGCATACATGTTCCACTGCGTGGGTACCTCAGAAAACGCTTCCAGCTGCTGTTGAAACTGCGGGCTCAGCACCAATTGCCGCATATCTTCTGGTTTCCTCAGTTCCTGTTTATTGGGGAGAGACAGAGGACGGGTTGAGAAGAAGAACAGCTGACCTCTGGAAACGCTTCCAGCTGCTGCTGAAACTGCGGGCTCAGCACCAACTGCCGCATGTCTTCTGGTTTCCTCAGCTCCTGTTTATTGGGAAGAGAGCAGTCACGCAGCGGTGCAGGGATACATATAGATGTAAGCATTTTGAGGCCTCAAACTTTCTGAGGCGCCCCAAAAATCATATCTTCCGCCTTTCTCAGCTCCTGTTTATCGGGAAGAAAGCAGTCAGGCAGTGGTACATGGATGCATATAGATGCAAGCAGCAGCAGGCTTTTCAAGCACAGCAGAAGAGAGCAAGTGAGTGAGCACGAGAGAGCAAGAGCGCTACAGCTATCAGACTTCGAACACAGCAGGCAGGGGTTTCAAGATGTCGCAAACATAGAGACAAAATGGGGTTTGAGACAGGCTCAACACGGGTTTAGAGAAGCGACAGTACGTACAGGTGGGAGGAACTCGGCCAGTCTCTGCTGTACTGTGCCATCACTGAGAGTGCTCATCATAACCTCAGGCTTGAGAATGTCCGTGAGCTTCATGCTCCTAGCTCGCACTGCATGCACACATGAAGGGATGCACAGTCCTTACACTCACAGCACACAGTTTCAAGAAGGGAAGGGCCGATCGAACGAGCACACCCAGTGCCCGACATCATCGGCCGTAGTTTTTTTCCTCGCCCTTGCACATTGCTACTTACGACGAGTCACCACCTTCGAAAGCAGTCAAACTCAACATTTGCCAACTGAGCTTGATAATCCATCATGATAGATTATCAAACCCAGTTGTAAAATGTTGAGTATAATGGCCTTTAAAAGTGGTGACTCGCAGTGACTAGCAATGTGCAAGGGCGAGGAAAAGAACTTAGGCCAATGATGTCGGGCACTGGGTGTGCTCGTTCGACGGGCACGCTTTTCATTCATGGTGTGGCGGTACTTGTATTTGACCCTGACATACCAGAATGCTCTGCAGCTGCCCCAATCGCACCAGCTGCCCTAGATGTACTAGGCTACCAAGCACTTGCGCCGGGAGGAGGGTTGAGACAGGAAAGAGTTTGTCATTCCACTCACAGTGTTGCGGCACTTGTATTTGGCCTAGACCCGCCAGAATGCTTTGCAGCTGCGCCAACTGCACCGGTCCCCCAACTCTTCCACCAGCACCAGCACCAGCAGAAGCAGCACCAGGAGCAGTAGCAGCAGCAGCAGCAGCAGCAGCAGCAGCAGGAGGAGGAGGAGCACCAGCAGCACTGCCAGCGCCACCGACACCCAGAGTTCCACCTGCTGCTGATCCGCCTCCTCCCGCATTGCCTCTCAGCTCACCAAGACCGGACGCCCCTTGTGACCCGGCTGGCACGGCACCACTTTTGCCAGCTGGTCTGCGGGGCGAGAAGGGCAAGGGAGGGCAGGGACGAAATACAAGAGATGAGAGGCAAGTGGTAATGCCACTTATGATGATTCTATACAGGGATGACATCCCATCCAACCTGCCGTAAGCTGGTGGCTGACACTCCTGCACATGCAGTGGGGACGGTTCCCCCCACACGTATACCTCGGCTGCTGCGTCGTACCAGGCGTCATAACCTGGCAGCTGTCCCCATCGTTATGCATTTCCGCCTCCCCCATAAGACTCCCCCCCCGCCCCCCCCCCCCCCTCCCCCGCACGCAAAGGGAAGAAAAAAACGGAAAGTGCTTTCTAGCACCTACCTGGGCTGCTGTGCTGCCGCAGGCGCCTGTCCTGTGATCTAGTAGCTGTCCCCGTCATCATGCATATCTGCCTCCCCTTAGTGGCCTTCCTCCCCCACATGCAAAAAGCCCCCCCAGAGCCATACCTGGGCTGCTGTGTTGCTGAAGGTACAGGCGCCAGAATCTGGTGGCTGTCCCCGTCATCATGCATATCCGCCTCCCCCAAATGACCCTCCTCGTTCTCCGCGAAAGCATCGGCTTCAGAGTCCATCATTGCTGCATCCAGCACTCTATCGTCCTCCTCCAATAGCCCTGCGTGCATACATCAACCCACATTGGATTGGAACACACGGGTGAATACATGTGAATACATGTGCCCCCTTGATACCAAGAGCATTGGCTTCAGAGTCCATCATTGCTGCATCCAGCACTCTATCGTCCTCCTCCAATAGCCCTGCGTGCATACATCAACCCACATTGGATTGGAACACACGGGTGAATACATGTGAATACATGTGCCCCCTTGATACCAAGAGCATTGGCTTCAGAGTCCATCATTGCTGCATCCAGCACTCTATCGTCCTCCTCCAATAGCCCTGCGTGCATACATCAACCCACATTGGATTGGAACACACGGGTGAATACATGTGAATACATGTGCCCCCTTGATACCAAGAGCATTGGCTTCAGAGTCCATCATTGCTGCATCCAACACCCGGTCGTCTTCCTCTAGCAGCCCTGTGATCGGGCATGGAAAGGTGTCAGAACAAACATTGCATTGAAACACACAGGTGAATAAATGTGTCCCCACACACAAGAGCATCGGCTTCAGAGTCCATCATTGCTGCATCCAGCACTCTATCGTGTCGTGCATACTTTATGATTGAAACACACAGGCGCATACAGGCGAATACATGTGGATTCATGTGCAAACATGTGCATACGTGTGCCCAATACTCACGAGCATTGGCCTCGCAACACACGTGCACACACACACACGAGGGAGAACGGCAACTGGCCAACACCGACTTCGGAGCAATGGTGCTCATCGTCACGTGCCGTTTGCTTCTTGCCCTTTTATGACAAACATCATTCGGGTTGGAATCCACAACCAGCAGAGGAAGGCGAACGAAGCGAAGAGGAACGGCAGCTGGCCAAGCGACTTACAAGCTTCATTCAGTATCCGGTTGACTTCGGAGCAATGGTGCTCGTCATTGTGTGCCTTGGGCTCCTGAGGGAATAGTGAAGCGAGGATGGTGGAATGAGGGACGGACGGGTGGCATGCAAGTTGACGCTCAAACTGACTCACAAAGAACAGATTAACTCATAATATAGGTGAATACCAGTTTTACTTCACCCTTGTAAAAAATTGAAAGCACCAGAAGAAGGGCCTGAAAGATCCTGGAGAAGTAAAAAAGATAGAACCCTATTTTTGTGTGTGTGTGTATGTATGTGTGTGTGTGTGTGTGTGTGTGTGCGCGCGTGTGTGCGTGTGTGCGTGTGTGCGTGTGTGTGTGTGTGTTTTAATCCTTCCATCAGAATCTATAAGTTTCTTGAAAAGCAATCAAGCCCACCTGCATCCAGAAGAAGAGCTTGCGGTCGTCTTCATTGAAGGAGAGCACGTACACTCGCCCACTGGACTGAGCCACCTGGAGAGGTGGACGGAGAGAAGTGCATCAGGTATGGACACTTCGAGTTGGCACAGAAATCATCTCAGAAGAGCACGAACACGTGCTCACATCACTACCAGGTGATGTAAGCGAATGATCCAGTGTTGAGGGGACTTGGACCTCGCTAAAACGAGTCATGGCAACACAGTGTACAACACAAAGCCAGACTCGAACCCCAGCCCAGCTTACCTTTTCAAATTTAGCTTCATCTGGAAACACCACCATGATCCCTCCCACGGCTGGGTGCTGCGATCTACTGCTGTAAGACCTCAAGGCAAGACAACCCAACACACCACAACAACCAGCCAGACTTCAAAACCCAGCTTACCTTTTCAAATGTAGCTTCGTCTGGAAACACCACCATGACCCCTCCCACGGCTGGGTGCTGCGATCTACTGCTGTAAGACCTCAAGGCAAGACAACCCAACACACCACAACAACCAGCCAGACTTCAAAACCCAGCTTACCTTTTCAAATGTAGCTTCATCTGGAAACACCACCATGATCCCTCCCACGGCTGGGTGCTGCGATCTGCTGCTGTAAGACCTCAAGGCAAGACAACCCAACACACCACAACAACCAGCCAGACTTCAAAACCCAGCTTACCTTTTCAAATGTAGCTTCGTCTGGAAACACCACCATGATCCCTCCCACGACTGGGTGCTGCGATCTACTGCTGTAAGACCTCAAGGCAAGACAACCCAACACACCACAACAACCAGCCAGACTTCAAAACCCAGCTTACCTTTTCAAATGTAGCTTCGTCTGGAAACACCACCATGATCCCTCCCACGGCTGGGTGCTGCGATCTACTGCTGTAAGACCTCAAGGCAAGACAACCCAACACACCACAACAACCAGCCAGACTTCAAAACCCAGCTTACCTTTTCAAATGTAGCTTCGTCTGGAAACACCACCATGATCCCTCCCACGGCTGGGTGCTGCGATCTACTGCTGTAAGACCTCAACGCAAGACAACTCAACACACCACAACAACCAGCCAGACTTCAAAACCCAGCTTACCTTTTCAAATGTAGCTTCGTCTGGAAACACCACCATGACCCCTCCCACGGCTGGGTGCTGCGATCTACTGCTGTAAGACCTCAAGGCAAGACAACCCAACACACCACAACAACCAGCCAGACTTCAAAACCCAGCTTACCTTTTCAAATGTAGCTTCGTCTGGAAACACCACCATGACCCCTCCCACGGCTGGGTGCTGCGATCTACTGCTGTAAGACCTCAAGGCAAGACAACCCAACACACCACAACAACCAGCCAGACTTCAAAACCCAGCTTACCTTTTCAAATGTAGCTTCGTCTGGAAACACCACCATGACCCCTCCCACGGCTGGGTGCTGCGATCTACTGCTGTAAGACCTCAAGGCAAGACAACCCAACACACCACAACAACCAGCCAGACTTCAAACCCCCAGATTACCTTTTCAAATTTAGCTTCATCTGGAAACACCACCATGTCCTCCTCAACAGCTTGGGTGGTGCGATCCAGCCACTGCAGATGCAGCAGTAGGTCCTCCGTCTGTTGGGGGAAGCGGGGACAAGTCAAGCAGGGAGTGATGCAAGGGAGCAAATACAACAGTGGTGTAATCCAGCCACTGCAGATGCAGCAGTAGGTCCTCCGTCTGTTGGGGGAAGCGGGGACAAGTCAAGCAGGGAGTGATGCAAGGGAACGAATACAACAGTGGTGTAATCCAGCCACTGCAGAAGCAGCAGTAGGTCCTCCGTCTGGTGGAAAAAAGCGCAACATGACAAACAGGTAGTGAGACAAGGGAGAAAGACAACAGTGGTCCAGCCACTGCAGATGCGGCAATAGGTCCTCCGTTTAGTAGGGAATCGGGGAACAAGACAAGGAGGCGGTGAGGCAACGGAAAAGGTGTGATCCAGCCACTGCTGCAGGTGCAGATGTAAAACAACCTCTCTGCAACCCATTCAAACTTCCTTAACCCACTGAAACTCGCTCAAACTCGCTCAAACCTATTCGAACCCAGAGACCTTGAAATGACAGATCCAGTCGAAAATCAAACTGACGTTACAGGAAAAAGTGCACGACTTGATCCGTCCCATGCACAAAAACAAATTCCAGCAACAATTTCTGTGAATCTTGATACGACCCCGACACTGACCCTGATTAGTCGGAACAGGCCCTTGCGAGGGTCGGGTTTCACGGTGCTGCCGCTGACAGTCATCCTCCCAGCTCGAAACTCCAGTAGCACGTCACCGTCATTTGGTGCGTCGGTCTGTCAAAGCGAGGCGACCAAGAACCACACACGAACAGAGGATGGTGATTTTTGGGTCGACTCAAAAAGTTTCAAGGAGGAACTCCACGAGCACCACAACAACCCCGACACCCGACGACAACCCCAGGTCACGAAATCCTGGGGAAACAATGCAATCGCCAATTTGGTTGGGAATAAACGGGACCTTTGCGTCGACTCAGAAGGTACCCCTGCCAGGCCAAACCATCCAACAAGGGAAACCGACTAGTTTGGGGTACGATGGTCGAACCACCCAAGGCGTCGAAGGGCGACGCGCATCAGACGGATGGATGCATATCACAACAGAGAGTCACCATGGCGATTAGAATTCCAGACGGTGACGGATCCGTCAATCTTAGTAAGATCTATCTCATCGTACTGCAGACGGTGATGGATCCGTCAATCTTAGCAAGCTCTATCTCAGTGAAGCGTCAATTCAGGCACTTTCGCCAGTCAGCACGAATCCGCAGGGGATGGCGTGAGAGGAACGGAATTCGCGAGGCTTGCGTTATCGATCCTGGTGACAGTAGAACGTAGCAAAGGATAGGTGTGGATCGGGCGCAGACAGCCTGAATACGACAAGGCTTTTGAGCTGTACCTCCATATTGGAAAATCACGCTGGAGAAGACGCGTTGCGTGGTAGAAAAAGCAGTTGCACGCGGAAAGATGACACCTAGGCGGTTGAGAAAGGTCTCGCAAACAGACGTAACGAAAGATCGCGACGTGATCGACTTTTTTGTTCCGGAACAACTCAAGGACAGTTGATCTCTGTCCCTATTTGCCGCCTATTGTTCGTTCGCCCGTTGTCTGACCCACTATAGCTGATCACCTGTTGATCACTGTCTTAACCTTTCCCCTTAGCTATTGGAAGAAAAATAGGAGGTAGGTTAGCTTAGCGGCCTGAAAGCTCCAACCGTCGCGAACCTTGAAGCGTCTCCAGTGCGAAGCTTTGACGAGCAGGCGAGTGGGCTGGTAACGAAACAATATTGATGGTTACAGCGAGAGCAGTTTCCCTCCATCGGTGTGTCAGAACTGCTGGCCAAGAGTCAGAGAGTCTTCTTTCGCCGCTCGCGAATCGGGACTGCAATTTAGTACACTTTTCTGGCTTTTTTATGTCGCTAAGACTAAAATTTCGGTTTAACGTTAGGATGAAACATTCTGTATCGAGACACAGTGGGGGCATTTGTACTGTATGCGTCACACATGCAGAATGCAACCTGCCACGTTCCCCAGTGCACAAGCCAAGCGGCAGTTTGGAGGGAGAGCGTGGAAAGTCAGGAAGGTGCGGCACGAAAGTGGTTTGGTTTGGCGTGGACGAGGGCGACCATGATTGGCTGCTGGTACCTTGATCTTGCCCACAGCTGCGCTTCGTCCGTTACGTAGTTTCTCCCCGTTTTGTTCGGTGGCACCCATCCCAGCCGTTCCCCTCATCTTCGTCACCCCCTAAGCAATCTCAGCCGTTCCTATAGTCTTGTTTCTTCCAACCTTGACCATTGCGTTTTCTCCGTTTCTGAAACCTGACACAGCCTGTTCAAACGTAGTTCAAAGAGCGTATTCTGCCTCCGTAGGCCGAGGCCATTTAGAAGCTATTTGACCTACTACGGTCTAGGGAAACCAGAATCGTGGTCCCAATTTTCACGCGCTTTGTTTTGATTTACTTGCATTAGACTCGTAGTCTAGGTAAAACGTCCTCGCTTTGACGTACGCTAGACTTCAGCTATGCAGGCTGGATAATTAACTGTTGCCTAACTCGCTGAACAGACTTAGTCAGCGAAAATGGTACGTTAATTGCTTTCAGAACCTATTTCTCGCAACAGTTATTCTTTCCAGTTCTTTAACATGTTCTCTTATTCCTGATCGTGTAGGCCACGGCGAGCAACATAGTGGTGGGGTCGTACGTGTGGGTGGAGGACCCACAGAAGGCATGGATGCCGGCGGAAGTACTCGGAGTAGACAGCAAGACGGTTACAGTCAGGATTGGACGGAAAGAGGTCCGTATTTTAGTCAACTGTAAATGTTCCGACCCGTATTACGCCTGTGTCGAGACCATTGTTCTTGTTCCTACTGCCACGGTGCTGAGTACGCACAGCGCTGATCTTCTTTCCATTTTGAGGTTTCATGAGTCGCCAGTCTCGTTGTAGGCCTCATTCTGGCCGCATACCGACCTCACTGCATACAATCTTTACCGAACACAATCACTCTGGTTGAAGCTAATTCCACGTGCATCCCAAGGTCCCCGATTTTTCCTTCCGTTCAAGCCTGCGAAACTCATTCCCTCCCATTCCACCACAGGCCACGTTAAAGCTATCCCGACGCGCCGAGCTTCGAGCGGCGTTTTGACTTCTCTAACCATCCCTCCCATTCCACCGCAGGCCACCCTAAAGCTGTCCAACGTGCATCCCAAGGACCCCGACGTACCGAGCGGCGTTTTGAGTCTTCTCTAACCATCCCCCTCCCCTTCCACCGCAGGTCAACCTGAAGCTGTCCAACGTGCATCCCAAGGACCCCGACGCACCGAGCGGCGGAGTGGACGACATGACGAAGCTCGCGTACCTGCACGAGCCGGGCGTGCTCAGCAACCTCGCCACGAGATACAGCCTCGACGAGATCTATGTAAGGCCGTGCGGTCCAGAGTCGAATGGGTGTGAGACTGGTGTGTGAGGCAAGCTGGCTCAGCAACCTCGCCACGAGATACAGCCTCGACGAGATCTATGTAAGGCCGTGCGGTCCAGAGTCGAATGGGTGTGAGACTGGTGTGTGAGGCAAGCTGGCTCAGCAACCTCGCCACGAGATACAGCCTCGACGAGATCTATGTAAGGCACCAATTGGTGGGAGTTGAAATGGTTGTAAGAAATGTGTGTGAGACAAGCAGGCGTACCTTCACGAGCCGGGCGTGCTCAGCAACCTCGCCACGCGCTACAGCCTTGACGAGATCTATGTACGGCACCTTGAGAGTTCACACGTGTTCCATGTGCGAGTGCCTAGACGAGATGTGTGTGAAATTGTAAAATTCCACCCAGCAACCTCTTCACAAGATACGGCCTTGACGAGATCTTTATAATGCTCAACAGTAGTCCGGAGTCATGTGAGTGAGATAGTAAGGCGAGATGTGTGGGGGACTGCGAGGCGAGATGAGTGAGAGAGACTGCGAGGCGAGATGTGTGAGACAAGATGGACATAACCATTCCTGCACCAAGCTAGCATCACCGTACCTGCACCAAGCAATAATTTGTATACGAGAGGCATTCTGATCGTGTTGAACCCGTTTTAACAACTATTTGACTTGGCTTGGCTTTCCCTTGTCCACCCGTGCGTGTTGTTCCACTGTGGCTGCAGACATACACGGGCAACATTCTGATTGCGGTGAATCCGTTTAAACACCTGTATGACTGGGCTTGCCTTTCCCTTGTCCACGTGTGCTTGTTGTTCCGCTGCAACTGCAGACATACACAGGCAACATTTTGATTGCGGTGAACCCGTTTCAGCGGCTGCCGCATCTGTACAGCCAGCACATGATGGAGCAGTACAAGGGCGTTCGCCTGGGCGAGCTGAGCCCGCATGTGTTTGCCATCGCCGAGACAGCTTACAGGTGGGAGAGCGGGCAGATGAGTGTGTGTGTGTGTGTGTGTGTGCGCGCGCGCGCGCGTGCGTGCGTGCGTGCGTGCATGCCTGGGGGGAGCGGCTGCTGCATCTGTACAGCCAGCACATGATGGAGCAGTACAAGGGCGTGCGCCTGGGCGAGCTGAGCCCACATGTGTTTGCCATCGCAGAGACAGCTTACAGGTGGGCGCCTGCCCGTGTGTGTGTGTGGTGGGGGGGGGGGGGAGAGAGTGTGTGTGTGTGTGTGTGTGTGTGTGTGTGTAGCATGTGAATACAAATCAAGTGAATGTGTGACCTAGTCTCTCAGACCCACCATACCCTCTCCTTCCCCCTCCCCCTCAGGGCCATGCTGGACTGTGGCGAGAGCCGATCTATCCTAGTGAGCACACCTCAACTCCATATCCCTTATACTCTCCCCTCCCTCCCCCTTCTCCCACCCTTCCTCCTCCCCTCAGGGCCATGCTGGACTGTGGCGAGAGCCAGTCCATTCTGGTGAGCGGGGAGAGCGGGGCGGGCAAGACAGAGACAACGAAGCTCATCATGCAGTACCTCGCTTACATGGGCGGGCGGGCCACAGAAGGGCGATCCGTGGAAGCACAAGTGCTGGAGGTAGGTGTTTAGAGTGGTTAGAGTCGGCCGAGAACACACTCAGAGGTGTTGTTGTACGGATGGGAAGAGCGGGGCAGGCAAGACAGAGACAACGAAGCTCATCATGCAGTACCTGGCTTACATGGGGGGACGGGCTACAGAAGGGCGATCCGTGGAAGCACAAGTGCTGGAGGTAGGTGTTTAGAGTGGTTAGAGTCGGCCGAGAACACACTCAGAGGTGTTGTTGTACGGATGGGAAGAGCGGGGCAGGCAAGACAGAGACAAAGAAGCTCATCATGTAGTACCTGGCGTACATGGGGGAACGGGCTACAGAAGGGCGATCCGTGGAAGCGCAAGTGCTGGAGGTAGGTGTTTAGAGTGGTTTGAGTCGGCCGAAAACACACTCAGAGGTGTTGTTGTACGGATGGTGAGAGCGGGGCGGGCAAAACGGAGACCACAAAGCTCATCATGTAGTACCTGGCGTACATGGGGGGACGGGCCACAGAAGGGGGTTCCGTGGAAGTGCAAGTGCTGGAAGTGCGTGTTTGGAGTGGGACGTGAGTATGTGTACAAGGCTGTACTGTACGTTCAGGGTCAACTTATCTGAGCTTATAATGTGTGGGGGGCCTCAATGTACATATGCTGTTGGAGGGGTTGGGAGCGGTTGGAATTGGAGGGGTGGGTTTGCTCCTCATCTAACTAACTCTAAGTTGTTGATCTGAACTTTTCCTGTTCCCCTCTTCCTTCTCTGGCTTCCTTTACTTCTCCCTCCTTCCCTCACTCCCTCCTCACCCCCATGTCCCTCCCTAACCTCATATCCCTCCATCCTTCTGTTCCCCCCTTTCCCCCACCCCTGCCCTCCCTCCCGTCCCTCCATTCTTTCCCAATCGTGCAGTCCAATCCCCTTCTCGAAGCCTTTGGCAATGCCAAGACCGTCAGGAACAACAACTCCAGGTCTGTCCTTGTTTCTTCGCAAACCCCCCCTCCTCGAGTCTTCCTCCCTCTTCATCTTCTCTGTACCTCTCCTCCCGCTGCTCCTCTCCTTTCCTTTTAGCTGTATTTCTACTTCCCTAAGCCTCTCAAGCCATCCCCCTAATATCCCCTCATGTTCCCTCGCCTCAAGTCATCCTCTTTGTTGTCGTTCTATTTTGTAGACTCCTCATGCAACAGCATATGCCGCACCCTACTCAACCTGCCAAACCTCCACCACCCGTTCCCCTCCCCCTGTCTCCGAACCTCATTCCCGAACCTCATTGCCGAACCTCCATTCATGGACCGCACCAGCCGGTTTGGCAAGTTTGTGGAGATCCAGTTTGATGCGGCGGGGCGAATATCGGGGGCTGCTGTGCGGACGTACCTGTTGGAGCGGTCCAGAGTGGTGCAGACCTCTGATCCCGAACGCAACTACCACTGCTTCTACCAGCTGTGCGCTGGCGCCACCCCTGAGGTTCGTCTTGAGGTGTCTTTGAAACGTGTATGCTATCATCATGGGGTGAAGAAATCTCTACTCCCAATGGCAACTACCAATGCAACTACCAGCTCTGCACTGAGACCACCCCTGCGGTTACATGGACTCTCCCTGTTCACCCCCCCCCCTCCCCTCTCCCACTGTTTTCTTCCCCCCTTCTTCTTCCCATACCTCCGTGTGCTACAGGAAACAGCACAGCTGAAGCTCGCACCACCAGAGACCTCAACCAGAGCTCGTGCTTTGAGCTGACCGGGAGGATACAGCAGCACCACGGAAGATCATGCTTTTAGAGTTGACTCAAACTGTTTCTTCTCCCCCCTCCTTCGTCCTCACTCCAATACCTGTCTCTGTGTGTGTGTTTCAGGAAGCAGCAAGGTTGAAGCTCGCCCCGCCCAAAAGTTCCACTATCTCTACCAAAGTTCCTGCTTTGAGCTGACTGGGTACAGCAACAATGCGGACGAGTATGCTTTCTGAGTTATCTCAAGCTCCTCTTGTCCCCTTCCTTCCCCCATCACCCTGGTGTGCTGCATGCAGGAAGCAGCAAGATTAAAGCTTGCCCCACCTGAGACGTTCCACTACCTCAACCAGAGTTCCTGCTTTGAGCTGACGGGGTACAGCAACAACGCGGACGAGTATGCTGCCACCCGCAGAGCCATGGACGTGGTTGGGCTCAGCCACCTGGAGCAGGTGAGAATGATTGAAAGCGGTTGAGAGCAGGTCAGAGCGGTTGAAAGCGGTGCTGAGGGGCGAGTTAGCGAAGCACACTAAAGAGATCCGCCCACTGCATGCAACAACGCGGACGGACGAGTATGCTGCCACCCGCAGAGCCATCATGCCCTTTCCCCCCCTCTCCCCGTCTGTCTCCCCACCAGGACGCCATTTTCCGAGTGGTGGTGGCCATTCTGCATCTGGGCAACATCTCGTTTGCCCCGGGCAAGCTTGAACCTTGAGATGCCTGGAGAGTTACTGCTGTCTCTCCCCTCCTCCCCCTGTTCCCCCGTCCCTGCCCAACCAGGACGCCATTTTCCGGGTGGTGGCGGCCATTCTGCACCTGGGCAACATCTCGTTTGCTCCAGGCAAGCAGCCGGACTCATCCAAGGTGTCAGGGGACAAGGCCAAGTTCCACCTGGAAGCAGCAGCGGAGCTGCTCGGGTAAGACTAGTAGAGAGATAGGTTAGCAACCAGGGCAGGCACGCAAGCGCAGGCAGGCAGCCGGACTCATCCAAGGTGTCGAGCGACAAGGCCAAGTTCCACCTGGAAGCAGCAGCGGAGCTGCTCGGGTAAGACTAGTAGAGAGATAGGTAAGCAACCAGGGCAGGCACGCAAGCGCAGGCAGGCAGCTGGACTCATCCAAGGTGTCGAGCGACAAGGCCAAGTTCCTCCACCTGGAGGCAGCAGCGGAGCTCCTCGGGTAAGGCTAGGAGGGAGGGTTGTAGTGCTTGTGCATCGTACCGGCACAGGGTGGGTGCATTTGGTGCTCTAGTGGGTTGGTTGGTTCTCCAGTGGACACAATTTGGGCAGGCAAGCAGCCTGACTCATCCAAGGTGTTGAGCGACAAGGCCAAGTTCCACTTGGAGGCAGCTTGGCCAAGTTCCACAATGGTGCTCTCGTGTGTGGCAGATTTGGCCTTGTGTGGCAAAGCTGCTTGGATAAGCAGCTGAGGTAGCACAACGGTGCTCTCGTGGGTAGGATGGTTACTCAGTGGTCGCTACCGCAGCAGCAGGCAGGCAAGCAGCCGGACTCATCCAAGGCGTCTGGTGGAAGGCCACGCAAGAGCACCTTGAGGCAACAGCAGAGATGGTGGCTTGCGATGGGGCCATCAAGAGGAAGCTGATGTGTGTGCTGTGCTGTGCTAACTCTTCCTCCCTGCCTCCCCTTGTTGCACAGCTGCAACTGGCGGGCCTTGAATAATCACTGATAACACACAGGCTGGTCACTGGTGACCTGCGATGGGAGCATCAAAAGAGAGCTGATGGGCCTGCTGTGCTCTCCTGTGCTCTTCCCCCCTTGCCCCCTTTCACCTACAGGTGCGAACGGCGGGCGTTACGAGAGTCTCTGCAAATGCGCACGCTGGTGACTGGCAACGGGAACATGAAGAGAGGGAGTTAATATGTCGTAGGACTGAGACGCAGTGCTCTTTCCCCCTGCTCTCTTGTCCTACAGGTGCGACCGGCGGGCGCTGCGGGAGTCACTGATAACACGCACGCTGGTGACGCGTGATGGGAACATCAAGAGGGAGTTGGACCCGGCAGCAGCGGTGATCAGCAGAGACACACTCGCCAAGACCATCTATTCGAAGCTCTTTGACTGGTGGGTAGGGCTGCATGCGTGAAGGTGTGTGGTGTGTGGTGTGTGAGTGGACTCTGTGTCTCTTGAATGTGTGGTGTGTTCTGGACCCGGCAGCTGCGGTGATCAGCAGAGACACACTCGCCAAAACCATCTACTCCAAGCTCTTTGACTGGTGGGTCTTGACGCACTCAAGCTCATCAATGGTGTGATCAGTGTCTTATCAGTCCTTCTCTTCCCCTTCTTACGCAACCCTGCTTTTCCCCCACTCCGCCCTCGCCTTCCCCCATCCCACCAGGCTGGTGCACAAGGTGAATGTGTCAATCGGTCAGGACCCCCATGCCAAGTCTATCATTGGTGTCCTATCCGTCGCCTCTCTCCCACTCCTCTAAACGCAATCCCGCTTCTTCCTTCCCATCCCTACCAGGCTGGTGCACAAGGTGAACGTGTCCATTGGCCAGGACCCTCATGCCAAGTCTATCATTGGAGTGCTTGACATCTATGGCTTCGAGAGCTTCCAGACCAACAGGTGGGCTGCCGAACCAACCGGTGAGGCTTGGGGAGTTCGCAAACCAACAGGTATGGCTTGGGAAGTTTTTGAGGCTCTTAGAGGCAGCACACTAGAAGCTAGTTGATTCATTCCTCGTGGTTCCCATGTGGACCTGTGTGCCCTGTGAAAATCGTTTTCCTCCTCCTGTTGTGCCGTGTTGTGACTGTGCAGCTTTGAGCAGTTTTGTATCAACCTGGCAAACGAGAAGCTCCAACAACACTTCAACCAGGTTCGTGCTTGACTTATCTTGACCTACCTTGGCTTATCCATTCTTCAATTTTCTCCACTCCACCCTCTGTTTCATCAGCATATCTTCGAGGTTTCAAGGCAGAGCCACCGGCATATGAGAGAGCAAGTTTTGAGATGGCTCCAAACACGTCTCAACACCCTCTGGCTCATCAGCATGAGCTTGAAGGTTTCAAGGCAGAGCCTGCAGTGCTTGAGAGAGCAAGCTTGTTGATTGGATTCAAATCCAAGCAACCCTGATGCTCTCGTCCCCCGCCGTGTTCACCAGCTCGTGATAGGAGGATGAGGGCGAGGAGGCCACTGGCTAGAGGTTCCCTCTTCCCCCCTTCCGTGGCGAGTAGGCCACTGGCCAGAGGTTTCTACCCACCACCCCCTTCCACCCATCCCCACCTCCCCTTCCCCCAACCCCACTAGTTTCCCCACCTTCCTTGCCCTTCCACCCCTCCATTGAGGTCGTTTTTGAGGCGCCTCAAAAACGACCTCCCCTTCCCCCAACCCCACTAGTTTCCCCACCTTCCTTGCCCTTCCACCCCTCCCCATTTTCCCAGCATGTGTGCATGGCAGAGCAGGAGGAGTCCAAGGCGATTAACTGGTGATAACACTCAGCCTCCACCTCCCCCCTCTGGCTCGCCCCTCTTCCCGATGCCCCTTTTTTCTCCCAAACCCAGCACGTGTTCAAAGCAGAGCAGGAGGAGTATGAGAGCGAGGCAATAGACTGGAGCTACATCGAGTTTGTGGATAACCAAGACGTGCTTGAGCTCATAGAGAAGGTACGGTGCGGTGGCCTGTGGTCTTACGGCTTTTCAGTTGACTCAAAGGATAACCGAGATGTGCTCGAGCTCATAGAGAAGGTACGATGGTGACTTTTGAGTCGACTCAAAAGCTGGAGGAGTATGAGAGCGAGGCAATAGACTGGAGCTACATTGAGTTGGTGGACAACCAAGACGTGCTCGAGCTCATTTAGAAGGTACAGTGCGGTGGCCTGTGGTTCAAAGGCTTTTTAATCGACTGAAAGGGCAACCAAGACGTGCTCGAGCTCATGGAGAAGGTACGGCGATGCCTGGGATTTTTAGAGGTACAGTGATGGTCCTTTCACTTGGTCCGTAAGTGTGTAAAGAAAGCTTTTATCTAGGGTAATGATACAGTAGTGTTTGAGGTTGACATATTGATATTCATATGCATATTTTCTTCCAAAAATGTGAGATGTTACACAAATGTGAGATGTTACACAAATGTGAGATGTTACACAAATGTGAGATGTTACGCAAATGTGATGTGGCATATTGTTTGATTCGTTGCCTGGCTTTTACTGCCTCTGCTTTGCAACTCGCTTCCGCCCAAATATGTCTTCCTCCCTTCATTGCACTCTCGTGTGCCGTTTTCTATATGCTCTCTGTACTGTGCTGTGCTGGTGTGGTTGTGTGTGGTGCTGTGCGGTTGTTGTGTTTGCACTCCTCCTTGGTTACACGGTGCAGAAGCCAATGGGGATTATTGCTCTCCTGGACGAACAATGGTGAGAGAAGCCAGGCCTGAGAGGAGTTTCATTTCACACCTTGAATCTTCTGGAAATTCCTTTCTCTTTGTATCGCACTACTTTTTTTGTGTGGGATTTTTCTCAAGAAATGTTCATAGGGCTTTCCCTCGACCCCTAACCCCCTCTTCCCCGGCCCCTTCCTTTCTCTTCACTCCAGCCCCCCACCCACATGCACCATCTTTCTGGAGCCCAACAACAGGACCTTTGCCAGGAAGCATGGTCTAATACATGCGCCCCTCACTCCCAACCCCCGCCCCCCCGTGCATTCATGTTCATTGTGTGCAGCATGTTTCCCAAGTCAAACCACGAGACCTTTGCCACGAAACTCTACCAAACGGTGGGCGCCCACCGGCGCTTTGACAAGCCCAAGCTCTCACAGACCGACTTCACCATCGAGCACTACGCTGGGAAGGTGGGTAGGGTTAAGGGGGTTCAGCCAGGGTTTAGGCACTAGGTGTTAGGGGCTAGGGTTTTCAAGGCTGCTTGCAGCGCTTCGACAAGCCCAAGCTCTCTTAGGCCGACTTCACAATCGAGCACTACGCTGGCAAGGTGCGTAGGTGGGCTGGCTAGTGTCTAGGCAGTATGGGTTAAGGCCTAGGCATTGGAAGGCTGCTTGTAGCGCTTCAACATGGCCAAGCTTTCGCAAACCGACTTCACAATCGAGCACTACGCCGGTAATGTGGGGAATTAGGGCTTCGGGTTTGGGCTTAGGGGCTAGGGTTTAGGGCTTAGGGCTGCTTGAGGCGCTTCAACAAGCCCAAGCTCTCGCAGACCGACTTCACCATCAAGCACCACGCTGGGAAGGTAAGTGAGAGGGTCTCGAGTTCATTTTCAGGGGTTAGCCCGTGTTGAGATGTCTCACAGCAAGCCCAAGGTCTCTCAGACTAACAAGGCCATCAAATCGACCACTACGTGAGCAAGGAGGGTACTAGGTAGGGAATCAAGCGGACCTGTTCCTGGAGAAGAACAAGGACTACGCGGTGCTGGATCGCCAGCGTGTTATCCATACTTGTCCTTCCTTTCCGCTCTCTCCTTCTTGCAACGCAACCCTCCCTACCCAGGTCACGTGCCAGACAGACCGGTCTCTTCTTGGAGAAGAACTCTGCCAGACAAAACTCTGCCAGAAAAAGCTCTGCCAGACAAAACTCTGCCAGACAAAACTCTGCCAGACAAAACTCTGCCAGACAAAACTCTGCCAGACAAAACTCTGCCAGACAAAACTCTGCCAGACAAAACTCTGGCGCTGACAACGGCTCCGGCCGAAACGCATATTACCTGTGACTCATAGTAGTCCTGGTTTCTTACCACCCTTTTTTATACTCTAGCAACCCACCCACCCCGTTAGGCGTACTGTTTAGCTAAAACCTTCAGGCGAATTCACGCTTGCTGCGGTTCGAACCCTTTAAACTCTGCGCAAGAGGACTACGCGGTGATGGATGGAGCACCAGGCGCTGCTGGGCTGTGACGTGGCATGGAGTACGCCTCAAGGCGTTCCCCACTCTCTCCTCCTCCCTCTCCGTTTCACCACACGAGGTCGCGTATCAAACAGACCTTTTCCTTGAGAAGAACAAGACGTGGTGATGGATGGAGCACCAGGTTCTGCTAAGCTGTGATATAAATGCTCTTCTGTCACGTCTTTTCCTCTCCCTCTCTCCTCCTCATCACACCAGGTCACACATCAAACCGATCTGTTCCTGGGGAAGAACAAGGACTACGTGGTGATGGATGGAGCACCAGGCGTTGCTGGGATGTTGAGATGAGAGTAATCTTATCGTCACATGTCTCCTCGTGTCGCTCATTATTCATCAGGTCACGTATCAGACCGATCTGTTCCTGGAGAAGAACAAGGACTACGTGGTGATGGAGCACCAGGCGCTGCTGGGAGCGTCGATCGACCCCTTTGTGGCGGCGCTCTTCCCCATGCCCTCTGGCGACAAGGCCAAGACCAAGTTCACATCTCTGGGTTCAGGGTTCAAGGTGAGTTTGGGATGTGAGATATGGTGAATAGGAGGGGCAGTAGGGTCATAGTACGCCATCTGTCATGGCAGATCTCTTCCCCTCTTGTCGTGGCAGATCTCTTCCCCTCTGTCGTGGCAGATCTCTTCCCCTCTGTCGTAGCAGATCTCTTCCCCTCTGTTGTGGCAGTAGGGTCATAGTGCACGGTTGCCCGCATACCCTCGCTTGTGGCAGCCGCGCTGCACTTTCCTTGGAGTGGCCAAACCGCGCACTACATGCGATGTGTGAAGCCCAACGGGCAGTACCAGCCAGGCTGAACTGGAATGTCTTGACGTGATAAATGTGAGGCTTTGAGACGTCTCAAAACTTCACTTTTATCACGAGTCTCAAAACTTCACTTTTATCATGAGCCCATTGGGTAGTACCAGCCCAGATTGAACTGGAATGCCTAGAGATTCCGATGCCTGTTGACTTGTCTCTCTTGCCTATCCTGTCCTCTACTCCCCTCCCCCCTCGCCCAATGCTTTTCCCCTCTTCCCTTCTGGCAGCAACAACTGGCGGAGCTGATGGCGACTCTGAGCCACATGGACCCACCACACTATGTGCGATGTGTGAAGCTGCTGCCTCTATGCCACCTATCCCGTCCCATTGAGGTCGGTTTTGAGGCGCCTCAAAAACCACCTATCCCGTCCCCCCCCCCCAATGCACACCTAACCCACCATCCACTGCCCCATCCCCCCCCCCCTTCCCCCCCACCCAACCCAACCCCCTCCCAGCAACAACTGGCGGAGCTGATGTCGACTCTGAGCCACATGGACCCACATTACGTGCGATGTGTGAAGCCCAACGGGCAGTACAAGCCTGGATACTTTGAGAACCCAAGTGTCATTCACCAACTCAGATGCGGGGTGAGTTGCTTTCCGGTCGATTTGAGTTCCACACACAGAGCACGTGTGTGTGTGTGTGCACGGTTGTGTGAAGCCCAATGGGCAGTGCAAGCCAGGCTACTTCGAGAACCTGAGTGTCATTTACCAACTCAGATGCGTGGTGGGTTGAATTCGGTTGAGTTGGGTTGAGTTGAGTTCCACATGCACAGTGTGTGCATGTGTGTGTGAAGTCCAACAGGCAGTACAAGCCAGGGTACTTAGAGAACCCGGGCGTCATTCACCAACTTAGATGCGGGGTGAGTTGAGTCCGGTTGAGCTGGGCTGAGTTGAGTTCCACGCACACCGCGTGTGCAGTGTGAGCAGTGTATGGGTATGTGAAGCCCAAGGGGCAGGGCAGTACAAGCAAGGTACTTAGAGAACCCCAGCGTCATTCACCAACTCAGATGCGGGATGAGTTAAGCTGTGTTGGGTTCAGTTGGGTTGAGATTGGTTGAGTGAGGTTGAGCATAGTTCGACTTTGACCCTCACATTACTATGTTCAGAAACCCTCATTTCCCGCTCTCTCACCCACTTTCCTCTCTCACCCACCTCATCACAGGGAGTCTTAGAGGCCATTCGAGTCAGCTGTGCGGGCTACCCCACTCGCCGCCCCTTTGACGAGCTCTAAGTTAACTCAAATGACTGACTTCCCGTTCTCACCCACTTGCCTCTCTCACCCACGTCATCGCAGGGTGTGCTGGAGGCAATTCGAATCAGCTGTGCGGGCTACCCCACTCGCCGCCCCTTTGACGAATTTCTTGACAGATTCTCTGTTCTCGCACCTGACCTCTGTGATGGGAGAAGGTCAGTGTCAACCTTCAAGCCTGCTCACGACATGTTTTGAGTTGCGCAATACGCGCCTCACAGATTCTCTTTTCTTGCGACGGGGGAAGGGAAGGGAAGGTCAGTTGGTGTTCTCTGAAACGTCATAACTCCTTTGACACGTTTCTTGACTTTCGAGACGTCTCAAAACAAGTTTCTTGACACGTCCTCGTCTCGCTCCAGTCCTCCCGCCCCCTGCTTCCAGTCCTCCCGCCCCCTGCTTCCAGTCCTCCCGCCCCCTGCTTCCTTTCGCGAGCCCTCAGCCCTGCTGCGACCCTCCTTGCATCAGTCTCCATTGTTCTACTTCCTATGTTGTTGCCTGGTTCTGTCTATTGCCCCTTCCAATTCGTTTGCCCGTGCCTTGCTCCCGCTCTTGTTCCCTCCTCCTTCACTGCATATTCGACGACAAGTGCAGTTTAGTTTTGAGGCACCTCAAAACTAGGCCGCTCAGAACTTGACCCCCCTATCCACTGCCCTGCTCCTGTCCCCTCTTGTTTCCTTCTCCCCTGCTGCAGATACGACGATAAGGCTGCTGTCACCCTCATGCTGCAGCGTCTGGGCTTCACCAACTTCCAGGTAACTTCCACTACTGCTGTTTTACCGGTTCAAGGCTTGGACAGGTGAGTTTAGGTGGAGGGAGGGTGGTGTGGTGGGGCAAGGAGGAGGGAGGGCAGAGTTCCTCTCCCAATCCCTCTCCTCCGCATCCTCTCCCAAACAGGTGAGGAGAACCAAGGTGTTCCTAAGAGCAGGGCAGATGGCGGACCTGGATGCTCTGAGGGCGGAGAGGCTGTTAGGGCCCGTAGAGCACTCTATTCCTTCCCCAATCCCTCTCCTCCGCATCCTCTCCCAAACAGGTGAGGAGAACCAAGGTGTTCCTAAGAGCAGGGCAGATGGCGGACCTGGATGCTCTGAGGGCGGAGAGGCTGTTAGGGCCCGTAGAGCACTCTATTCCTTCCCCAATCCCTCTCCTCCGCATCCTCTCCCAAACAGGTGAGGAGAACCAAGGTGTTCCTAAGGGCAGGCCAGATGGCGGACCTGGATGCTCTGAGGGCGGAGAGGCTGTTAGGGCCCGTAGAGCACTCTATTCCTTCCCCAATCCCTCTTCTCCGCATCCTCTCCCAAACAGGTGAGGAGAACCAAGGTGTTCCTAAGGGCAGGCCAGATGGCGGACCTGGATGCTCTGAGGGCGGAGAGGCTGTTAGGGCCCGTAGAGCACTCTATTCCTTCCCCAATCCCTCTTCTCCGCATCCTCTCCCAAACAGGTGAGGAGAACCAAGGTGTTCCTAAGGGCAGGCCAGATGGCAGACCTGGATGCTCTGAGGGCGGAGAGGCTATTGAAGGCTCTTATGCCTTTCCCTCCCCCCTTTCCCCCTAACCCCCACCTCCACCCTCCCTCCTTCCCAATCAGGTGGGCAGGACCAAGGTGTTCCTAAGAGCGGGACAAATGGCCGATCTAGATGCCCTGAGGGCGGAGAAGCTGGGGTGGGCGGCGCGGGTGATTCAGCGCGCCTGGCGGTCGTGGCGGCAGTTCATGCGGTACAACATGCTGCGATGGGCCGTCATCAGAATGCAGGCGCGGTGGCGAGGTGAGGAGGGATGGGAGAGGGATTAAAACACGGGGGAATGATGAAGCAAGGGAAGGGTTCGTGGCGGCAGTTCATGCGATACAACATGCTGCGATGGGCCGTCACTAGGATGCAGGCGCGGTGGCGATGTGAGGAGGGGTGATGAGCGGTGAGGAGGGATGAGAAAGGTAGAAGGTGGAAGCAACGGAAGGTGTGGTTGTATTGGCGGCAGTTCATGCGGTACAGTGTGCTGCAATGGGCTGTGATTTGCATGCAGGCGAGGTGGCGAGGTGAGGGGATTGAAGGGAGAGAGCGAGAGTGAGATATCAATGTGTACGGTCGTGGCGGTAGCTCACATTACACAATACAACATGCTGCGATGGGCCGTGATCAGCATGCAGGCTCGTTAACGAGCTGTTGTGCAACCTCGCTGAGGAGTGCAGTACTTGCTGCTGCCGCTCTCACTCCTCACTCTGTCTTTCATGCTCATTCTCTCAACCTCCTTTTACATCCCTCTCTCTCTTCTACCTTCTCTCTCCTGCCTCTCTCCCCTCGCCCCTCCTTCTCCCTTCCCCCCCTCTCCTTTCTCCCTTTCCTCCCCTCCTCTCCTCTCGCCTCTCCGCTCTTCCCCCCAGCCCACCTGACCCGGCAGTACTACAGCTGGTTGCGAGAGGAGGCGGCAGCAGTGACGATTCAGAAGCACGTGCGGCGATACACCACACAACTCGCCTACGAGCACACTCGCTGCTGCACTGCTGTTCTCACCCAACCCCCTCTCACTCCTCTCGCTCACCTCCCTCCTCCCTCCTCTCGTCCCCCCACCTCTCCCCCCCCTCCTCCTCCCTCTCCCTCTGATCTCCTCCCTCTCTCGCCCTCCTCCCTCCCCCCCCCCCCCAAGGCCACCTGACTCGGCAGTACTACAGCTGGCTACGAGAAGAAGCAGCAGCAGTGACGATTCAGAAGCACGTGCGGCGATACACCACACAGCTCGCCTACGAGCACACTCGCTACAGTGCCATCATCATCCAGGCGGCGTTCCGCGGCATGTTGTGCCGCAAGTGGGTGCGGGAGATTAGAGTGCAGCGGGCGGCGACAAGAATACAGGTTGGTTGGAGGGAAGGGGGAATAAGTGGGAAAGGGACGGAAGGGAACGGGAGGGAGAGGGTAAGATTCAGATCCGGGTACTGTTAGCATGTGACGACTTTTGAGGCTCCTCATAAGATTCAGATCCGGGTAGTGTTAGCATGTTGTGCCGCAAGTGGGTGTGGGAGGAGCTGAGAGTGCAGGAGGTGGAAACAAGGATGGTTGGAGGGGAGAGGAGGGTGTAGGGAAGAGGGGTGGGGAGAGGAGGACAGGGAGTGATAGGAGATTGTTTGAAGTATGAATGATTTGGTATCCATCTGTTGTTGCATTGTGACATGTTGTTGACTGCCCATGGTCCGCCTGCATGCCCATGGTCCATACTCTGTGTCCACATGCAGGCTGCTTGGTGGGGCTACGTGGATCGGATGGACTTCCTCCGCGAGCGCTGGAGCGCCGTGGTCATTCAGACCTCCTTGTTCCAACCCCTTGTCGCCTCCTTGAATCCGCTTTTGAGTCGACTCAAAAGCTGTTCCAACCCCTTGTCGCCTCCTTGAATCCGCTTTTGAGTCGACTCAAAAGCTGTTCCAACCCCTTGTCACCTCCTTGAATCCGCTTTTGAGTCGACTCAAAAGCTGTTCTAACCCCTTGTCTCCTCCTTGAAACCGCTTTTGAGTCAACTCAAAAGCTGTTCCAACCCCTTGTCTCCTCCTTGAATCCAATCCAATCCCCCCTACTTGCCCTGTGCAGGCGGCCTGGCGGGGCTACGTGGATCGAATGGACTTTCTCCGTGTGCGCTTGCTGGAGCACACCTCTTTCCCACCTCTCCTTCCCACACCCATTTCCTGCTTGTTCGCCCCTCTTGGTTCGAATCCCCCCCTTCAACCCCTTGCAGGCGGCCTGGCGGGGCTACGTGGATCGAATGGACTTCCTCCGCGAGCGCTGGAGTGCCGTGGTCATTCAGAGCGCGTGGAGAGCGAGACAAGCGCGCAGGCTGCTCAGGCAACTGCGAGTGGTGAGCCTTGGCATAGCCGGCACGCAGGCTAAGGCCTTAGGTGTCTCAGAACTTGTTGTGATCTCGAGGAGGGCAAGAGCTGCCGCTAAGACAACTGCGAGTGGCGAGAGGAGGGGCTCAGGCAGGTGTTTGCTATGCCGTTCTTCGTGTGTTCCCCATCAGTCATCCAACCCGCTTTCCATGGTGGTCAGGAGGAACAAGTCAACGCAAACAGGAGGATCAACGCAAACAGGGGCTTCTCTTCTTACATGCCTGTCCGCCATTGTTGTCGCTCCTTGTTCCTTTTGCCCCGAGGGGCGGAGCAGGCAGACTGGCAGACTGCCGGAGGAAGCCTAGAGTGCCGTGTAAAAAGAAATTTTAGACCCCTAGCTGTCTCAGGAGGCGAGGCAGATGGGCGAACAGCCGGAGGCAGCTTAAGGAGCTATTCAACAAATCTGGCCCTGCCAATTCTGCCTATCCTGCCAATTCTGCCTATCCTGCCAATTCTGCCTATCCTGCCTATCCCACCATTCCCCAACTCTCATTCTCCCAGGAGGCGAGGCAGGCAGGGGCGCTGCGGGAGGCCAAGTCGAAGCTGGAGAAGCAGCTGGAGGAGCTGACGTGGCGCCTGCAGCTAGAGAAGCGCATGCGGGTCAGTGGGGCTGTGAGGGCTGAGAGAGTGTTGTAGATGGCTTGTTTTAGGTGGGCGAATGAATGAAGGCTGTTGCATGTTGGTCCGTGTTGCAGGTGCAGGTGCCGATCTTCTCTTTCCCTGCTCTCGACCATTTCATTCCCATCTCATGATACCCGTCTCGTGCCTGTTTCAGTTTCATACCCACCTGTTCCTCCCCATCCGCTTGCCCCCAATCCAGCTGGACCTAGAGGAGGCGAAGGCCGCCGAGATCCAACGGCTGCAAGCGCAAGTGAAAGATCTACGGTCCGAGCTCGACGACACGCGAACCCGGCTAGAGAGCCAAGTAGACGACACCCGGAGGCAGCTAGACGAGTCCCAAGGGAGACTAGAAGAAGCGCAGGGCAGATTGGAAGAGGCGCAAGCGAGGTTGCAGGAGGCGCAGGGGAAGGTGGAGCAGGCAGAGGCGGAGGTGCGGCAGCTGAGGGAGCAGAGCGAGCGAATGGCGGAGGAGAGTGCCAGGCTGGCGCAACAGCTGGCGGACCGGCCAGTGGTAGCAGCAGCAGCTGCTGCTGGTGCTGCTGGTGCTGCTGCTGGTGCTGCTGGTGGTGGTGCTGGGAGTGGGGGGCGAGGGAGTGTGATGTCTGGTGGGGGGGCGTCGGCTGCTGCTGCGTCTGTGTCATCGCGAGCAGCTGGGGAGACTGGGGCCAGACCTGCTGGGGAGGGTGACGGCCAGGTGAGCTGGGATGAACGTTTATGACTGGCGCTGAGGCACGCTTGAGAATCTGTCTAGTTTGCGACTGAATGTGCGCTGTGAGGTGAGAGGACTGAGACTTGATCAATCACCTCTCGTTGCTACTCCACTCGTGCGTTCCCCTACCCTCCCACCCTCTGCGAGAGTGCTCCCCCGTTGTTGCAGCAGGAGAATGTGCAGCTCGCGTCGCTGCTGGCGGAGAATAGAGCCCGTGAGAATAGAGCCCGTGAGAATAGAGCCCGTGAGAATAGAGCCCGTGAGAATAGAGCCTGTGAGAATAGAGCCCGTGAGAATAGAGCCCGTGAGAATAGAGCCCGTGAGAATAGAGCCCGTGAGAATAGAGCCCGTGAGAATAGAGCCCGTGAGAATAGAGCCCGTGAGAATAAAGCCCGTGAGAATAGAGCCCGTGAGAATAGAGCCCGTGAGAATAGAGCCCGTGAGAATAGAGCCCGTGAGAATAGAGCCCGTGAGAATAGAGCCCGTGATCAATCACCTCCTGTTTCTCTTCAACAATCTTGGTGCCTTTTTCACCCCACAGCTGCAGCAGGAGAACGTGCAGCTCAAATCGCTGCTGGCAGAGTCAGAAGGGCGTCTGGCTCGCTATGAGGCAGAGGTGGCCGGGCAGGTGAGAGTTTTCTGGCAGAGGTGGTCGGGCAGGTGAGAGTTTTCTGGCATAGGTGGTCGGGCAGGTGAGAGTTTTCTGGCAGAGGTGGCGGTTGAGACCTTTCAGGCGGAGTTGGCCGGGCAGGTGAGTTTTTTTCAGGTGAAAGTTTGGGGCAGACATGGCCGGGCAGCCGAGTAAGAGGCTAAAAGATAAGCTGTTGCAGAAGCCAACGGCTAGCATAGCATGTGTGCGTTCTTATGTGAGTGTGTACACATGAATATACTTGTTCCTGGCGTGCTTGTGTATGTGTGCTTGCTCACGTCTGCTTGTGCATGTGCATCTGCCCCCGCAGGTACAGGAGAAGGCAGCACGGAGCGAGAGAGAGTTGGAGCAGACCCAGGCGGATTTAAAGCGGGTACAGGAGCTGTACTCGCGGATGGAGCGAGAAAACCAAGCGCTGCGACAGCAGCAAGCACTCTCAGGACCAGACAGAGGCGGAGGAGGAGGGGCAGTGGGAGTAGTGAGAAGTGGAGAGCAGCAAGGAGCAGCAGCAGCAGCAGCAGCAGGTCCGGGAGGGGTAGCAGCTGTGCCGGTGCCATCCCTGCAGCAGAACGGGATTACCCCGAGCCTGAGCTTCGGATTGCCGAGCCAGAGCCACGGGTCGCCGGGCCGGAGGCTCGGGTCGCCAGACTCTCCGGTCCCGTTGCAGCTCACCCCAGCAAGTGGGAATGGCAGCAGGGGGGGTGTGGCGGCGATGTCACCCCTGGGGAGTGGGTCTGGGGAAGGGGGAGACAGGCGGTTCTATCGCATACAGTCTGAACGGGTCTCGGTGAGTGGAGAACTGGAAGGGTTGGAGGGTAAGAGGTCCTCGAAATTTGTTCAAGGCGGTTGAATCGCATGCAGTTGGAACAATTCTCGGTGAGTGGAGAGCAGGAGTGAGGGCTTTGGACGCATTGGTTCTATCAGGGCGAAAGAATATAGCACCTTTTTCTTTTCTTACCTTGTCTGTTGCTGCTCCTATCTCCCTCGTTTCCTCCTCCCTCTCCCTTACCCTGCTGCCCCAATCACAGCAAGAGCAGGAGGCACTACTGAAGGCCCTCTCAGCCACCAGTCTAGGCTACAGCAACAAGCGCCCCCTAGCTGCCTGCATAGTCTACAAATGCCTACTGCACTGGCGGGCATTTGAAGCCAAAAGGATTTCAACACTTTCCTCCTCATTCACCCTTCCCCTCGCTGGTCCTATCTCCCTCTTCCCCCTCCTCCCCCCTTCCGTTCTCCCTTTCCCTGGTGCGTCGATGATAACAGCAAGAGCAGGAGGCACTACTGAAGGCCCTCTCAGCCACCAGTCTCGGCTACAGCAACAAACGGCCCCTAGCCGCCTGCATAGTCTACAAATGCCTACTGCACTGGCGGGCATTCGAAGCAGAGCGAACAAGCATATTCGACCGCATTAACCGCACTATCAGATCAGCTGTTGAGGAGGATGAGGCAGCCCTGGCGGCTCTGCCGAGCGGAGGGGTGCTGAGCGGTGGAGGGGGGTTGGGAGGGAAGAGCATGGGTCGGCTGGCGTACTGGCTGTCCAACACGTCGTGTCTGCTGGTGCTGCTGCAGCGGACGCTCAAGGCTAGTGCGGGCCAGGCTGGGCCGGCAGGGAGGAGGAGAGGCGTGCAGGGGGGAGGAGGGACTAGTGGCAGGATGGTTCATATGGGCCCTCAGATGGGATATCCGTCCCCGCCTCTGCCGGATGGGTCTAGCTCGCTGAAGCTGGTGGAAGCCAAGTACCCCGCGCTGCTGTTTCGGCAGCAGTTGACAGCGTATGTGGAGAAGGTGTTTGGGCTGATCAGAGACAACCTGAAGCGAGACATCTCCCCGATTCTCGGGCAGTGCATTCAGGTACCATTGAGGCTGGGCAATGCATTCAGGTAAAGTCAGGGTTACTGGGGGGCACTTGGATGTGGGGGAGGGTTGGGTTGCTGCTGTTTCGGCAGCGGTTGACAGCGTATGTGGAGAAGGTGTTTGGGCTGATCAGAGACAACCTGAAGCGAGACATCTCCCCGATTCTCGGGCAGTGCATTCAGGTGGGGTTGGGTTAGGGTTATTTGCTTGGGGGGCACTTGGGTGTGTGGGGACGGTGGGGTTAGGGTGTTGCTTCGGCAGCAGCTGACAGCGTATGTGGAGAAGGTGTTTGGGCTGATCAGAGACAATCTCAAGCGAGACATTTCCCCAATTCTCGGGCAGTGCATTCAGGTGGGGTTGGGTTAGGGTTATTTGCTTGGGGGGCACTTGGGTGTGTGGGGACGGTGGGGTTAGGGTGTTGCTTCGGCAGCAGCTGACAGCGTATGTGGAGAAGGTGTTTGGGCTGATCAGAGACAACCTGAAGCGAGACATTTCCCCGATCCTCGGGCAGTGCATTCAGTGTGGGGTTGGGTTAGGGTTATTTGCTTGGGGGGCACTTGGGTGTGTGGGGACGGTGGGGTTAGGGTGTTGCTTCGGCAGCAGCTGACAGCGTATGTGGAGAAGGTGTTGGGGCTGATCAGAGACAACCTGAAGCGAGACATTTCCCCGATCCTCGGGCAGTGCATTCAGGTGGGGTTGGGTTAGGGTTATTTGCTTGGGGGGCACTTGGGTGTGTGGGGACGGTGGGGTTAGGGTGTTGCTTCGGCAGCAGCTGACAGCGTATGTGGAGAAGGTGTTGGGGCTGATCAGAGACAACCAACCTCAAGCATGACATTTCGCCCATCCTGGGGTAGTGCATTCAGGTGGGTGTGGGGATCAGCTTATCAAAGGGCACCTAGATGGGGGGCACCAGGGGGGGGAGGCTGGGTTGCTGCATGCTGTTCGGCAGCAGCTGACAGCGTATGTGGAGACGGTGTGTGGGCTCATCAGAGACAACCAACCTCAAGAGAGACATTTCGCCCATCCTGGGGCAGTGCATTCAGGTGGGTGTGGAGATCAGCTTATCAAAGGGCACCTCGATGGGGGGCACCAGGGGGGGGAGGCTGGGTTGCTGCATGCTGTTCGGCAGCAGCTGACCGCATATGTGGAGACGGTGTGTGGGCTCATCAGAGACAACCAACCTCAAGACATTTTGCTGATTTTTTGGCAATTCGTTCAGGTAACATTATGGTTAGGGTGCTTGGGGCTGTGTATTCCGGTGGGAGGGGGCTGGGCAGTGGGCTGGGCTGGGAAGTTGGCTGGGCAGTTGGCTAAATTAGGGTTAGGGTTCTTGCGGCTATGAAGTGGGCAGTGTTTTCACACGCACACACTTTCATCCCACGTTTCTGTTCTGACCCCCCTGTTTCCACCCTCCCCACCCTCCCCCTCCCACCCTCTTCTTCCCACCCTTGCTCTTCCCGCCCTCCTCCCCAAACCAGGCTCCGCGCGTCTCCCGCTCCTCATACGGGCGGCAATCTTCGTCTCCTAGCAGCGCAGCGGGCGGCGGGCCCCCGTCATCATCCCCACCAAGCCCATGGCACGCCATCATAGCGGCACTCAGCACGCTGCTCACGACGCTCAAGGGCAACCACGTGGCGCCGTTCCTCATCCGCAAGATGTTTGCTCAAGTGTTTTCCTTTATCAACGTGCAGCTCTTCAACAGGTGAGGGATGGTGAGAGAGTGGGAGGGTAGTAGGCAATCGCTGCTCACGACGCTCAAGGGCAACCACGTGGCGCCGTTCCTCATCCGCAAGATGTTTGCTCAAGTGTTTTCCTTTATCAACGTGCAGCTCTTCAACAGGTGAGGGATGGTGAGAGAGTGGGAGGGTAGTAGGCAATCGCTGCTCACGACGCTCAAGGGCAACCACGTGGCGCCGTTCCTCATCCGCAAGATGTTTGCTCAAGTGTTTTCCTTTATCAACGTGCAGCTCTTCAACAGGTGAGGGATGGTGAGAGAGTGGGAGGGTAGTAGGCAATCGCTGCTCACGACGCTCAAGGGCAACCACGTGGCGCCGTTCCTCATCCGCAAGATGTTTGCTCAAATGTTTTCCTTTATCAATGTGCAGCTCTTCAACAGGTGAGGGATGGTGAGAGAGTGGGAGGGTAGTAGGCAATCGCTGCTCACGACGCTCAAGGGCAACCACGTGGCGCCGTTCCTCATCCGCAAGATGTTTGCTCAAGTGTTTTCCTTTATCAACGTGCAGCTCTTCAACAGGTGAGGGATGGTGAGAGAGTGGGAGGGTAGTGGGCAATCGCTGCTCACGACGCTCAAGGGCAACCACGTGGCGCCGTTCCTCATTCGGAAAATGTTCGCCCAGGTGTTCTCCTTCATCAACGTGCAGCTGTTTAGCAGTTGAGGAGGGTTGAGTGGAGGGAAGCACATAACTGGAACAATGGGGGAGAACAGGGTGTTGAAGCAGCGTGCAGCGGGCCTCTATCATCCTCATCACCAACATCACCCTCATTACCATCACCATCAGCATCATCCCCACCAAGCCCGTGGCATACCATCATAGCGGCGCTCTCCTTGCTGCTCACAACGCTCAAGGGCAACCACGTGGCGCCCTTCCTAATCCGGAAAATGTTCACCCAGGTGTTCTTCCTCATCAACGTTCAGCTGTTTAACAGGAGTGGGAAGATTGGGAGATTGTGGGATTTAAGAGAGGCAGTTACTCGCTAGAAAGGAGTTCACTCCGGTCAGGTGTTCTCCATCATCAACGATGCAGGTGGTGTTGCAGGAGATGCAGCCTCGCTTCCCACTCCCATACCTCCTGTTTCCTGCTCGTGTTGAGCATTGGAGAGTATGGGAAGGCTCGTGTTCACAGGCTCAACACGCCCCGTGAAGGCGGGGCTACAGGGCGCATTGCCTCCCCTCCACACTCTTCCCCCTCCACTCCACACCCCCAAAATCCCCCTCGTCAACGTCCATTCTCCTTGTTTCCCCGCTATGCCCTCAGCTTGTTACTCCGTCGTGAGTGCTTTTTGTTGAACAATGGAGAGTACATGAAGGCGGGGGTGCAGGAGGTGCAGCCTTCCCTCCCAACTCCTGTGCCTCAACTCTCACTCCTCCTCTTCTCCTCCCCTTTTCGCTCCCCTCGACCCCTGAAACCCCCTTTTCCACCCAGCTTACTGCTTCGCCGGGAGTGCTGTTCGTTGAGCAACGGAGAGTATGTGAAGGCGGGGTTGCAGGAGGTGCAGCAGTGGATGCGGGAAGCGGGGGAGGAGAGCATAGGACGCGCGTGGGAGGAGCTTCGAAGCATTACCCAGGCTGTGGGGTTTCTGGTGAGTGAGAGAGTGAGTGACTGAGGGAGTTAGTGCGTGAGGGAGGGAGGGAGTGAAGGGGGGATTGTATGAGGTAGCAAGGCTGTACGAGAAGTTAGAAGAGCCAGGAGAAAAGGCATCTCAAGGCACCCCAGAAAAAAACTCAGGTGTGTTTTGAGTCGACTCTATTCACACAAAGAGCCAGGAGGAAAGCATCTCAAGGTACTTCAGAAAAAGAGCCTTTGCCTTGGCTCTCACCCACTGCTTCCACCCACACCCAACCAGCCCCACCCCCCATCACCCCTCCACCGCTGCAACAGACGCCTAACAAGAATAGAGATTCGAGGAGATCATGACGACTCTCTTCCTAGTCTTTTAATACCACTCGTTGCCTCTCTCCCGCTGCTTCCACCCACACGCCCCCACACCCCACCCCCTTAGGTGACTTTTGAGTCGACTCAAAAGTCTCTCTCCCGCTGCTTCCACCCACACGCCCCCACACCCCACCCCCATAGGTGACTTTTGTGTCGACTCAAAAGTCTCTCTCCCGCTGCTTCCACCCACACGCCCCCACACCCCACCCCCATAGGTGACTTTTGAGTCGACTCAAAAGTCTCTCTCCCGCTGCTTCCACCCACACACCCCCACACCCCACCCCCATCACCCACGCCGCCACACCCCAACCCCATCACCTCTGCAGGTGCTGCAACAGACGCCTAACAAGAAAAGGTCACGAGGAGATCATGTCTTTTAACACCACTATTTGCCCCTCTCCTGCTGCTCTACCCCTTCTTCTCCCACCCCCCCTCTTCTCAGGTGCTGCACCAGGAACCCCAAGAAGAGTCTAGAGGAATTCGTAACGACTCTCTTCCCGTCGCTGTCAACATAGCAGCTGTATTGCATCGCCACCATGTACTGGGATGGCAAGTACGGCACACACACTGTCAGCACAGCACAGCTTCTCGGGCTCCTCCAACGTGTCCCCATTCCTGCCTCCTCCCACCTTCTCTGCCCCCAGGTGCTGCACCAGAAACCCAAGAAAAGTCTAGAGGAGATAGTCACCACCCTCTGCCCATCTCTCTCAACGCAGCAGCTGTATCGCATCACCACCATGTACTGGGATGGCAAGTACGGCAACATGCTCTCCTCTCTGCCTCCTACCGCGTTTTCCCCACCAGCTGCTGCACCAGAATCTCAAGAAGAGTCTCGAGGAAATCGTAACCACTCTCTGCTTGTCGCTGTCGACGCAGCAGGCTGTATCGCATCGCAACCATGTACTGGGATGGCAAGTACGGCACGCACATCGTCAGCACGGCTTTTGACATTCCTCAAGCACGTGCTCTTTTCTCACCTCCGCCCCTACACCAGGTGCTGCACCAGAAACCCAAGAAAAGCCTAGACGAGATAGTCACCACTCTCTGCCCGTCGCTGTCAACGCAGCAGCTGTACCGCATCGCGACTATGTACTGGGATGTCAAGTACAGCACGCACACCGTCAGCACGCAAGTCATTCAGATGATGCGCGCGAGAATGAGCGAGGAGGCGCGGTCCCCTGCTGCTACTGGATCTTTCCTGCTGGATGATGACTCGAGGTGAGAAGAGGGGGGATGAGCCGAGGTGAGGGGAGGGATGAGAACGGTCCACACTGTCAGCACGCGCACTGTCAGCACGCACGCTGTCAGCACGCACGCTGTCAGCACGCACGCTGTCAGCACGCACGCTGTCAGCACGCACACTGTCAGCACGCACGCTGTCAGCACGCACGCTGTCAGCACGCACACTGTCAGCACGCACACTGTCAGCACGCACACTGTCAGCACGCACACTGTCAGCACGCACACTGTCAGCACGCACACTGTCAGCACGCACACTGTCAGCACGCACACTGTCAGCACGCACACTGTCAGCACGCACGCTGTCAGCACGCACGCTGTCAGCACGCACGCTGTCAGCACGCACGCTGTCAGCACGCACACTGTCAGCACGCACGCTGTCAGCACGCACGCTGTCAGCACGCACACTGTCAGCACGCACGCTGTCAGCACGCACGCTGTCAGCACGCACGCTGTCAGCACGCACGCTGTCAGCACGCACACTGTCAGCACGCACGCTGTCAGCACGCACGCTGTCAGCACGCACGCTGTCAGCACGCACGCTGTCAGCACGCACGCTGTCAGCACGCACGCTGTCAGCACGCACGCTGTCAGCACGCACGCTGTCAGCACGCACGCTGTCAGCACGCACGCTGTCAGCACGCACGCTGTCAGCACGCACGCTGTCAGCACGCACGCTGTCAGCACGCACGCTGTCAGCACGCACGCTGTCAGCACGCACGCTGTCAGCACGCACACTGTCAGCACGCACACTGTCAGCACGCACACTGTCAGCACGCACACTGTCAGCACGCACGCTGTCAGCACGCACGCTGTCAGCACGCACGCTGTCAGCACGCACGCTGTCAGCACGCACACTGTCAGCACGCACGCTGTCAGCACGCACGCTGTCAGCACGCACGCTGTCAGCACGCACGCTGTCAGCACGCACACTGTCAGCACGCACACTGTCAGCACGCACACTGTCAGCACGCACACTGTCAGCACGCACACTGTCAGCACGCACACTGTCAGCACGCACACTGTCAGCACGCACGCTGTCAGCACGCACGCTGTCAGCACGCACGCTGTCAGCACGCACGCTGTCAGCACGCACACTGTCAGCACGCACGCTGTCAGCACGCACGCTGTCAGCACGCACACTGTCAGCACGCACGCTGTCAGCACGCACGCTGTCAGCACGCACGCTGTCAGCACGCACGCTGTCAGCACGCACGCTGTCAGCACGCACGCTGTCAGCACGCACGCTGTCAGCACGCACGCTGTCAGCACGCACGCTGTCAGCACGCACGCTGTCAGCACGCACACTGTCAGCACGCACGCTGTCAGCACGCACACTGTCAGCACGCACGCTGTCAGCACGCACGCTGTCAGCACGCACGCTGTCAGCACGCACACTGTCAGCACGCACGCTGTCAGCACGCACGCTGTCAGCACGCACGCTGTCAGCACGCACGCTGTCAGCACGCACGCTGTCAGCACGCACGCTGTCAGCACGCACGCTGTCAGCACGCACGCTGTCAGCACGCACGCTGTCAGCACGCACGCTGTCAGCACGCACGCTGTCAGCACGCACGCTGTCAGCACGCACGCTGTCAGCACGCACGCTGTCAGCACGCACGCTGTCAGCACGCACGCTGTCAGCACGCACGCTGTCAGCACGCACGCTGTCAGCACGCACGCTGTCAGCACGCACGCTGTCAGCACGCACGCTGTCAGCACGCACGCTGTCAGCACGCACGCTGTCAGCACGCACGCTGTCAGCACGCACGCTGTCAGCACGCACGCTGTCAGCACGCACGCTGTCAGCACGCACGCTGTCAGCACGCACACTGTCAGCACGCACACTGTCAGCACGCACACTGTCAGCACGCACGCTGTCAGCACGCACGCTGTCAGCACGCACGCTGTCAGCACGCACGCTGTCAGCACGCACGCTGTCAGCACGCACGCTGTCAGCACGCACGCTGTCAGCACGCACGCTGTCAGCACGCACACTGTCAGCACGCACACTGTCAGCACGCACACTGTCAGCACGCACACTGTCAGCACGCACACTGTCAGCACGCACACTGTCAGCACGCACACTGTCAGCACGCACGCTGTCAGCACGCACGCTGTCAGCACGCACGCTGTCAGCACGCACGCTGTCAGCACGCACGCTGTCAGCACGCACGCTGTCAGCACGCACGCTGTCAGCACGCACGCTGTCAGCACGCACGCTGTCAGCACGCACGCTGTCAGCACGCACACTGTCAGCACGCACGCTGTCAGCACGCACACTGTCAGCACGCACGCTGTCAGCACGCACGCTGTCAGCACGCACACTGTCAGCACGCACACTGTCAGCACGCACGCTGTCAGCACGCACACTGTCAGCACGCACACTGTCAGCACGCACACTGTCAGCACGCACACTGTCAGCACGCACACTGTCAGCACGCACACTGTCAGCACGCACACTGTCTGCACTGTCATTGCAGTGTTGTCTCCTCCATATTCCCTTCTCTCCCCTCCCACATTTCCCCTTCCCATGTTACTACGCAGTATCCCCTTTGGCCCTGACGATTTTGCACGCAGCATGGAGGGCATTGACATTGCAGTGCTGCCGGTGCCGCCTCCTCTCAGAGATAACCCCGCCTTCCACTTCCTCTCCTCACGCCCCTAACACCCTTCCACTTCCCCACGGCCTTAACACCCTTCCACTTCCCCACGCCCTTGACAACCCAACTTACAACTCAAACCCGGATGTGAGCCTTTCATCCTGAATCGCCTCCTCTCAGAAACTATCTGCTTCCCAAATCCTCACCTCACGGCCTTAGCACCAACCTGCTAACACTCCAATTCTCAAAACCCGCATGTGAGCTTTTCACCCCTTTGAGGCATGTCAAAAGTCACTCCCTCGCATCACGCCCTAACACCAGCCAGACTTCCAACACCCCATTCCTCGACTTGAACCTTTTGAGTTGACTCAAAAGTTTTCTCGACTTGAACCTGGACGGGTGCCTTTTACCCTTTCCACCGCCTTGATTTGAACAGACATTCGGATGAAGCTGGACGACCGTCCGTATTTGGGTGAATAACTCGTTTGAATAAAGGATCTCGTTCGAGTACTTAGCCCTTTTCGCAGCGGCGTTCCTCCGCTGCCCCTAACCCCACTGACTTACTGACCAACCGCCTTATCGACAGGCTATAGGAGGAGGTAATGAGGGGACCACCTGCAATATTGTGTACCACAATCATACGTGGTGATTGGAAACTCTCGCCAAAGCCCACGCCAGAAAAACTCCCTCTGGTCATCTTTTAAAAGCATGAACAATTTGGGCTGCCGGCTTTAAAGCGCCTTAAAGAACAGATCTATAGGTACGGTACATGATCCATTTACAGCAGCTCATCTCTCCCAAGTCCCAATCCTATCGCCGCTGGAAGTTGAGAAAGCGGAGGGCAATGGTGAACAATACGCAGAAGAAGAGACAGGAGAAGCCGAGCAGAGCAACAGCAGCAGCGGTAGTTCAAGTATGTTGTATGTATCCGATCCATCCGTTCATACCGTCATCGCCCGGATAGTAGACATATATGTCTTATCTCAAACACAGGCGAAAATGCTTGGCTTGTCTTGTATTCTGGACGGTTTAGGGTGTCTTATAAATCTTATAAATGGACAAAGAACCGTTTAGAAGATACCCCCTCGCTATACGATTGCCCCTAACCTCTACAACACTGGCTTAACGCGTACACACAAATAGGTGTCTTATAATGAGGCTAGCCTGTTTATAAGAGACACCCGGATAATAGACAACCCCTGTCTACTATTCAACACTGTCTACTATCCGGGCGATGACGGTAGCTTATCGCCGCTGGAAGTTGAGGTAGCGGAGGGCAACGGTGAACACGCAGAAGAAGAGGCAGGAGAAGCTGAGCAGAGCAACAGTGACGTAGCCCAGCCAGTCGTGGGAGAAGCCGTAGTAGAGCTGGATGAATTGTGATACAGTCTGAGCTGGCACTCCCAGTGAACTCACCACCTGGGTTGTTACATCTCCCAACTGATCATAACCAGAGATGAAACGAGGGATACATAGAGATAAGTTCTTTTATGGTACATGGCACAAGCTGGCCGGGCACCGGCAGGAGTGGGATAAGAAGAGAATACTTGGGAGTAAAAAGCAAGAGGGTATCACTTTTGAGAATTCTCAAAAGTGATTCCCAGATAAGAAGAGAATACTTGAGAGTAAAAAGCAAGAGGGTATCACTTTTGAGAATTCTCAAAAGTGATTCCCAGATAAGAAGAGAATACTTGGGAGTAAAAAGCAAGAGGGTATCACTTTTGAGAATTCTCAAAAGTGATTCCCAGATAAGAAGAGAATACTTGAGAGTAAAAAGCAAGAGGGTATCACTTTTGAGAATTCTCAAAATTGATTCCCAGATAAGAAGAGAATACTTGGGAGTAAAAAGCAAGAGGGTATCACTTTTGAGAATTCTCAAAAGTGATTCCCAGATAAGAAGAGAATACTTGAGAGTAAAAAGCAAGAGGGTATCACTTTTGAGAATTCTCAAAAGTGATTCCCAGATAAGAAGAGAATACTTGGGAGTAAAAAGCAAGAGGGTATCACTTTTGAGAATTCTCAAAAGTGATTCCCAGATAAGAAGAGAATACTTGAGAGTAAAAAGGAAGAGGGTATCACTTTTGAGAATTCTCAAAAGTGATTCCCAGATAAGAAGAGAATACTTGGGAGTAAAAAGCAAGAGGGTATCACTTTTGAGAATTCTCAAAAGTGATTCCCAGATAAGAAGAGAATACTTGAGAGTAAAAAGGAAGAGGGTATACCTGGGAAGCAGCAAGGCCATAGAGGGTCCATGCGACAGGGTTGATCCAATACAGCCATATCCAGTATGTGGGGATTTTCTGCGAGTGTGTCAGGGGGAGAAATAAGTAGGACAGAATGAGAGGGGAAGGGGGACATTCGATTGGGTTGATAAAATGCAGGCATTTCTATTCCACTACACATGGATCTTCTGTTTGAGTGTGGGGGATAAACAAGACAGAAGGTGAGGGAAAGGGGGACATTCAACAGGGTTGATACAATGCGGCCAATTATTTACCAACGCAGGGATGCTATGTTGAGTATTAAAGAACAATTAGCAACGAGCACTGCACTCACCGGCTGCGGCAAGAGGAAGCCGCAGAGAAGGTTCCAGAAGGAGTAGATGAAGGCAGAGAGCAGCGTTCCCAGCCCTTCAGCGGGCGTGATGGCACTCGTCATCATGCCGAAACACGTGAAGTAGAGCAGCGTGAGGAACTGAAACAGCAGGTACATAACGAATTTGACGGGCGTCCACTCGAACCGAATCATGGCGTATGTTATTAACGAGTACACCACAGCCTGGATCACCAAGTACGGCAACTCGATCGCTCCTTGCGCGAGCGCGTACGGGACCGCTCCGTACATCCCCGCACCCCTCTCCCGGTAGTAAATACTCCTTTCCACTGCCAGCATCGGCTGTATCGACGCGAGATTGCTCCACCCGAGGAAGAGAGCTGCTGTGTAAAGCGCACCCATGACGTTGACAATCTGCTGCGGCGTGTCGCGGGTGTTTCCGAAGCCGAAGAAGACGCCGCCGATGAGGAGAGCCATGAAGAAGGAGAAGAAGAAGCGCGCGCCGTTGTAGTCGGGCATGCGCCAGTACATGAGGTGCCGCTTCCACAGGTGCGTCGCGAACTGGGAAAGGGGTGTTGTTGGGTGCTGCGATGGGAAGAAGAGGTCCGGTTCCCCTTCGGGTGGCAGACTGGATTCCTGAATGAGCGACTCTATGGTCCTGTGGTTTGTGGGGGATAAGGGAGGACAGAGCAAAGGGAGGAGAAGGGGTGAGGGAGGAGTGATTTGGGGTTTGGCGGGTGGAGGAGGAGGAGAAGAAGTGCGCGCCGTTGTATTCGGGCATGCCTTGTGAGGCGCCTCAAAGGGCACCGTTGTAGTCAGGCATGCGCCAGTACATGAGGTGCCGCTTCCACACGTGCATCGCCAACTGGGACAGCGGCGTGGTGGGGTGCTGCGTTGGGAAGAAGAGGTCCGGTTCCCCTTCGGGAGGCTCGCTGGATTTTTGGATGAGTGACTCTATGGCCCTGCGGGAAAAGGGGGTAAGGGGGAGCAGAGCGTAAGAGGGGGGGGGAGAAGGTACTTGAGGAGGCGAGTGAGGCATGCTGGATTTCTGGATGAGCGACTCTGTGGTCCTGCAGGCAAGGGGGAGAGAATAGGAGAGGAGGGAAGTGGAGGGTGGGGGAGAGAGGGGGAGGGGGAGTTGAAGGGTACGAGCAGAGAAGGTTAGCAGGGAAGTGAGAAACTGGGTGGATGGTGAGTGAGGGAGACTGGGTTAGAGAGAAGTGGCTAAGCTCGTTTTTTGGAGCCTGAACCGGCTTGTTTGATGGAACAGAGCTTCTGAGCCTCTGCTGTGTTCACCTGGGCATCCCTGGGCCTCTGATGTTCCCACCTGATCCTCTGCTGTTCTCACCTGAACTTCTCTGACTGGCGGAAGAGGTGAGCAAAGTCGACGCCGAGCCGCTCTGCTGCTGCCGGCGCCGTGACCTCGAGCATCCACGCTGCTGGGTTGGCGCCCCCCTGGATGGGCGGCACTCCTGGGATGGCCTGGAGTGGGGATGGAGGGTGGGATGAGGGAAACGTGAAAGGGGGATTTGAGGAATGGGGAAGACTGTCGTGACCTCGAGCATCCACGCTGCTGGGTTGGCGCCAGGCTGGATGGGCGGCACCCCTGAGATGGCCTGGACGCACGGGAGGTGGATGAGGAGATCGCCTTTAAAGGGAAGAGGGGGGGAGAGGGTCAGTAGTCACCTCGAGCATCCACACTGGAGGGTTGGACTCAGTTTTGAGGCGCCTCAAAAGTCACCCCTGGGATGGCCTGGACGCACGGGGGGTGGATGAGGAGATCGACTTTAAAGGAAAGAGGGGGGGAGAGGGTCAGTTGTCACCTCAAGCACTGACACTGGAGGGTTGGACTCGGGCTGAATGGGCAGCACTCCTCAGAGTTGACTTTTGTGTCGACTCAAAAGTCAAGAAGGTCAGTTGTCACCTCAAGCACCGACACTGGAGGGTTGGACTCGGGCTGAATGGGCAGCACTCCTCAGAGTTGACTTTTGAGTCGACTCAAAAGTCGAGAAGGTCAGTAGTCACCTCAAGCACCGACACTGGAGGGTTCATCTGAGTCCACTGGAGGGTTGGACTCAGGCTGAATGGGCAGCACTCCTCAGATGAACTGGATGCATGCCAAGGTGGATGGGAGATGGAGGGGGGGAAGGGTGGTGGGGATGGGCTGGACTCAAACATGGAGGGTGTATGGGGGGGGTGATTGGGTGGGAGGGACCATTCGAGGTTGGCAAGAGAGGGATGGGAGACGATGGCAATCCCTTCTAGCATGCACGTTGTAGTTGTAGGGTGGTTCAAAGCAGTATAGGTGGTGCAAGGGGGTTTTGAGACGTCTCAAAGCACGTTGTAGGGTGGTTGCAATCCAAGCAGTGTGGGTAGTGTGAGGCAGAAGAGGAGCTAGACAATGAGTCAATATGTCTTGAGTCTGCTTTTGAGTCAATATGTCTTGAGTCTGCTTTTGAGTCAATATGTCTTGAGTCTGCTTTTGAGTCGACTCAAAAGCTAGGCAATGAGTCAAAATGTCTTGAGTTTTGCAAGGCTTGTGAAATGAGACAAGATGGCTCGAGACAATGGAGTTTTAGCTGCCAATCGGTTTGAGCTTCCATTCCTGTTTTACGCCTTACCTTGAAGTAGGGAATGAGGTCGCATGAGTGTGTGCCCAGCGATCCTGCATAGATGACCTCCCCTCCCCGCTGCATCAGCAGCAGCTGCAAGGTGGAGGGACGTAGGAGGTGGGTGGGAGGGTGGGCATAGGAAGATAGGGCAATGAGCGACAGTGAGTTCTCAACGACCCTGCATACATGAACTCTCCTCCCCGCTGCATCAGCAGCAGCTGCAAGGCGGAGGGAGGTAGGAAGAGAGGAAGACGAGATGGATAGGTCACCTCTCTATGTGGATTTTACTTTTGAGAATTCTCAAAACTAATCACCTCTCCTCTACGCTGCATCAGCCGCAGACGCAAGGCAGAGTCTTGCGAGAGAGAGGCAGAAGAGACGGGAAGGAGGGACAAGTACATGCTAGCGCAGGCTGAGCCAGTAGAACAAGGGAGGGGAGGGACACGGAGTAGGGGAAGTGGGGCGAGAGAAGAGAGAGTGCTATTTGTGCTGGAATATGGTGCAATTCACTGTTCGGTGATGTTGGGTGCATGTAATGCAATGTATCATGTGCCTCTTTACAGTGTATATTTGTTACAGTGTAACGAACACATGGCTGGTGCATAGTGCACTGCAGCACACAACCCTATGACCTGTGCTGACTGTGCCGCACATGAATGCATATATACATGTACACATGTATCGTGTATATATATGTATATATGCATATATGTATGTATGTATGTATGTATGTATGTATGTATGTATGTATGTATGTATGTATGTATGTATGTATGTATGTATGTATGTATGTATGTATGTATGTATGTATGTATGTATGTATGTATGTATGTATGTATGTATGTATGTATGTATGTATGTATGTATGTATGCATATATGCATATATGTATACATGTATATATGTAGAAATGTATAAATGTCAGAACGTACATATGTATAAATGTAAATGCAACAAACCATAGGATGCTTCACCTCGTCAAATGCCTCAAAGATGTCGATGGACGGTTGGTGGAAGATTGTATTCAATGGAGCCATACCCGTGCATTTTTTTTTAAATCTCACCTCATCAAATGACTCAAAGATGTCAATGGACAGCTGGTGGATGATTGTATTCAGAGGAGCCATGCACATGCATTTTTTAAAATCTCACCTCATCAAATGACTCAAAGATGTCGATGGACGGCTGGTGGATGGTGCACACGACTGTGCGGCCCGTGTTCACTGTGTTGCGCACCGCCCTCATCACTATGGCCGCTGCCCTCGCATCCAGGCCTGCAAAGGTTGTGGGGGAGAGGGAGGGAGAGGAGAATGAGGGGCAAGAGAATGAGAAACTAAGTGTTGCCAGTCTTAGCTGTGTTGCGCACATCACTATGGCCGCTGCCCTCGCATCCAGGCCTGCGATTGGAACAAGTTGTGCGGAGAGGGAGGGCGAGAGAAACAAATTACCGCCTGAGAGAATGATCGACTAAAAAGGATGATTTCCAAAGAGTAGGTGTTATCTGGGTGGCGGGTGTTGCCTGAGGGAGAGGTCTTATCTGAGGGAAGGTGTTGCGTGATTCAGGTCTACCTGGGGCGGAGTTGTTACCTGAGAGGTAGGTATACTTGGTGGGGAGGTGTTACCTGAGGTAGGTTTACCTGGTGGGGAGGTGTTACCTAAAGTTAGTATACATGAGGGGGAGGTGTTACCTGAGGTGGGTTCATCCATGAATATGATTGACGGGTTGGCTACGAGCTCCATTGCGATGGGCAGGTGTTACCTGATACCTGAGGTTAAGGCTTCACCTGAAGGGAAGGCGTTACCTGAGGTGGGTTCATCCATGAAGATGATTGACGGGTTGGCCACGAGCTCCACTGTGATGGGCTGGTGTTGCCTGAGGGGGGGGTGCTACTCAAGGGAGAGGCATCACCTGAGGTGGGTTCGTCCATGAAGATGATGGCAGGGTTACCTGAGAGGGAGGTGGTACCTGATGGGCGGGTATCACCTGAGGTGGGTTCATCCATGAAGATGATTGACGGGTTACATGTGAGGGAGGTGGTACCTGATGGTGGGGGCGGGTATCACCTGAGGTGGGTTCATCCATGAAGATGATTGACGGGTTACGTGAGAGGGAGGTGGTACCTGATGGTGGGGGCGGGTATCACCTGAGGTGGGTTCATCCATGAAGATGATTGACGGGTTGGCTACGAGCTCCACTGCGACGGGCAGGTGTTACCTGAAGTAGGTATACCTGAGGTTAAGGCTTCATCTCAAGGGAAGGCGTTACCTGAGGTGGGTTCATCCATGAAGATGATTGACGGGTTGGCAACGAGCTCCACTGCGATGGTCAGCCGCTTCCTCTGCTCCACCGACAGCCCGTCCTGCCCCGCCGTCCCCACCAGCGCTCCCTTCACCGGCTCTAACTCCACCAGCTCCTCCACTTCCTCAACGAATTCCTGTGGTAGGGGAGTGAGGACGAGGGGGGTGTTGTTGCAAATGCAAACCCAGCTGTGCCCGCCAGCGCTCCCTTTACTGGATCCAACTTCACCAGCTCCTCCACCTCCTCCACGAATTCCTGGAGAGGAGAGGGCACAGGGGTATGGAAAAAAAAAACATCAGCACAGGCTACCACAAGCGCTCCCTTCACCAGTGCCAACTCCACCAGCCCTTCCACCTCCTGCACGGATTGCTTGCTGCCCATACAGGCAGGCAGGGATGAGGAAAACGGCATGAGCTAAATCTCACACCGTTGCCCCCTTCACAACTCCACCAGCTGCTCCACCTCCTCCTCCTCCTCCCCAAATTTTTTAATTGGAGGGGGGTGGGTATGTGAACAAGGATGAGGGAAGACGCACGAGCACAGGCTCCCACCACTGTGCCCTTCACCGGTTCCAACTCCCTCATTGTCATTTCGTAGATTCTTTTGTTTTGATGCGCCTCAAGGACAGCCTTCACTGGCTATAACTCCATCAGTTAAACTTCTTGAAATATCTCAAAAGTGACACGCGTTCCTGTCGGGATTGCCACTACCATTGACTCACCATGACCGCACCCCTCCACTCACCATGACCGCACCCCTCCACTCACCACAATCACACCCCTCCACGCACCACAATCACACCCCTCTACTCACCACAATCACACCCCTCCACTCACCACAATCACACCCCTCTACTCACCACAATCACACCCCTCCACTCACCACAATCACACCCCTCTACTCACCACAATCACACCCCTCTACTCACCACAATCACACCCCTCTACTCACCACAATCACACCCCTCTACTCACCACAATCACACCCCTCCACTCACCACAATCACACCCCTCTACTCACCACAATCACACCCCTCCACTCACCACAATCACACCCCTCTACTCACCACAATCACACCCCTCTACTAACCACAATCACACCCCTCTACTCACCACAATCACACCCCTCTACTCACCACAATCACACCCCTCCACTCACCACAATCACACCCCTCCACTCACCACAATCACACCCCTCCACTCACCACAATCACACCCCTCTACTCACCACAATCACACCCCTCTACTCACCACAATCACACCCCTCTACTCACCACAATCACACCCCTACACTCACCACAATCACACCCCTCTACTCACCACAATCACACCCCTCCACTCACCACAATCACACCCCTCCACTCACCACAATCACACCCCTCTACTCACCACAATCACACCCCTCTACTCACCACAATCACACCCCTCTACTCACCACAATCACACCCCTCTACTCACCACAATCACACCCCTCTACTCACCACAATCACACCCCTCTACTCACCACAATCACACCCCTCTACTCACCACAATCACACCCCTCCACTCACCACAATCACACCCCTCTACTCACCACAATCACACCCCTCCACTCACCACAATCACACCCCTCCACTCACCACAATCACACCCCTCTACTCACCACAATCACACCCCTCTACTCACCACAATCACACCCCTCCACTCACCACAATCACACCCCTCCACTCACCACAATCACACCCCTCTACTCACCACAATCACACCCCTCTACTCACCACAATCACACCCCTCTTCGCCACTCACCAAAATGACATCCCTATCGGTCTCCTCGGGCAGGCGCAGCCAGGCGGAGTAGCGTAGCGCAGAGACTCAACCACAACACCGTGCCACTCATCTCATCATGATGACTACCTTTAACTCACCATTCTCGCATATCGCCACTCACCAAAATGACATCGCGGTCTATCTCCTCAGGCAGGCGCAGCCAGGCGGAGTAGAGCAGAGACTCATGCACGGTCACCTGGGGCGTGTGAATGTCCTCCTGCTCACAATATCCCGACACCCTCAGAAACGTCTCCTGCACTTTCGGGTACCCAGACACGCGGATATCCCCTTCAATGTACCCCCCTGTCTTCCTCCCTGCCAGCACATCCATTAACGTGGTCTTCCCTGCCCCAGACACCCCCATCAGGGCCGTCAGCACTCCGGGACGAAACACGCCGGACACGTTGCGCAGCAGCTGCAGCCGCTGGCCGGGCGGCCCATTCTTGTCCTTTAGCTCGGCGGGCATGTCGACATAGTAGTTGACATTGTGGAAGGAGAGAGTGAGAGGATCAAAGGGGAGGACCATGCCATGCTGGCCTATCTCCCCTCCACTCGCAGTCATCCCCCCTGCACCTTCACTTGCATCCCCATCACTCATGTATGAAACTGGCCTTTTCTGTCTCTGAGTCGGCTCAGAAGCTGCACCTTCACTTGCGTCCCCATCGCTCATGAATGAAACTGCTTTCCTCTGCTGCTGCTTCTCCTCTCCTCTTCTGACCTCTCCTCCTGGGCTGCTAACTGCACTCACCACCCCACCATCGCTCATAAATGAAACTGCTTTCCTCTGCCGTTGAGTCGAATCAAAAGCTGCCCCTTCACTCGCATCCCCATCACTCATAAACGAAACTGCTTTCCTCTGCCGCTGCTTCTCCTCTCCTCCTGTGCTGCTAACTGCACTCACCGCACCACCATCACTCGCACCACCATCACTCATATACGAAACTGCTTTCCTCTGGTGCTGATTTTTTCCCCTTCCACCTGGGCTGCTAACTGTACCGACTCCCGTGCTGGCACCCATCCCAGCAGCACCACCAGCAGCACCAGCACCAGCACCAGCAGAAACACCACCAAAACCCAGAAACGACCCCATACGGCTTCTTCTACGGCTCCTATGGCTACCATAGGCCCCTTCCTCCTCTCCTTCAGACATCCACGAGGCCAAACCTCGGGACCGAAGCGCCGGGCTGCCCGAAGAAAAAATTCCTTGCGAGCGGGCAGAAGGGGACGGTCGGCGGGACAGGCTCTTGGGGGAGCGGAAGCGGTTGGAGGCGAGGAAGCGGGCGGTGGCAGTGGAGCCGGTGCGGGAGAGAGTGCGGGCGCGCAGGGAGGAGTAGCGCGATGCGAAGTCCAGGTTGGTGCCGGCTAGCGATGCTTCCCGGGCGTCCAGCTGATGCTGCGAGATCACTGGCTGGGCCCTGGGCCACGCTGGGGGGAGGCGGAGAGGGGGGAAAGGGCGGTGAGGGTTTGGGGGAAGAAAAGGGAGAGAGCAAGAGAGGGGTGAGCTGGGTCGTCTAGCTGATGCTGGGAGATGACTCGCTGGGGCCCTGGTCCACGCTGGGGGGAAGGGGTGGTGTGGGGAGAGTGGGGTGGTGGTTGAAGACAGGGAAGAGGAACTGAGGGGTGAGTTGAGGCGTCCAGGTGATGCTGCGAGATCAGTGGCTGGGCCGTGGGCCAGGCTGGGGGAAAGAAAGTAGGGAGGGGAGGTAGAGGGGCGAAAGAGGAAGAGGGGGAGAGAAAGAGAAGGGAGAGAGCAAGAGAAGGGAGAGAGCAAGAAAAGGGATAGAGCAAGAGAAGGGAGAGAGCAAGAGAAGGGAGAGAGCAAGAGAAGGGAGAGAGCAAGAGAAGGGAGAGAGCAAGAGAAGGGAGAGAGCAAGAGAAGGGAGAGAGCAAGAGAAGGGAGAGAGCAAGAGAAGGGAGAGAGCAAGAGAAGGGAGAGAGCAAGAGAAGGGAGAGAGCAAGAGAAGGGAGAGAGCAAGAGAAGGGAGAGAGCAAGAGAAGGGAGAGGGCAAGCGAAGGGAGAGAGAAAGGGAAGGGAGAGAGAAAGGGAAGGGAGAGAGAAAGAGAAGGGAGAGAAGATGCTACCGACTGCAACACGGCTTGGGTGTGTTGTGAGGAGACTCAAAACAAACCTCGACAGCAAGACCGTCCCACATTTAGTAGGGGCCATCCCTGAACTTTGTGATCCAGTGAGTGAGATGAGAATGTTAAGAACGACGCTGAAGAGCGAGAGTTGAGACGTCGCTAGTGATTAAACAGCTTACGGTTGAGGTATTCAAGGGCCAGGATGGTAAGCACGATGCAGAGGAGAGTAAAGAGGACACCGACTGCAAGACCTCCCCACACCCAGAAGCCCTGGGTCCAGAGGCTGCGCGCTGTGAGCACCTGAATGCCCATTGTTGTGTTCAGTGAGAGGGGGTCGGAGGGCTGAGGAGCAGAGAAGGCAGGGGGAAGAGGGGGAGGAGGGAATGAGGGAGAGGAGAAATCAGGAGGAGAGATGGTGAGGCAAGCGCCCCACCCACACTTTTGAGACGTCTCAAGAGATGGTGAGGCAAGCGCCCCACCCACACTTTTGAGACGTCTCAAGAGATGGTGAGGCAAGCGCCCCACCCAAACTTTTGAGACGTCTTAAGAGATGGTGAGGCAAGCGCCCCACCCACACTTTTGAGACGTCTCAAGAGATGGTGAGGCAAGCGCCCCACCCACACCCAGAAGCCCTGCGTCCAGAGGCTGCGCGCTGTGAGCACCTGAGTGCTCATTGCTGTGTTCAGCGAGGAGGGGGCGGAGGGCTGGGGTGGATGGCGAGGAGAGGAAGGGGGAAGATGCGGCCAAACAGTTTAACCCTTCCTTGAAAAACCCTTGACGTTGCAGGGAGTTTTTTAAGAATTCTCAAAAACTCCCTGCAACGTCAAGAGGGCAGCAGGCAGGCTGGGGAGCAGGGGGGAGAATGGGGGAAGGAGAATTGAGGAGTTGGTTTTTGAGAATTCTCAAAAACTCCCTGCAACGTCAAGGAGAGGAAGAGGGAGGATGAGGCCGAACAGTTAAGAGGGGAGCAGGGTAATGGGGGAACAGAGTTTGGCTTTGTCTTGTCTTGAAAAGGACATGTATGCAAAGCATAGCATGCCATATTGTACCATACCATAAAATATCACATGGGCATGGCGTGGAAGTGCACAGGGCGCAGTACCATAACATGCCATACCATACCATGCCATGCCATACCATGCCATACCATACCATACCATACCATACCATACCATACCATACCATACCATACCATACCATACCATACCATACCATACCATACCATACCATACCATACCATACCATACCATACCAAACCATATCCCATACCATTCAAAAATGTACCATGTCATGCCATGGTACAGCACATGCACAGTACGTACCACATCCCATCTGGGGGCGAGAAACTCGTTGATGGCAAATGCGTTCTGAGAGTACGTGAGGGGCGAGATCCAATACACCCACACCCACACGTCGTGGATGTCGTCTGCAAGGGGCAAAAACGAGGGGCATGGAACAAGAGAACATGGGATGGGATGAGAGAGCAGTATGTGAGGGGTGACATCCAATACACCCACACCCACACGTCATGGATATTGTCTGAATGGGAGAGAGAGGGAATGGAGGAGCGAGGATGTGAGCATTGGATGAGGGTGGAATGGAAGTGCAGTACGCAGGTTAAGGCAGTATGAGGGTGCAGTAGCGGTGTGAGGGGCGAGGCTTTCAAACTGAGAATCCTACTCAGGGTGCAGTAGCGGTGTGAGGGGCGAGGCTTTCAAACTGAGAATCCTACTCAAGGTGCAGCAGCGGTGTGAGGGGCGAGGCTTTCAAACTGAGAATCCTACTCAGGGTGCAGTAGCGGTGTGAGGGGCGAGGCTTTCAAACTGAGAATCCTACTCAGGGTGCAGTAGCGGTGTAAGGGGCGAGGCTTTCAAACTGAGAATCCTACTCAGGGTGCAGTAGCGGTGTGAGGGGCGAGGCTTAGTACACTCACACCCACGCGTTGTGGATATCATCTCAAGGGGGATAATTTAGGATCCTCAAAAATCGCTCACGCGTTGTAAACATCATCGCAAGGGGGATTTTTTAGAATTCTCAAAAAGCGCTCACGCGTTGTGGATATCATCTCAAGGGGATGAAACGGGTAGATGGATGAACCCCGTTTTGGAGCGGTCTGCATTCGACTCAAAGGTCGCACCTTTCAGCAACCGAAACGTTTTCTGAGGAGCCTGGAAAGAAATAAAACGTTATGGCAGTATGTGAGGGAAGGGGGGGGGTATTCAATCTGCCCAGTCCCGCACGCCGTGGTGGTGTATGTGAGCTGCGGGGGGCAAGGGGGGCACGGGCTGACTTTTGAGTCGACTCAAAAGGAATGGAGTTGCTGCACGGGCTGACTTTTGAGTCGACTCAAAAGGAATGGAGTTGCTGCACGGGCTGACTTTTGAGTCGACTCAAAAGGAATGGAGTTGCTGCACGGGCTGACTTTTGAGTCGACTCAAAAGGAATGGAGTTGCTGCACGGGCTGACTTTTGAGTCGACTCAAAAGGAATGGAGTTGCTGCACGGGCTGACTTTTGAGTCGACTCAAAAGGAATGGAGTTGCTGCACGGGCTGACTTTTGAGTCGACTCAAAAGGAATGGAGTTGCTGCACGGGCTGACTTTTGAGTCGACTCAAAAGGAATGGAGTTGCTGCACGGGCTGACTTTTGAGTCGACTCAAAAGGAATGGAGTTGCTGCACGGGCTGACTTTTGAGTCGACTCAAAAGGAATGGAGTTGCTGCACGGGCTGACTTTTGAGTCGACTCAAAAGGAATGGAGTTGCTGCACGGGCTGACTTTTGAGTCGACTCAAAAGGAATGGAGTTGCTGCACGGGCTGACTTTTGAGTCGACTCAAAAGGAATGGAGTTGCTGCACGGGCTGACTTTTGAGTCGACTCAAAAGGAATGGAGTTGCTGCACGGGCTGACTTTTGAGTCGACTCAAAAGGAATGGAGTTGCTGCACGGGCTGACTTTTGAGTCGACTCAAAAGGAATGGAGTTGCTGCACGGGCTGACTTTTGAGTCGACTCAAAAGGAATGGAGTTGCTGCACGGGCTGACTTTTGAGTCGACTCAAAAGGAATGGAGTTGCTGCACGGGCTGACTTTTGAGTCGACTCAAAAGGAATGGAGTTGCTGCACGGGCTGACATTTGAGTCGACTCAAAAGGAATGGAGTTGCTGCACGGGCTGACTTTTGAGTCGACTCAAAAGGAATGGAGTTGCTGCACGGGCTGACTTTTGAGTCGACTCAAAAGGAATGGAGTTGCTGCACGGGCTGACTTTTGAGTCGACTCAAAAGGAATGGAGTTGCTGCACGGGCTGACTTTTGAGTCGACTCAAAAGGAATGGAGTTGCTGCACGGGCTGACTTTTGAGTCGACTCAAAAGGAATGGAGTTGCTGCACGGGCTGACTTTTGAGTCGACTCAAAAGGAATGGAGTTGCTGCACGGGCTGACTTTTGAGTCGACTCAAAAGGAATGGAGTTGCTGCACGGGCTGACTTTTGAGTCGACTCAAAAGGAATGGAGTTGCTGCACGGGCTGACTTTTGAGTCGACTCAAAAGGAATGGAGTTGCTGCACGGGCTGACTTTTGAGTCGACTCAAAAGGAATGGAGTTGCTGCACGGGCTGACTTTTGAGTCGACTCAAAAGGAATGGAGTTGCTGCACGGGCTGACTTTTGAGTCGACTCAAAAGGAATGGAGTTGCTGCACGGGCTGACTTTTGAGTCGACTCAAAAGGAATGGAGTTGCTGCACGGGCTGACTTTTGAGTCGACTCAAAAGGAATGGAGTTGCTGCACGGGCTGACTTTTGAGTCGACTCAAAAGGAATGGAGTTGCTGCACGGGCTGACTTTTGAGTCGACTCAAAAGGAATGGAGTTGCTGCACGGGCTGACTTTTGAGTCGACTCAAAAGGAATGGAGTTGCTGCACGGGCTGACTTTTGAGTCGACTCAAAAGGAATGGAGTTGCTGCACGGGCTGACTTTTGAGTCGACTCAAAAGGAATGGAGTTGCTGCACGGGCTGACTTTTGAGTCGACTCAAAAGGAATGGAGTTGCTGCACGGGCTGACTTTTGAGTCGACTCAAAAGGAATGGAGTTGCTGCACGGGCTGACTTTTGAGTCGACTCAAAAGGAATGGAGTTGCTGCACGGGCTGACTTTTGAGTCGACTCAAAAGGAATGGAGTTGCTGCACGGGCTGACTTTTGAGTCGACTCAAAAGGAATGGAGTTGCTGCACGGGCTGACTTTTGAGTCGACTCAAAAGGAATGGAGTTGCTGCACGGGCTGACTTTTGAGTCGACTCAAAAGGAATGGAGTTGCTGCACGGGCGAATGGGGGAACAAATGAACCGGGGTGTGAGCATGGGATGTGTGAGCATGGGGTGTGTGAGTATGGGGTGTGTGAGTATGGGGGGTGTGAGTATGGGGGGTGTGAGTATGGTGTGTGTGAGTTCGGGGTGTGTGAGCATGGGGTGTGTGAGCATGGGGTGTGTGAGTATGGGGTGTGTGAGTATGGGGGGTGCGAGCATAGGGGTGTGAGTATGGGGGGTGTGAGTATGGTGTGTGTGAGTATGGGGGGTGTGAGTATGGGGGGTGTGAGTATGGTGTGTGTGAGTTCGGGTTGTGTGAGTATAGGGGGTGTAGGTATGGGGGGTGTGAGTATGGATGTTTAGATCCGGCAGCAGTAGGTGAGAAAGGCAAGGTTCAGAATGTTCAGACCCACACTTTTGAGACGTCTCAAAAGTAGGTGAGAAAGGCAAGATTCAGAACGCGTTTTGAGACGTCTCAAAAGTAGGTGAGAAAGGCAAGATTCAGAACGCGTTTTGAGACGTCTCAAAAGTAGGTGAGAAAGGCAAGATTCAGAACGCGTTTTGAGACGTCTCAAAAGTAGGTGAGAAAGGCAAGATTCAGAACGCGTTTTGAGACGTCTCAAAAGTAGGTGAGAAAGGCAAGATTCAGAACGCGTTTTGAGACGTCTCAAAAGTAGGTGAGAAAGGCAAGATTCAGAACGCGTTTTGAGACGTCTCAAAAGTAGGTGAGAAAGGCAAGATTCAGAACGCGTTTTGAGACGTCTCAAAAGTAGGTGAGAAAGGCAAGATTCAGAACGCGTTTTGAGACGTCTCAAAAGTAGGTGAGAAAGGCAAGATTCAGAACGCGTTTTGAGACGTCTCAAAAGTAGGTGAGAAAGGCAAGATTCAGAACGCGTTTTGAGACGTCTCAAAAGTAGGTGAGAAAGGCAAGATTCAGAACGCGTTTTGAGACGTCTCAAAACTCGCCCAGTCGTTATGGCTGAAGAACGCTCAGACCCACACGCCTTCTAGAATTGAAAATATACATCTAACAAGCAAACACCTTAGGTGATGAGGAACCCTGATAGCTGGAAGTTGAACACTCTTTAGAGGACGAGGACGAGGATGAGGATGAGGTTGAGGACGAGGATGAGGACGAGGACGAGGATGGATGAAGATGCCAAGAGTGTTGATGAGCATGGTGCTGCGAAAACAGCCTGGAGGTCTTAACTAGCTGTAATCACAAGCACTTACCTTTGGTGATGAGTCATATCCCAAGCACTTACCTTTGGTGATGAGTCATATCCCAAGCACTTACCTTTAGTGATGAGGAACCCTGAGAGCAGGAAGAGAAGGACGAGAATGAAGTTGCCAAGCGTGTTGATGAGCGTGGTGCTGCGGAAAACGGCTCCCATGGCTCTATAGAGAGCAGAGGCAGACATGTGGGTGATGAAGAATAGCAGCAGCTGGGCGATGAATCTGCGAGGGTGGCGTAAGGAACAGGCGCAGGGAGGACAGGAGAGGGGAGAGATAGCTTTTTAACTAACAAAGTTATTTACAAGTTGAATCAGTCGCTGCCACGTACAGACATGGCTCCCATCTGGGGCTCCATCAGGCGCAGGGAGGACAGGAGAGGGGAGAGATTGCTGGCAGGTGGGAAAGGAGAGAGAAGGGAAGGCAGGGTGGAAGGGAGGTTGCCTCAAGGCCAGGAAGATAGCTTCCATAGAAGATGGTGGACTGGTGGAAGATGGTACAGAGCAGAGGCACTTGAAGAACTTGCTTACGAAGAACTTGCTTATGAGGAACTTGCTTATGAGGAACTTGCTTATGAAGAACTTGCTTATGAAGCCGATGCCATAGTAGATGATGGCGGTCCAGACTCCAGCTGAGAGCAGCTGTGAGCACGATTGGTTGCAAGAGATACCTGGAAGAGCGTACTGCAACTCATTGTGGGAAACTCACCGGGAGACCTCCGGGGCAAATTCGATGCCATAGTAGGTGATGGCGGTCCAGACCCCAGCAGACCAGAGAGAGACGGGCAGAGAGAGCAGCGCCATGGGCACACACCACGCCCAGCCAGAGAGAGCAGCGTGAGTGAGCAGCGTGAGTGAGCGACCAAGTAGTGACTCATGGAGGAAAACGTACCGAGAAAACTCTGGGGCGAAGCCGATGCCATAGTAGGTGATGGCGGTCCAGACCCCAGCAGACCAGAGAGAGACGGGCAGAGAGAGTAGCGCCATGGGCACACACCAGGCCCACGCGGGAAACAGCAGGTTGTCCCTTTGGAGGAAGTAGATGGGCAGGCGGGCTGTTAGAAGTGTGAGTTCGATGATTCCGCTGAACAGCATTGTGCTTATACCGAAGAAAATGGCGCCCAGGTAGTAGTTGCTGTCAACTGGGGTGATGGAAAATTGGGAGTGCCAGAAGACTGACATTGTGACTATAGCGAGGGGGAGTATCTGACGGGCGGGTGAGGGTGGGGGTGGGGAGGGTGGGGGCGGGGGAGGACAGGACCAGAGAAATGGCGTGGGAGTGGGAAGTGGGAAAAGAAGAACCGTTTCTGTATTTTTCTTTTCTTTTCTTGGAATCTGTGGTGCCAAAGAGTGAGGGAGCATGTGTAGTTGACTAAAGGTGGGAGGCTGGATATAAAGGTGAAGAGAGTGAAGGTGAGAGCATCTGCAAGGATGACCGCGCGGCCTGTACACTGTAGAGGAACATATTTCACGAATGACTAGGACTATAACGAGTATCTACTGTACCTGCATGGTCTGCACGATGTAGAGAAAAAGATTCCGCTTCATTAGCAGCCACTCGCGATCCCCCACAATGGTGAGCATGGCAAGGGGAGGGAGCCCAAACCGCCTCTGTGCCAAAGCAAGAGCCACACTCCCATCCTCTCTGTCTCCCTTTCCCTCCTCTCCCACGTTTTCCACGTCCTTCCCCTCATCCTCCCCCTTGTCTTCCACGTCTTTTCCCTCATTCTCTTCCTTCACTGTGCTCCGACCCTTCTTGAGTGGAATGGAGAGCTCTGCTTCCATCTGCTTGCCAAACCTGGAGGCTCGGAAGGCCTCCTCGAAGGCTCGGACGGACACGTAGCGGTATGGGTGGGGCTGGGAGGGAATCCAGTACTGTTCCTGGTCTTTTAGCGAGGTGACCTATATGGGGGATGGCAGGAAGCACGGCACAGGAAGCGGGGTAACGGAAGGGAGAAGAAGATAGAAAATAGTAAAGAGGTCGGTTTTGAGGCGCCTCAAAGAAGATAGAAAATAGAAAATATAGCACAGCTACATTTGAAAACGTTAGCACTTTCTCTGGATAAGCTTAAATTAAGAGCCAAGGGGCTGTGTCAGCAAAATATATCAAGATGAGGAAAAAACATCCGGGACTTGCTGTTGGCACGTGTATGAAGTGAATTTTGAGACGTCTCAAAAATTCAGTTTATACAAGCGAAAAAATGTCCGGGACTTGCTGTAGGCACCGTGATGGATGGAAACTCACCTCTTGCAAAAAATCAGCCACTCCCTTGCGAGCGGGGGGTGCAAACCCCATTTCCTGGAAGAATCCCAGCACCTCCTCCCTGGGCCCATGGTACACAATCCGCCCCTCTGACATCAGCATGACGTCATCAAACAGGTCAAAGGTTTCTGGTGCTGGTTGCAGCAGTGAGATAAGGGTGGTGGTATTAGTTAAGTGCGTGAGGTTGCGCAGGCATCTGGTGATCTGGTAAGTGGTGGCGGAATCGAGACCGGTGGAGATCTCGTCCAATAGGAGGACTTGCTTTGCGCCCAGGAGTGCTTCGGCGGTGGTAACCCTCTTTTTTTGCCCTCCTGATACTCCTCTACGCATGGCGTCTCCTAACATGGTATCAGCACACACATCCAGGCCTAGCATCTGAAGGACAGGTGAACGGGAGGGAAATGGGTGGAAGAGAGCACAGAGGAGGCTGGGTTGTGCTTCGCTTTTTCAGGCTCCTCAAGGAGGGGGTACGAAAGGGCAGGCAGAGGGACACCTGCTTGTTTGTTTCTAAATGTGCATGGACATGAACAGATATGAACAGACATGCAGAGAGATGCACAGAAACGCACAGACATGGATGCACAGATAGGCATGCATACGGATGTATGACATACGCACACATGCACACACATGCACACACATGCACACACATGCATACGGATGTATGACATACGCACACATGCACACACATGCACGCACATACACACACATATGCACACACATGCACGCAAATACACACACATATGCACACACATGCACGCACATACACACACATGCACACACATGCACGCACATACACACACATGCACACACATGCACGCACATACACACACACATGCACACACATACACACACACATGCACACACATGCACGCACATACACACACACATGCACACACATGCACGCACATACACACACATGCATACGCATTCACTCACATACACACACACATGCATACACATGCACTCACATGCATGCACGTTCGCACACGTGCATACACATGCAAGCTTGTTCACACAAATGCACACACATGCATGCAACCAAATTCACACACATGTAGACAAATGCATTCACATACACACATATTTCTCGCACATGCACGCATACTTCACACACATGCACTCACATGCACACATATTTCACACTCGTGCAGTGCACGCACGCATGTTTCACATGCACTCATATGCGCATATATTTCAGACACATCCACCCACATGCGCATATATTTCACACACATGCACTCACATTACAAGCACACATATTTCACACACACACACACACACACACACACACACACACACACACACACACACACACACACACACCTTAAGGACGTACTGTACCACAACATCGGAGCACTGCCTCTCATCGGCGATCGCCTGCAGCAGAGAGCAACGATTGTGACGCATGCACCAATACCAAAGGGGAGAGTGAGAAAGGGAAAGATCTGGTAGGCAGGGTGGCTGTGATAGTGATTTGGTGTTTCAATCCTGTCGCACATTGGTTGAGCGTGGTTTTTCAATTCCAAGAGCACAATGGATGGAGTGACATCACATGTCAAGGGGGGCACGACCCAGCATTTCCATGTCATTGTGAAAATACCTATTACAGCTGCCACTGTGGCATCAACACTAGCATGACGTCATCGCTACCTTCATTACGGCTTGCATGACGTCATCAGGCTGGACTCCTGCCTCCCGCTCTTTCTCCTCCAGCTGCCGAAATAGGTCTGAGTGGGGAGAGGGGGGGGGAGGGAGAATGAGCGATCGGTTTTCAGGGAGCAGAATGTGAAGAAACATCATAAGGTCGTTTTTGAGGCGCCTCAAAAACGACCTCAATGCAGAATGTGAAGAAACATCATAAGCAGGTAGCAGGCCGAGTGGAGATCAGATGGCAGTGTGGTTGGGATCTGATGACAGGGGAATGGGCATTCCAGCTGCAGAGTACCGCCACGGAAGGAGGGGAGGAGAGAGGAGGGGAAGAGGGAGGGAGGGAGGGAGGGAGGGAGGGAGGGAGGGAGGGAGGGAGGGAGGGAGGGAGGGAGGGAGGGAGGGAGTGAGAGGGAGGGAGAAGGGGGGGGGAGGGGGGGAGGGACGAGGGAGGGAGGGAGGAGGATGGATGGAGGGAGGAGGGAGGGAGGGAGGGAGGGAGGGAGGGAGGGAGGGAGGGAGGGAGAGAGGGAGGGAGGGAGGGAGAGAGGGAGGGAGGGAGGGAGGGAGCGAGGGAGGGTTTTTAGGGCCCCTGCAGGCGGGCAGAGAACTCGAGAATTTTCCTGACTGTCATCATCTCTTCTCCCTGCGAAGTCATAAGCCTTTCAATAGATCTCAATCCTCACCTGCCCGGTGGCCGGGCCCCTGCAGGCGAGCGGAGAACTCGAGGGTCTCCCGGACAGTCATCTCGCCGATGTGGGTGTCGGTCTGAGGCACAAACGCCACGGTCCGCGGCAGCACAAACTGGCTGCCCCGGCGGCCGTTGTACGTGACCTCGCCCTGCACGCGCAGCTCCCTCTCCGCCTTCCCTGCCAGGATCTTCAGCAGCGTTGACTTGCCGCTGCCTGGTGGGCCGAGCAGCAGCGTCATCCTGCGTGTTGGGAAGGAGGAGGGGTGGGTTGTATTGGGAGTAATGCAGGTGTAAATCAAGTGCTGATCAGCCTGGAGCATCTCTAAGAGGATCCTCTGCAGCGCTGACTTGCCGCTGCCTGGTGGGCCCAGCAGCAGCGTCATCCTGTGTGTTGGGAAGGAGGAGGGGTGGGTTGTATTGGGAGTAATGCAGGTGTAAATTAAGTGCTGATCAGCCTGGATCATCTCTAAGAGGATCCTCAGCAGCGCTGACTTGCCGCTGCCTGGTGGGCCCAGCCGCAGCGTCATCCTGTGGGGGCAATGGGTGGGGATGGGTTTGATTAGGTGGAGCTGGGTTTGACTTGGCGCTGGCATGGGCGATGTGAAGGCAGCCATCAGTAGCAAAGAGCAGGCAGGCAGCGCCTATCCTTTAATACTAACCACCGCTCCTGCAGCACCAGCTAGGCTTGGAATCCCCTCATCTGCCAGGCTTGAGAATGCCAGAGCAGCTATCAAGAGCGAAGAACAGGCGGCGATGGTTCTTGGCTAGATGCAGCTTCCTGAGCAGCAAGGTGACCCTGAGTATACTGAAAAAAAGCCCACCTGCCAGGCTTGAGGATGCCAGAGCAGCCGTCGAGGGCGAAGAACAGGCGGCGCTGGTCCTTGAGTAGCCGCAGCTCCCGCAGCACGGCGCCGACAGAATTCGAGAGCTGGTTGGGCAGCGTAGGCAGGCCCCTCTTCCCCACTCGCACCTTGGCGGACGCGCTCACCCCCTCAAAGCGCACCTCCACTCCGGGGAACGACACGCCAACGCTGGGGGGGGAAAGCGGATGATTGGGGACGGAGATGGGGGAAAGAGAAGGGGTGAATGGGGAGGCCCCTCGCCCCCACTCGCACCTTGGCGGACGCGCTCACCCCCTCAAAGCGCACCTCCACTCCGGGGAACGAGATGCCAACGCTGGGAGTCATGGGGTGGAGGAAGATGGGTAGAAGATGGGAGGAATAAGGGCAATAGGCAGGCCCCTCGCGCCCACTTGCACCTTGGCGAACGCGCTCACCCCCTCAAAGCGCACCTCCACTCCGGGGACGAGACACTAACGCTGCGGGGAAATGCGGGGGATTGGGGAGGGAGATGGGGGAATGTAAGGGGTGAATAGAGACGCCCCTCGCCCCCCACTGGCGGACGCGCTCACCCCCTCAAAGCGCACCTCCACTCCGGGGAACGAGACGCCAACGCTGGGAGTCATGGGGTGGAGGAAGATGGGTAGAAGATGGGAGGAATAAGGGCAATAGGCAGGCCCCTCGCGCCCACCCGCACCTTGGCGGACGCGCTCACCCCCTCAAAGCGCACCTCAACTCCGGGGAACGACACTCCCACAATGGGAGGGGGAAGCGGGGGAGGGGGGTGGGGGAATGGAGGGAGTGTGTATGCGTAGGATAGCCCCCTCGCCCCGGAAGTGTCCCAAGGGTTTCTATTAGGACCAAAATGTGAACCAAATGTGACCTATCCGTATCCTAAAAGACACTTATGGCAGGCTCGGACTTGTTCTTAAAAAAAAAAAAAAACAATCTACTTTCGTGGCGAGTCTCTACCTGTCCAGCCGTCGCCTCATCTTCTCCAGAAACTTTTCATTGTCCAGCTCGCCGCCCTCCATCGCCTGCTCCACCAATTGCCGCCACGCCATGTGCCGCCTCTCGCGATCCGTCTCCCCCATCCTGGCCGTCGCGTTCGTCACCTTCGGAGTTGCGATTCCAGTAATGTTTTTCCGGCCTTTTCCGTCCCACTTTTCTCCGTCTATCCTCGCGCGCTGAAAGTTTTTCACCTCTGTGGCACCCAACAGTCACTGCAATCAGCGCGCGGTGCAATGCCAGTGCATGCGATGCAGAAAACTTTCTTTCTCTGTGCAGCGTCGTACTGCGATAGTAGTGTAACCAATTTATTCTCCTACTACCGCGCCATTGAAGAATCATGCGTCTGTAAGTTGAGTGAGACTGCTATAAGTTGAGCTTTCAGGAGGTCTTAAAGCGGCGTTTACTGTTCCGTGATTGCTGATAGGAACATCATGGGGATGTTCCCCTCTGGCTGAGACGTTACCTGACGAACACGTTTGGGGAGGAAAATTGCTGACTGTGGGACAAGAACGAACAGTTTGTGGAAGCGGCTGGGCAGGTCATACAAATTCATGCTGATGTGATTGGCACGGAGACTCCCTCGGGGCGACCTCTTCGAGATACAGTACGACCTCTTCTGTGGGCAGGAAAAAAATACCAAGGGCATCAGAAAATGTGATGAAATGCACGAAGCTCTCACGTGGATGCGTTGATTGGCCTGATGGACCACCACTTCAGCGCGAAGCGGGGCGACTCTCCGCAGCGCAAATGCTGATTGATGACGTGACGAGCCGCTTCGCATCACCCCTCCTGGATGTGTTGCTGCCAAAACTGGTCGTGCCTTTTCAAGCGTTGTGAAATAGAGCACACATGCTGCTTGGGGAGGTGATACACATATATACATATATCTACATCTACAATACGTGTATAATAATATATGTATATTTAATGATCCCCCCACAACAGAGACATGTCCACACACCATACTCATACTCAAATTCCCAAGGGTCCTTTCTGATGTTCTTAATGACCAATATTTTTGTTTTTGTTTTACCTTGAATACTCCTGCTCTTTTTCAATTTCCAATGGCTAGGGATTTTTTGGAAGGAAAGATGAAGAGATGGATGAGAGCCTTGGGGCATGGGACAGATAACATTGTGTGTGTTCATGGATGAGGTGCGTGGAATAAGGGGCATATAACGTAAGATGGTGTATGAGTAGATGAGGTGTGTGGGATATGGGACAGCTAGGTACCGTAAGATGGTGTGTGAGTGAGTGGATGAGGTGCATGGTGTGGATGGATGTTGAGATATGGGACAGTTGTGAGATGGTGTGAATGGGCGAGATGCATGGGATAGGATTTGGGGACAGGTAAGATGTTTGATTGGATGAGATGCGTGGGAGGAATAGGATATGGGGGCATATAAGATGTTTGAATGGATGAGATGCATGGGAGGGATAGGATATGGGGACAGATAAGATGTTTGAATGGATGAGATGCGTGGATACCCAGGCCGCTGCTGCTGCTCCCTGTTCAGCTTTGCACCTTGTTATTAACAATAGCGCAACCCTTCCTCCTTTATAAGGCTTCTACATGTCTGTGTACAGTTTTTATCGGTGAGGTAACACATATCTGTATTGATGTTTGGAGAGGTCTCAGCAATCAGAGGAGCTTGGGCTGGTGTGAGGAGAGCAGTGATAGAATGCCCTCGTGATTCTGACACCCTGCATCGTGCATGGTACATTGAAACGATGGTACGACAATGCCTTGCGTCAATAGATCAAGAGCAAAGAGCAAGATGAAGATGGCAGTATGGCAACATGGGAAAAAAATAGTTTGAGAAGTCCCAGGAACTGAGTCTCAAAATGAAGCTCATGTAACCTGTGTCGCTTTTGACGGCTGAAAATGAGATTCTGGCACCCTGCATCACTTCTAAGCTCACTTCCGAGACTTCTCAGAAGGATGTGTGGTACCGTGCATACCATGCCACAGGCACACGAGCAAGGTGCAGTGTGGCAGAATAGGAGCAGTCACGTGGTCACATCACATGGGCTTGGAGTTTTTTTCGGCGCCCTTAAAACATGCAACAGACTCACAAGCAAGGTGCAATATGGCAGCATCGGACTTGTCATGCCAGCGTGCGGGCACATGGGCATGGAAATATGTAGGTGCCTTCATAAAACATGCATCACGCACCCGAGCAAGGTGCAATATGGCAGCATTGGATTGTCATGGCTGTACATGGCCACATGGGCGTAATTTTTTTAGGCGCCTTGATCAAACATGGCGCAGGAACACGAGCAAGGTGCGATATGGCAGCATTGGGGCTGTTGATTCAGGGTGTGGGCGCATGAGCTTCAAGAATCCTTCCTCGCCCTCCCTGTCCCACTCACCAGCTTTGCCTCTGCAGTACATGGTATCAGCAGCCATCGGCATCGGCAGCTAGCCTCTGCTTCACACACTCACCTTCCCTCGCCCCCTCCTTCGCCCCCTCCCTCCTCCAATCCCCCTCCCTTCCCGAACGGCCCTCCCTCTTCCACTCCCACTCACTGGCTTTGTCTGCAGCAGTCAAGCCATCAGCATCAACAGCAGCCACGTCAGCACCACGTGCCAGCAGCAGCCGCACCACCCCCTCATGCCCCGCCCCTGCAGCGCGGTGCAGAGCGGTGGCGCCCCCTGCTCTCGTCCTTGCTCCCACTGAAGCCCCATGCTGCAGGAGGGAGAGGAAGGGAGGAAGAACCAATTTATATGCTTACAAATGCAACTTCATATGGAACCAGCCAATTCTTTCATGCCCCGCCCATGCAGTGCGGTGCAAAGCGGTGCCCCCCCTGCTCTTGCCCTTGGTCCCTCTAATGTCCCGTGCTGCAGATAAGACGAGGGAGGGGAGGGCTCCAGACTGCATTCCGATGTGCAAGTTGAGACCAGCCAACACCGCATGCCGCGTTTCTGCAGCGCGGTGCAGTGCGGTGCAGAGCGGTGCCAGTCCCCCCTCTTGCCCTTGGTCCCTTTAATGTCCCGTGCTGCAGATAAGACGAGGGAGGGGAGTGCCCCAGACTGCATTTCAATGTGCAAATTGTGACCAGCCAACCACGAATGCCACGTTTCTGCAGCGCGGTGCAGTGCGGTGCAGAGTGGTGCCAGTCCCCCCTCTTGCCCTTGGTCCCTCTAATGTCCCGTGCTGCAGATAAGACGAGGGAGGGGAGTGCCCCAGACTGCATTTCGATGTGCAAGTTGTGACCAGCCAACCACGAATGTCGCGTTTCTGCAGCGCGGTGCAGTGCGGTGCAGAGTGGTGCCAGTCCCCCCTCTTGCCCTTGCTCCCTCTAATGTCCCGTGCTGCAGATAAGACGAGGGATGGGAGGGCTCCAGACTGCATTTTGATGTGCAAGTTGTGACCAGCCAACACCGCATGCCGCGTTTCTGCAACACGGTGCAGTGCGGTGCAGAGCGGTGCCAGTCCCCCCTCTTGCCCTTGCTCCCTCTAATGTCCCGTGCTGCAGATAAGACGAGGGATGGGAGGGCTCCAGACTGCATTTTGATGTGCAAGTTGTGACCAGCCAACACCGCATGCCGCGTTTCCGCAGAGCGATGCAGTGCGGTGCGATGACGCCCGCGGCTCTCGTCCGTGCTCCCACTGACGCCCCATGCTGCAGGGAGGAAGGGACGGAGCGTTTGCAACAGCAACTTCGTCTGACCAATCAAATGTGCAAGTTGTGACCAGCTCTTTCCTGTTCCGTGGCCCAACGATGTCCAATTACATGTTCTTTTTCGCTAGGTTTAAGTTCCACTCACTTTCAGCAACAAATCGCAGATCTCCACGTGTCCTGCACGCGCAGCGTAGATCTGAGGCGTGTGCCCGTTTGGTAGCCCGCTGTCGGAATCTCTCCCGTCCATGCCACGTGGCAAGCATCCGTCGGCGCAAGCGCCCCGACTGAGCAACTCGCGGACACGCGCAACATCTCCCCGTTGCGCGGCACCACCAAGGCCCCGCTCGAAGTCCATTTCCTCCAGCGATTGGTGCATCGGGGGAGCGGAGGCGCCATGGCACGCGCAGCAGGCGGCGGATGCGGAAGTTGCGCACGGGTCTAACCGGTTGTTGTGTAGCGATGAAGCCATTCGTCCTAACGAGCAAGAAAAAGACCTGGAAAAATAATTGCAGACGAAGAAAATGAAAGTTGCGAAAAGCTCTTGCGACTGCCGAGCAAGGTAAACTGACGAAGACAAAATAATCTAAATCGCCGATGCCGGGGATCGAACCCGGATCTTCCGCGTGACAGGCGGAGATACTGACCATTATACTACATCGACATGTCAGATGGTTTATAGTTTATTACCTATCCTTTATTAGTCATCTCCAGCAATCTAGACATTCGTGCAGAGCAGTCTTCTTGCTACCAGGTTTTCCTTTGGCTTCTCTCGTATTTTCGTGCCTAGACCAAATTCTGATCTCCGACCACTAGGCAAAATGGCTGCCAGGAATGTTATTACTGAGTTCCTGAAGAAGCGTGGTCGCCTCCCCTCACTGTTCTCCCCGCGTGTGCTTGTGAGTGTCAGGCGAAGTCGATAGTTGATCACTCCTCCTTTCGATGTCGTCATCTTAGTAGCCCCTCGTATTCCGCATTGCAGGTAGACTCGGTGCCGTGCCTCGTTCAGAGACATTCGTCAGCTGTTGCTGGAACTGCGGAATCTGTAGGGGTCGCTTCCCCTGAGACCAACGTGAGTGGTTCAGTTGATCTCGTACTCCTCATTCTGGAACGATGTACTTGTAGCAGTGTACTGAACTCAGGCATGTGTCTGTCAGCAGAAATGGCGTCGTCTGGGATGGCTTCTGGCTGCTGGCGGAATCGCCACTCTCCCGACATTCGTCAGTTCGTCCGAATCGATCGCCTTATCGGAAGCCTCATCAGAGGTACTTATCGCCATAGTGCTCTCGGTTCTCCTCTTCTTTCCGTGGTAACTCGATAACGGAAGCCTTTTTTTTGCGTCCGTACAGAAAAGTAGTGCGGGGAAGTCTGACGTCGGGGGACCAGATGGATCGTTCAAACCTCAGATCGTCTTCGTTCTTGGTATGCTCCTCGCGTCATGGTCTGCTATTCGTTAACATAGCGGTGTTTCAATCCATTACGAGAACTCAATGGTGCTGACTGCACGATGCAGGTGGTCCTGGGAGTGGCAAGGGAACTCAATGCGCCAAGATTGTCGAGGAATACGGATTTACCCACTTGAGCGCTGGCGATCTCCTACGTGCCGAAATCAAGTCTGGATCTTCTCACGGGTAAGAAATTCTTCATCACCCACTCTCCCCACTGTATCTGCCGTACATAGTATGTATCGCTGCTGAGGTGTACGTTCTTCTGCTGCTGCAGAAACATGATCCAGAATATGATAAAGGATGGGAAGATTGTTCCAGCCGAGGTCACTGTTGGTCTACTTCAGAAAGCAATGAAGGAGAGTGGGAATAATAAGTTCCTCATTGATGGGTTTCCTCGGAACAACGACAACAGGACCGTCTTTGAAAACCAGGTAAACTAAAACTGCATAGTTGTTTTTTGTTGTCTGGTGCGTCTGGTTCGGAATCTGATAGCTCCTCGTTCCTTGCAGACTGGCATCGATCCTGAGTTTATTCTCTTCTTTGATTGCCCTGAGGACGTAATGGTCAAGCGTCTACTTGGAAGAAACCAGGTGAGCTTGGCGGGCTGTTTCCCTTGTAAAACCGAAGGACTTATAACACGTACTAATTTGACTTATCGTCTGCAGGGACGGATTGACGATAACATGGATACGATCAAAAAGAGATTTCGGGTTTTCTTGGACCAGAGTGTCCCAGTTGTGAATCATTATGACTTGCGTGGCAAAGTGCGAAAGGTCAGTGAAAATTGTCTTGGAGTATTCTTCTTCCAACACTAATTCCGTATTGTAGGCAACGTCCAAGTCGGCTCAATCAAATTCTTGCTTTTGCATCACCTTTGTGTTTTCCGTGGCCCCGTTAGTAGTTTCATATGGTTCGGAATGACTGATCTTATGCGATTTTACTGTTGCTACGCAACCTACCACGACTCCACTGACTTCCATGCAGGTTGATGCCACCCGCTCCCCAGACGAAGTCTTCCAAGCAGTTTCTCCTCTTTTTACCAAGTTCCGTGAGGTATGCGGCAGCTTCCTCTTCTGTGATGAGACTTCTTTTGCCAAGAAGTTCAAAGCTGACTCTCTTCTGTTGTCACAGGGTGATTTGCTGGACAACACAAAGGCCTTGCTGAATGCCATTGACACCGGGGATTACAAGACGTACTCCAACCTCTCAGACGAACACCTTTCTGCCTTTGAGCCTGAAGCACAAGGTATGTCGATTTCCATGCCAGGATGTATTCCGTCCAGAGCACTTTTGTGCTGTTTCTGATGGTTCTCCTCTGGCTCGCAGGTGGCTTGGTCAAGGGCCTGGAGTTCCACAAATACTATTTTGATCGCAGCATTGGGAATGGTTCATCAAAGTCAACCATGGTCGCACCCCACGTTGCCATTGTTGGCAATGCTGGGGTTGTTTCCTACACACGTCTCATTCAAACGACTGATGCTTCAGGAAAGGTGGAAAGCAAAGCGTTCAACGAGACGAGAGTATGGGAGCGGCGGAAGAGTGCTGATGGAACGTGGGAGTGGAAGAACATTCACTTCCACCGGTCCCAAGCGTAGGTAATACCGGATTCGGCACTGAAACTAGTGGATTTGTCAGGATTTACAGGTAAGCAACTGAAACAAAGGTGTTTTTTCAGTCCTGTCTCAGTTATACAGGAAGGAGGCATCTGCATGTAGTGAAGTACACCTGCCGTTTTCAAAATCTAAGTGTAATAATACCCATACTTGAGTGCCACAATTGTTATCACATGGAATAGCTCAACTGTAGTTAGTCACCCGAAACTCAAATATGCGACTGCTCGCTGCACAGGGGGAATCAACAGAGACGGTTTTGGCAAAGTGGGTGGACGGCAACCGTTAACTCATGCGGCGAAAAGTCAGGCTTCTCAACGTGGAGCTGCGACAGGTTCGACCCTGCTACCAGATAGACTTTCCTCCTTTTGACGAACTCTGACGAACCTTATTCCACCTCACCGGCCGCCATGTGTTGGGAAGGAGAATTGCGGGGAATTGGGGATCTGTTGCTGGCAGGGTGGGGGAGAAATCGGGGGAGGAAAATCCCAAGATCGCAGGGTAAATTAGGGCTGAAGGAGGAATGGCGCTGTTTCTTGTGGATTCGGTGTGGTTCATCCCGTCGTCAGTTCTCTGCTCCACAGGAGCCGCCGGTTTCTCTTCAGAGTCATAATCCTCCGTTTCTACTTTCTGCGGTTTCGTTTTGAATCTTTTCTTTTCGCTTGCCACTGTAGGCTGAGCTGTTCGTGAACGTGTGAAGTAGTTTGGAAGACGTCAGCAAGAGTTAGCTTGAACGGTGAAGCTAGGGCATCGTCTTCGTAAGTCCGCTTCCAGCAGAGAAAATACACCCTCTAGTGTCATCTTCCTCGCGTACTATCACTATCAACGGACTGATTCGTTAGTGCGGTGTTGGGGAAGCTAGTATGGAGGACGGCAAAGAGGCCGTCGCCCGTCCGGAAAACGGATCTGGCGCACCGCCGAATGCGCAGATGCCGTTTGACTCGGCTCAAAAGCCATCCGGCGTCGCGACAAATCTTCCGCAACTTCCGCCGCCCGTTACGCGCGGCTTCGAGCCCCCCCGAGACCCATCTAGAATCCACTCTTCCCAGAATATACCCTCGCAACTAGAAGCTACTCCGGGTTCTACCCCCGGGGCCGTTACTGGCGGTCACGGAATCGGGAAGAATCCAATCGCCGGTGCCGGAATTCCCGGAACATCCGGAAGCTCTTTCGCGGGTCAAACGGGCGTTGAAGGAAGCGGTCCGAGCACGCCTGGCCCGCCGGCGGCTTTAATCGGCGGAGTAAGCGGCTCGTCGGGGATGGAGACTACCCCGCAACAGACAACGCCGCCGGGTCGCGGCGCGGACACGAAGGCGTTTGTTAAGGAGCTTCAGGCGTTCTTCGAGTCGCGCCATCAGGAGTTTAAGGTTCCGAAGTTCTATGGCGTGGAGGTCGACCTGCTGAAGTGAGTTAATTACCAGGTTACAGCGGGTCTACACCTAATCTCACGGAAGGTAAGGCGTCGTGCTAGGGTACTGAAACGGGGTGCGACACTCACCCTCACCTTCCCCCCCCCCACAACCTATTACCCTCACGCTCTATTTCGGCCTCTCTCGAAATCGCGCAAAAAAATCCTTCCTTTCATGGCACGATACGAGCTCCGGAGAACCGTTACATTAGGTATTTCTCGTAACTAGGACGGAGACAAGGCGATCCCGTGGGAATTAGCAGCAGCAGCTGGAGCGTCGTGGCTGCCATTTGTAATTTTGTTGGCTCGCATTTTTCTCTGGTGTTACCTTGTTGTTAATTATGAGGCATCTTAACACTCAATCACCATCTTGGGCCCCCTCCATGCCAGCTTTCCGCAGGTGAAGGTTTTATTCCTTATCTTCTATTCCTCCCTCCTGCCCTCTATACTCTTCCTCCCCTCTCTCCCTCCCCCTTCCTCAATCCGCCCCTCCCTTTCCCCATTTTCCCCTCCTCCCCCTCCTCCCCCTCGCCCCCCCCTACGCCTATTCCTTCCGCCTCATCTCCTTTTTTTGCAGGCTTTGGCAAGTCGTCTGCTCTTTCGGTGGCTTTGACAAGGTGACAACTTTATTCCTCCGTTTTATTTACATGTTCAGTATGAGGCGTTTCAAAACTTGACTTTGACAAGGTTATGTAACCATGTTACGACTCCTTTTCAAAGAGATGTTACAACGACATCCTCTCAAAGCCTTCCTTGTTCGTTCTTGTCTCGTGACTGCGTCACTCTCAAATCAAATATCCCTCTTTTCTTTGTCCAATCACCAGGTGACAAGTGGCAAGCTCTGGCGTGTCGTTGGGGACCAATTCGACCCGCCCAAGTACGCCCTTTCTTCCCAAGTGCCTCGTCTGTATTTTAGGCAAAATAAAAACAAGAAACTGGTCCAAGAAGCTTTAAAAGCTGCCTTGCATGTCTCCATTTTCTAACTTATGTTCGCTGCTGGCAGAGTACCTAGTTTTAACAGATGTCACTCACAGGCACCTAAAAGATGTCAATCGATCCTCGTTCACTCAGTCCCTCGATCCCTCGTTTTTTAACATTCCATCCCGAGTCGCGTCGTGTATGCTTCCCTACCTTTCCCTGCTTTGCGCTCAGGTCATGCACCACGCTCTCCTGGTCTTTCCGGGGCTTCTACGAGAAGGTACGGATGTATGCTCCTCGACTGTGACAGGGCTGGCGGGTTTGGGCAGGGCCTCTGGGTTCTGGCAAGCTTCAAAGGCCCTTTCCCTCCCTTCTCACATGCTTTGATCGCACACTCCTCTCTTTCCCCCTTCTCGCCCCCTTCTCTTTCCCTCCCTTGCAACCCTCCTCCCCTCCCGCCTCCAGGCGCTACTGGAGTACGAGAAGCACGTGGGTGTGGACCCCTTGCTGGAAGGCACTTTAGCCATCACCCCGCGGGGATGTGGGCGTGGTTCCTTGTTCCCCCACTTCACTCCTTAGTTGCGGAAGACGCAGGGACCGTCCTGCGTCTAGCGTTTAGACGCAGCGGCATCTAGACGCTAGACGCATGGGGTAAAATTTTTTGGGCAGCCTGAAAATAAAAAACAGACCCCCTCCCACCCATTTCGACCTTGAAAAACAGCCCACAAATGTTATATACGTCCACATCCCCCCCTCCCCATGCCCCATAGAAGGTTTTTTGGCTGCCCATACTTTTTTTGCCTGCCCGGGCTTACGTCTAATCCTGCGTCTAATCTGGCCTATACTTGCGTCTAGCGTCTTAGACGCAGCGTCTAGACGCCAGCGTCTAAGACGCTAGACGTGTCTTCCGCAACTAAGCTTCACTCCCGTTCCTCACCAACCCCCCAAGGCGTTACTGGAGTACGAGAAGCATGTGGGCGTGGATCCCTTGCTGGAATTTTTTGAGAATTCTCAAAAACTTCCTGCAACGGCGTGGATCCGTTGCTGGAGGGCACTCTCGCCATCACTCCGCGCACCCCCTTGCACCCGCTTTCACCCACTTGCTCTCCTGATCACAACCCCAGGCGCTACTGGAGTACGAGAAGCACGTGGGCGTGGATCCCATGCTGGAGGGCACTCTCGCCCATCACCCCCTCTCACCCCCTTGCACCATCTTTCACCCACTTGCGCCCCCTACCTCCTCTCCTCCACCAGGCGCTACTGGAGTACGAGAAGCACGTGGGCGTGGACCCCTTGCTGGAGGGCAAACTCGCCATCACCCCGAAGACAGACAGCAAGCACCACCAGGAGGTGGGTGGTTCTGCTGTGGGGGTGTGGGGGTGTGGTGCTGTGCGGGTGTGGGGGTGTGGTGCTGTGCGGGTGTGGGGGTGTGGTGCTGTGCGGGTGTGGGGGTGTGGTGCTGTGCGGGTGTGGGGTTGTGGTGCTGTGCGGGTGTGGGGTTGTGGTGCTGTGCGGGTGTGGGGGTGTGGTGCTGTGCGGGTGTGGGGGTGTGGTGCTGTGCGGGTGTGGGGGTGTGGTGCTGTGCGGGTGTGGGGGTGTGGTGCTGTGCGGGTGTGGGGGTGTGGTGCTGTGCGGGTGTGGGGTTGTGGTGCTGTGCGGGTGTGGGGTTGTGGTGCTGTGCGGGTGTGGGGTTGTGGTGCTGTGCGGGTGTGGGGTTGTGGTGCTGTGCGGGTGTGGGGTTGTGGTGCTGTGCGGGTGTGGGGTTGTGGTGCTGTGCGGGTGTGGGGGTGTGGTGCTGTGCGGGTGTGGGGTTGTGGTGCTGTGCGGGTGTGGGGTTGTGGTGCTGTGCGGGTGTGGGGGTGTGGTGCTGTGCGGGTGTGGGGGTGTGGTGCTGTGCGGGTGTGGGGGTGTGGTGCTGTGCGGGTGTGGGGTTGTGGTGCTGTGCGGGTGTGGGGGTGTGGTGCTGTGCGGGTGTGGGGTTGTGGTGCTGTGCGGGTGTGGGGGTGTGGTGCTGTGCGGGTGTGGGGGTGTGGTGCTGTGCGGGTGTGGGGGTGTGGTGCTGTGCGGGTGTGGGGGTGTGGTGCTGTGGCGGGTGTGGGGGTGTGGTGCTGTGCGGGTGTGGGGGTGTGGTGCTGTGCGGGTGTGGGGGTGTGGTGCTGTGCGGGTGTGGGGGTGTGGTGCTGTGCGGGTGTGGGGGTGTGGTGCTGTGCGGGTGTGGGGTTGTGGTGCTGTGCGGGTGTGGGGTTGTGGTGCTGTGCGGGTGTGGGGTTGTGGTGCTGTGCGGGTGTGGGGTTGTGGTGCTGTGCGGGTGTGGGGTTGTGGTGCTGTGCGGGTGTGGGGTTGTGGTGCTGTGCGGGTGTGGGGTTGTGGTGCTGTGCGGGTGTGGGGGTGTGGTGCTGTGCGGGTGTGGGGTTGTGGTGCTGTGCGGGTGTGGGGTTGTGGTGCTGTGCGGGTGTGGGGGTGTGGTGCTGTGCGGGTGTGGGGGTGTGGTGCTGTGCGGGTGTGGGGGTGTGGTGCTGTGCGGGTGTGGGGGTGTGGTGCTGTGCGGGTGTGGGGGTGTGGTGCTGTGCGGGTGTGGGGGTGTGGTGCTGTGCGGGTGTGGGGTTGTGGTGCTGTGCGGGTGTGGGGTTGTGGTGCTGTGCGGGTGTGGGGTTGTGGTGCTGTGCGGGTGTGGGGTTGTGGTGCTGTGCGGGTGTGGGGTTGTGGTGCTGTGCGGGTGTGGGGTGTGGTGCTGTGCGGGTGTGGGGTTGTGGTGCTGTGCGGGTGTGGGGTTGTGGTGCTGTGCGGGTGTGGGGGTGTGGTGCTGTGCGGGTGTGGGGGTGTGGTGCTGTGCGGGTGTGGGGGTGTGGTGCTGTGCGGGTGTGGGGTTGTGGTGCTGTGCGGGTGTGGGGGTGTGGTGCTGTGCGGGTGTGGGGTTGTGGTGCTGTGCGGGTGTGGGGGTGTGGTGCTGTGCGGGTGTGGGGGTGTGGTGCTGTGCGGGTGTGGGGGTGTGGTGCTGTGCGGGTGTGGGGGTGTGGTGCTGTGCGGGTGTGGGGGTGTGGTGCTGTGCGGGTGTGGGGGTGTGGTGCTGTGCGGGTGTGGGGGTGTGGTGCTGTGCGGGTGTGGGGGTGTGGTGCTGTGCGGGTGTGGGGGTGTGGTGCTGTGCGGGTGTGGGGTTGTGGTGCTGTGCGGGTGTGGGGTTGTGGTGCTGTGCGGGTGTGGGGTTGTGGTGCTGTGCGGGTGTGGGGTTGTGGTGCTGTGCGGGTGTGGGGTTGTGGTGCTGTGCGGGTGTGGGGTGTGGTGCTGTGCGGGTGTGGGGTTGTGGTGCTGTGCGGGTGTGGGGTTGTGGTGCTGTGCGGGTGTGGGGGTGTGGTGCTGTGCGGGTGTGGGGGTGTGGTGCTGTGCGGGTGTGGGGGTGTGGTGCTGTGCGGGTGTGGGGTTGTGGTGCTGTGCGGGTGTGGGGGTGTGGTGCTGTGCGGGTGTGGGGGTGTGGTGCTGTGCGGGTGTGGGGGTGTGGTGCTGTGCGGGTGTGGGGGTGTGGTGCTGTGCGGGTGTGGGGGTGTGGTGCTGTGCGGGTGTGGGGGTGTGGTGCTGTGCGGGTGTGGGGGTGTGGTGCTGTGCGGGTGTGGGGGTGTGGTGCTGTGCGGGTGTGGGGGTGTGGTGCTGTGCGGGTGTGGGGGTGTGGTGCTGTGCGGGTGTGGGGTTGTGGTGCTGTGCGGGTGTGGGGTTGTGGTGCTGTGCGGGTGTGGGGTTGTGGTGCTGTGCGGGTGTGGGGTTGTGGTGCTGTGCGGGTGTGGGGGTGTGGTGCTGTGCGGGTGTGGGGGTGTGGTGCTGTGCGGGTGTGGGGGTGTGGTGCTGTGCGGGTGTCGGGGTGTGGTGCTGTGCGGGTGTGGGGTTGTGGTGCTGTGCGGGTGTGGGGGTGTGGTGCTGTGCGGGTGTGGGGGTGTGGTGCTGCGGGGGTGTGATGGAGAGTGAGATGGCAGGGTGGGGTGGGCGTGGGGTAGTAGAGGGTGCAAGAGTGGGCTCTGTTGCTGGAGGGCACTTTCGTCATCACCCCACAGACCGATACCAACCAAGCGCCATGGCAGGCAGTAGGAGGTGGGTGTGCTGCGTTCTGTGAGCCCCTGCCAGGAGGCGCGTCTGAGTGAGGTGCGGTTGAGTGCGGTGCGGTGCGTGCTGGGGTGGTGGTACCCCATGTGTATGGTTGAGCTGATTCTGTTGCGTGGAGTGGATGGATCACAGGGAGGGGACAACGTGCCAAGTGGTGATTTTACTTCTGAGAATTCTCAAAAGTACATCAACATAGCCGGATCACAGGAAGGGGACAATCTGCCACGTGATGCCAAGAGAATGGTTGAGATCGAAGCTGCACTCCACTTTTGAGACTGGCTAACCTGATTCTTATTTTCTGTTTACCCAGTTCTGATAACAGCAGGGGGGATCTTTTAGGGGCCTCAAAAATTGCACTGCACTTGTGAGACTGGCTAACCTCATTCTGATATTCTGTTAACCCGGTTTTGATCACAGCAGGGGGGCAGTGGGCCACGTGGAGCCAAGCGATTGGCTGCAGCCAAGACCGGGGCTGCTGATGGGGACCACACGGATACTCCCAAGGTGAGGATACTCCCAAGGTGGGGATACTCCCAAGGTGATTGAGGTTGTTGATGTGGATCACACGAACACTTTTGTTAGGATACTTTAGTGCAGTAGGATGCTTCCAACATAAGTTTGCTTTGAACACCATGGGGGGGCAGAACAGGTGGCAACTATGCAACACTTGTTGTACGCCTACCGCACTACTTCTTTTCCTCATATTCTCCTTATGCCGCGCTCCTGAAGGATGCTGTATCCTTCAGCTCAATAAGCATTATTACGAGGCGCTTCCACGATCCTCTCAGTTCTCCTCCTCGCGCTTCCTCCCACTCTCCCCCCTTCCCCTTCTCCCCACTGCTCATATCACATCATACCTTCTATCCAGGAGCGCGGCACCCCAGGATCAGGCCCATATCAGCAATTCTCCGAGGTTCACGAATCGTCTCAGTTCTCCCCCTCGCTCTTCCTCCCACTCTCCCCTCTTCCCCTTCTCCCCCCTGCTCTTTTCACATCTTATTCTTCTATCCAGGAGCGCGGCACCCCAGGATCAGGCCCAAAGCGTCACAGGCGGAACCAAGAGGGTGGTGGTGAGGAGGGGAAAGTGAGGGAGAGTGAGGGAGAGCAAGGGAGAGCGAGGGAGAGCGAGGGAGAGCGAGGGAGAGCGAGTGGTGACTCGTGCCACTAGTCATAAATCTGAATCCATGGTATGGTGAGTCCATGGTTTTGATGCATGTCGATTCATGACTTGCATGAAAAAGTGTTTTTGAGACGTCTCAAAACACTTCTTCATGCACATGGTGAGACCATGGTATTGATGCATGCGGTCATGACTTGTCCCATGGTTGGATCCGACCCTTGAAAGGTCTCATCAATCACTCTCTCCTCCACTCACCTAATCTCTACTCCCCACTCTCGCTGTAACCCCCCCAAACCCCACCCCACCCCTCCCCACCCAACACCCTTCCTCCCTGTCGCCCTCTCCTTTCCCCCCTCCCTCCTCGCTGTAACCAACAGAAGAAACACCTGAAGGAACACCTGGGGCGGCGACCAGGGCAGCAGATGCGCCCCGCCCCAGAGGCAGGCCGCCTGGGAGCGGGGGAGGCACACCTGGGGGAGGTGGAACCGCGGGGAGAGAGGGGGGAAGGCGGACTGCAGGGGAGGGGGGAGCAGGGCGAGGGGGAGTGGGGGGAGGGGGAGCAGGGGTTGTAGGAGGACCAGGGGGAGGAGTAGGGGGAGGAGTAGGGGGTGGAGTGGGGGGTGGAGTGGGGGGAGGAGGAGTGGGCGCAGCAGCGATGGATGATGGGGCAGTGGCTGTGGTGAACGACTTGGGTCTGCCGGCTGACTGGGTTCGAATCAACGTCCGGCGATCGGTACGCATGGGTTGGGAACAGTGCGGTTGGTTTGGGATGGGTTGGGCCACTCTGCTTTTCTAAGGTGCCTTGCAGTTTGTTACGCTTGTGCTACTCTTTGTTTCGCTTGTGCTACTCTTTGTTTCTCAGCTCTGGCATTTCATGTTTCGCCCTTTCCCACCGCCGGATCCCCCACCCTCCCAGCCGGACTGCTTTGAGATCTACGCTCTTGTCCCAGGCCTGCTGCGTGAAGAGGTGAGCTGAGTAGGAAAGAGGTGAGCTGAGTAGAGAAAGAGGTGAGCTGAGTAGGAAAGAGGTGAGCTGAGTGTTGCTGCTGCCACATACTGGCATCCTGGTATCCATCAAACCAGGCACACACACGCTTTTGTCTGCTTTACCGTAACACGCACACCCTCTGTTTTTCTGAGGTGCTGTGTGGTGTGGGCCGGTGGGCAAGCCAGTGAGGGGGGGGAAATGTTGATACGCCTTCAGGTCTTTTACAGCTGCAAGTGTTCTTCTCTCTTTGTATTCCTTGAAAAATGTACATTTACCTCTCTAGGAGAGAGGTAAAATGTAGAGGCACTTTACCTCTCTCACCCCTAGTGCTCTCTCTCAGGTGACTTTTGAGTCGACTCAAGAGTCACCACAGCTGCAAGTGTTCTTCTCTCTTTGTATTCCTTGAAAAATGTACTGCACTTTACCTCTCTCACCCCTTGTCCTCTCTCTCAGGTGCGAGTGCAGTGTGAGCCGGCAGGCAAGCTGGTCATCGCAGGGGAGCCAGAGCAGCCGGACAACCCGTGGGGTGTCACGCCCTTCAAGAAGGTGAGAGTTTCATCCATGGCATTTGGCTTTGTCGGGTGATAAGAGCTTCAAATGCCCCTTTAGTGGCCGCCTCTTTCTGAACATGGCCTGTGTAATCGCCTGTTTTTCGGTCGCCTCTATGTACCGGACAATTGGTGAGCAGTCACGCTGTTTGTGAAGGCGAGGTTTCTGCTTTGCGGGCGAGGTTTCTACTCACGTCACGCTCAGTGAGTAGGTATGAGGTGTCTGGAAGCCGTATTGGAGTGACTTTTGAGAATTCTCAAAAGTCAGTGAGTAGGTATGAGGTGTCTGGAAGCCGTATTGGAGTGACTTTTGAGAATTCTCAAAAGTCAGTGAGTAGGTTTGAGGTGTCTGGAAGCCGTATTGGAGTGACTTTTGAGAATTCTCAAAAGTCAGTGAGTAGGTATGAGGTGTCTGGAAGCCGTATTGGAGTGACTTTTGAGAATTCTCAAAAGTCAGTGAGTAGGTATGAGGTGTCTGGAAGCCGTATTGGAGTGACTTTTGAGAATTCTCAAAAGTCAGTGAGTAGGTTTGAGGTGTCTGGAAGCCGTATTGGAGTGACTTTTGAGAATTCTCAAAAGTCAGTGAGTAGGTATGAGGTGTCTGGAAGCCGTATTGGAGTGACTTTTGAGAATTCTCAAAAGTCAGTGAGTAGGTATGAGGTGTCTGGAAGTCGTATTGGAGTGACTTTTGAGAATTCTCAAAAGTCAGTGAGTAGGTATGAGGTGTCTGGAAGTCGTATTGGAGTGACTTTTGAGAATTCTCAAAAGTCAGTGAGTAGATATGAGGTGTCTGGAAGCCGTTTTTGAGGCGCCTCAAAAACGACCTCAATGCAGTAGGTATGAGGTGTCTGGAAGCCAACTTTTTTATTGTCTTTTTCATAGTCTCCTTTTCTTGCCGCTCCTTAGATTCACCTTCTTTTCTAACAACTCTACATCCAAGCCCCTTTCGCGCACACCACGCGCCCAGTCTTTTCCCCTAACTTCCCCCTCAGCAGCATTCCCCCTATTCCTCCTCTTCTCCCCACCTTCCCCCCTGCCTCCTGCAGCAGGTGATTCTGCTGCCGGCAGCCATCAACGCGAATCAGACGTCGGCGGTGGTAACCCTATACAGCCAGCTCCTATGTGCAAATCCATCAGACCCCTCCCTCGGCCCAACCCCCCTCTCTCCCCATAGGTGATTCTACTGCCAGCAGCCATCAATGCGAATCAGACGTCAGCAGTGGTAACCCTACACGGCCAGCTCCTACGTGTGACCCCCCTCTTTCCCTCTCACCTTCTTCTCTTCCCCTGCCCCCTCTCTCTCCCCACAGGTGATTCTGCTGCCAGCAGCCATCAATGCGAATCAGACGTCAGCAGTGGTAACCCTACACGGCCAGCTCCTACGTGTGAGCCCCCTCTTTCCCTCTCACCTTCTTCTCTTCCCCTGCCCCCTCTCTCTCCCCGCAGGTGATTCTGCTGCCAGCAGCCATCAACGCGAATCAGACGTCAGCAGTGGTAACCCTACACGGCCAGCTCTATGTGCGAGCCCCCCTTGCCAACCCCGCCCCCACCGCCCTCTCCCCCCAGCTGACCCCCATCCCCGCCCCTGAGCTTCCCCCTCCGCCCCTGCCACCGATGGGGGGAGGGCAGGGGCAGGGGGGCCAGGGGCAGGGGGGACAGGGACAGGGGAATCAGGGGAATCAAGGGCACATGGGGCAAGGGCAGGGGCAGCAAGGGGTGGCGGCGCAAGGCATGGCACTCGCACGTGGGCATGGGTGTGGGCATGAGAAGCAGCAGTTTTTCACTCAAGAAACTAACAGACAGCAGATGCCCAAAGTTGAAGGTGTGGAGACATCACTCCCACTACAGCAGCAGCAGCAGCAGCAGCAGGGTGTGATTGAGGCAAGGGCAGGGCCACAGCAGGGACTGGCAGCAGGGCATGCAGCAGCAATGCAGCAGCAGGCAAACCCTAACCAACTGTCGCGGCTCCAGCAGCAGCAGCTACTGGTGCAATCTCAGGTGCAGCCAGCACAGCAGCAGGTGCAACCGCCTAGAACAGGGGGATCTGCTGATGTGGATATGATGGGTAGGGATGGAGGTGAGGGGTTGAGTGAGGGCGGTAAGGATGGGAATGCGAGTGTGAATAAGCCAAATTATACCACCGAGTCTCAGAATGGGATGGTGCAGCAGCTGCAGCAAGCACAGCAGGGGAAGCAGGCGGAGCGAGAGACGGGTAATAATGAGATGAAGATTGGCATGGCGGTTACCGCTGCTTCGTAACCAGCAACAGAACGTATGGTTTTATGAGTGAGTATACCAATGCGGACTGGAATGACATTGATAACCCAAGAAATGTTGACAGTTAGCGTGTGCTGGTAAAAAGGCACATCACCGTGAGACATCACGGCTCATGACTTGTGACTATAGAGATTGTCACACATGGTGCTGTTAATGTTGAACCATGTTATAGAATGTGTTTCATGTTGAACTAAGCTACTGTAGACTGCTGCAGACTGTTGTTGAATTGTGTATGTATTGTCATGCTCATTCCATCTTTTCCTTATATTGCCCATTGATGGGTCACATTGTAGCATTGCTGACCCTGTAAAGCTTCAGTTGTTTGACGGTTAGCCTGTGGTTAATTAGTGTTCGCAAGTTTTGCAATAGAACCAGAATTCACCTAATGCGGTGTTCTCTGTATTGCGTTATACGAACACACCACCCTCCCCCCGATACTGTAACCCTAATTCTAATCTCGAGGGAGCCTTCATATTAGGCAGGACTGAAAAGTCACTTACGTCTTCCAGCCGCCTTGGATCGCAGATTAGGAGGGTGCAACGGTTTCGCGACCCGACCGCCTTTCCTTTCTAAACTTTCATTTTCGTCCCCCTCTCGCCGCCGCATTCACCCCCGTCGAGTTCCGTCAAACTACCGCCGGCCGTTACCGTCAAAACCACCACCAAATCCGTCCGATGGGGATATTTCTGGACGAGCCCAAGTTCCCGGTGATCGATCGCACGCCGTCGTTCGGTCGCACGGTTGGTAACTTCACGTTCAGCGACTACAAGAGCGTCGCCACGTTCACCGCCGTGTCGCTGCCGTTCGGCTACCTCGCAGGTACGTGTCTCGCCAGGACTCGCGCTCAATGTGACTGAAGCCTGAACTTAGAAGTACCAGACAGTAGCATTTGATCCAATTCTTTTTAATAATACCCCCATTCCATTCGAGTCGTTGCTTAATCGTTCAGGATTCGTTCTTCACGTCTCTTCAAGATAGCTTCCCCCCCTCCCCCAACTCCCCCCCCCCTTCCCTGCCCCCACTCCCCCTCCTCCCTCCCCTGATTTGCAGTTTCTATTCGCCTCGTCCTAATCTTACCTCATCCTGTTACTTGCAGCGTGAGGTGAAAGCGTCAGTGCCTGAGGCGTTACAGCATCTACTGTGCTGCAACCTGTTTTTTTTAGAATTCTCAAAAACAGACTGAGGCGTTACAGCATCTACTGTGCTGCAACCTGTTTTTTTAGAATTCTCAAAAAGCAGACTGAGGCGTTACAGCATCTACTGTGCTGCAACCTTTTTTTTTTAGAATTCTAAAAAACAGACTGAGGCGTTACAGCATCTACTGTGCTGCAACCTGTTTTGTTAGAATTCTCAAAAAACAGGCTGAGGCGTTACAGCATCTAGTGTGCTGCAACCTCTCGCTGCTTCAGGTGAAATCGCTGACCTGAGGGGGCCCAGCACGTACTGTGCGGGTATTCTCGGGCTGATGTGCCGAGTCTTCATGCACGCATGCCAGCAGGCATATACCCGTCTCATCTTCGCATACCCGTCTCGTGCGCTCCACATGCCCCCTTTCCCAATGGTTTCAGGTGGAATCGCCAATCTGAGGGGAGACAGCATGTACCGTGCGGGTATCCTCGGGCTGATGGGGGAAGGGAGGGGTGTGGGCTGGGTGTACTCATGCCAGAGCTCGTATACGCTCTCTGTATCTTGCCTTCCCCCACTTGCCTTCCCCCACTTGCCTTCCCTTTCTGCTGATTCAGGTGGAAGCGCCAACCTGAGGGGCCCTAGCATGTACTGTGTGGGTATCCTCGGGCTAATGGGGGGATTCATGTACGCGTGCCAGCATTCAATTACGTTCCCTATGTCTCATCCTCCCATACCCTCCTCTCCTATCGCACCCCTCCTACTGCTTCAGGTGGGAGCGCCAATCTGAGGGGCCCTAGCATGTACTGTGTGGGTATTCTCGTTCTGATGGGGGAAGGAAGGGGTGTGGGCTGGGTGTACTCATGCCTTCCCCTACATGCCTTTCCCTACTTGCCATCCCTGTTCTGTTGCATCAGGTGGAAGCGCCAACCTGAGGGGCCCCAGCATGTACTGTGCGGGTATCCTCGGGCTGATGGGGGGATTCATGTACGCATACCAGCAGTCCTCTGGGCGGCTCATGGGCATGTTCCCGAACAAGTGGGAGGTGGAGCGCGAGAAGTGGAGCAACTAGAAGGGAGAGGTTTTAATATGGTGTATGTGGGGGAAATGTCTCTTTTCTATAGGAGCATTTTTGTGCTGATGGGGTACCCCCCCCCCCTCCCCCCCCTCCCATGTGTACACTACCGGTAGTCTTCTGGGCGGCTTATGGGCATGCTCCCGAAAATGTGGGAGGTGCAGCGGGAGAAGTGGAGCAGCAACTAGGAAGGGAGCCGTCAAGATGGTGTATTTGGAAAAAAAGGGCTCTGTTTTCTATAGGAGCAGTTATGTGCTGGTGGGGTACCTCTGTCCATCCATACCATGTGTACGCATACCGGTAGTCTTCTCGCTGACTCTTAGGCATGTTTCTGAACAAGTGGGATATGGATGGATCGTGAAAAGCGGAGCAACTAGACAAGGAACTAAGAGTGTATTCCTATCTTCATATCAAGAGAACCTCATATCAAGCTCCCACAGAAAATTCCCCTAAACCCGAAACCTCTCACTAACCTTACCAGGCAAAAAGTACAATCTTGATACTATGAGGTTCTCTTGATATGAGGATAGGAATACGCCCTAAGATGGTGATTATGGAGGGAATGGGCAATCTTGGTTGCGAACATTATCGAACAATCACATTTGCATAATATGTAATGTACTGCTACAACGAGCTTGCATTCACAGTACACATACACGAGGACTTCTTAAATAATACACACAAGCCTGCATGTGCACTCAATTCTTCTCATCAGCAGCTAGTCAATTCTTTATTCTGCAGCACCTCAATCGGCCTCATCTTAATCTGTCTCGAATAACACCCGCTACTGGCCGGGCTACACTTATACACATACTTCTGACTACCAGAAGTGGAAGAACCGATAACAACTCCTTTCGAATCCACCTGTATGCTGAAAGAGTCTTTCCGCGAATTCTGCAAGCTGGTTACAGCTGGTGAGGCGGAGGATAATAGCATTGACGGTGTTGCTGATGCTGATGCTGATGGTGACGCTGATGAGGATGATGATGGATATGAGGAAGATGATGATGTAGATGGAGATTTCGTGGTCTTGTGGTTGTATCCACTGTCAATGTCAAACTTGCCCGATCCAAATGCTGCATGATGGGATAAGGGCACACGAGAACGTGTCAGCTTGGGAAGACATATTTTTTAGGCGCCTCAAAAATCGTTTGGGAGCACAGCCCTGGTCATTCCATGTGTGGTGGGGTCACAGTCGCCTTAACGCCCATATTGTTCCACGGTCCATCTGGTGATTTGCTGCCCCACCCCTTGCCCCACCACCAACTGCCCGCCCAAACGCCCCACCTACCCCACCAGCAACTGAGATTGTGCTTCCTTGCACCTATTGAGGAAACACCATGACTCACAGTCAGAAGAAGTTTGCTTGATGCGGAGTGGGAACGAGAAGGTGTCGGTCTGGGAGGACAGCACAGCCCTGGTCGTTGCGTGTGTGGCTGTCACACTCCTCTTAACGCCCACGTTGTTCCACCAGGTGATTGCGGCCCCCCCTCCCTGAACCATTGCTGCTGCATCCACTGACATGGAGGATGTAACCAGAGTGGTAACCGGGCCGTCAGCTGTGGTTACCGTGCCTGGTGTGATTGTAACAGGGGGGTGTGATTGTAGAGGGGGGAATGGAAGTGAGCGGCAAGCGCAAGTGTGAATGCGTGTGATATTCCCTTTCATCAGGTTTTCACCGACCAGAGGGGTTACCGGGCAACCTGCTGTGGTTACCGTGCCTGGTATGATAGTAAAGGGGGATGTGATTGTAAAGCGCGGGGTGCGAAGTAAAGTGGCTCACTGTTGTGCTGCAAACAGAAAGGCGTCACACAGTTGCGTCTTGATGCGCATGCTGTTCCACTATACACGCTCACCTGAGATGGAGTATTCACGCGCAGCAGCAGTGCTGTACTTGCCGTTGCCGTCGATGCTAAGCCGCACTCCCGTTATGTGCACCCCACCCGATCACCCTGTGCAGCACCCTGTGTCAGTGTTGCGTTAACACAACCACACTAGCATTAACACACCCACACTAACCTGAGATGGAGTATTCACGCGCAGCAACAGTGCTGTACTTGCCGTCGATGCTCAGCCGCACCCCCATCAGCCGAAAAGCACGCACCACCGGGCTTTCAAACAGCTTCACCCTCTCCTTCCTACTGCTGGGAGCCACCTTGATGGTGGGTGGCGGCCCAGCTGTAGACGTCACTGCGGAATCTGCCCAAATGTGCACGATCCCAGTCAAGTACCATGCAGCTCCAGGCTTTGCATTCACCACCGAAACCCTAATTTCGTGCGGCTGCCCGTCAGATAAAACCCCTGCGAACGGGGTCACGTCGAGGGTAACTGTCGGGAAACCAAAGTTGCCTATTCCCACTGCGGGTGACCAGAGCAGCGGGTTGAACGCGCCGGTGTAAAGCGGAGTGAAAGGGTAAATTGCCCCGGCAAATCGGTTGTCGATGAAGAGATTCAGCTCGCGAAAGGGGCCGCCTTCGGGTTTGAATTTGGGCTTTAAGGAGCTAGGAAGGCTATTGTAGAATTTATTTGGGAAATAGAGGTAATAAAACTCGTCCTCCGCGTGCATCGATATAGTAAGCTCCACCTTCGCTTTAATCACATTCGTCGGAAGGCCAGAGAGTGTCTGTAGAGCACTACGAGAAGTGGCGGAGGCTCCGGAGAGGATGTAAGGGGAGGAGGAGGAGGAAGAAGTGTAAGTGGTGCAGAAGGGGAGGAGGAGGGAAGGGGGAGTGGTGGGGGGTGTTCCTTGGTAGGTGGTGAGTGAGATGGTGACGTTGAAAATGCCGGTGTATTCGCTGTCAACAACGTTCTCTAGAATCACATAGACAGTTGAGGCCTGCAGGAGTGAAGGGTGGGAAGGGAGAGAAGAAGGGGAGAGGGGAAAGAGGAGGAGGGGACCTTTCTAGATGGTTGACATGGCATACATGGGATGGCATGGGATGGCATGGCATGGCATGGCATGGCATGGGATGGCACTAGGTGTCGGGTGAGGGAGGCTGAGCAGAAGCAATAAAAGAGAAGAGGTAGGAGCTAAGGTGGGGGGAAGGAGGGGAGGTGAGGAGAGGAAGAGGCGAGGAGGAGAAGGGAAGAGAGGAAAAAGAGAGGAGGTTAGCGGAAAAGGAAGAGAGGAGGGGAGGGGGAGGGAGGAGGCAAGGAGAAAAGAAGAGTTGAGAGAAGAGAGAGAAGAGGATGAGATGAGGAAAGGAAGAGGATGTGACTGTTTAGTTTAGAAGAGGATGTGACTCACAGTTTTAAGCATGGGTGCATATTTGGTCACGTCTCGCTCAAACGAGTAGTGAATCTCAGTTCCCAATGGCTCTGCAGTGCTGTTAATGAGTCACGCAATAGGGCGGACAATGGAGGTAGTAGGGTGAGATGGGTGTGGGGATGGGGGGCGAGGGGGGGTGGAGATGGGAGAGGGTAGGGGTGTGTGGGGAGGATGATAAAGAGGGAAATTAGAGACAGGAAAAAAATAAATGAATGCGTTTACTGTTACACAACACTCACATTGATCTGGAAACCTCGAAACCGCCGAAGAAAATCACCATGCGCCGATCGAACTGCACGCCTTTCACCTTCACGCCCACCGACAGCACAGCCAACGACCAATCCGCCTGCGACACGTGGCACGACGATTAACACAGATGTACGAGCGTCAATCTTTCCACATCCAATCCTTCACCCACCAGCTTTCGCGTCAGGTACCCAAGCCATGCGCCGACGTTCAGATTTCTAAAAATCGTCGTCCGCTCCTAACCACGCATCCCAAATTCCCAATCTTTCCCCACCTGGGAAAGGTACAGTACTACCTGAGGCACCTCTCCCTAATCCTAAGGGCGTATTCCTAGCTTCGGGTCATCCGGTGTTTGTGTCATCCGAAAATTGTGGTAGCCAATTGGAAAACCCGCGGTTCGGAATTTGATTTTAACCTCCTCCCCTGCACGCCGCCCACACTACCCTCCTCCCTTCCCCCCCTCTTCCCCCCTCTTTCCCCCTCCCACCCACACTCCCTTATCTTCCCCATATTTCCCTTTCCCCCTTTCTCATCACAACTACTAGAATCACAGCTACTATGGCGAGTCGCCACAACTTCCGAATCTCGTCCCAGTTACCAGATTCTAAAGCTGTCTTCTTCCTCATTATACCGCGTACAGTCCTACTCACCGAGGCGCAGTTCGGGTCTGGGGTGTACGAAGTTTGAGTTGGCGGGTTACCAATCGTAGATGCGAAAGGTTCGTCAGTAAACAGTGTTACTGTACACTCCACGGCGCCTTGCGGCCGCACAATCGGTCTCGCCACTTCGAACACTGTATACGGCGCATTCGGGTCCGTTTCCTCCTTTGGTACGACATTAGCGAAAGCGGTAACCCCAAGCCTAGTATTACTTCCGCTCGCGCCGTTCGCTCCAGGAGCAGCTGTTTCTCCTCCGCTTCCCCCTGCTCCTCCCGCCTTGTCGTCTTCGCGAGACGCCGCCGTGTATTTTTCGCGTAACACCGTAACGGCTTGCGAAATGTTTCGTAGCTGGAGGAATTGCTGCGGTACTCGCCACGTTTTTGCCGTCCTTCGCACGCCGAAATCGCCGGCGCGAGGGCCGCCGCGATTGACGGGGTCGCCGGTGGCGACGGCGAAAAGCAACACGAATGTTAGCGAAAGGGGGAGGAGGGGGGCGAGGAGGGTGCTCGCGGATCGATGACCCGCGCCGCGAAACGGCCGCATCGCACGAGGAATCGATGTAACGCTGGGACTCCTACTCACGCTGGGACTCGTACTAATACTGCTGCTTGTGCTGCTAGTAGGAGCGTTCTGAGTCGTCGCCATGCCTGTTGAGAAAAAATCGTTCGCGTCTACCAACCTGTATTTACATGAGCTGAAGCTCTGCCAAGGTGTTCCAAAGGCCACTGTACTAATCTCCTAGCCAACAAAACCCAGGCACTCCCCCGCGATGCACGAGAAATCTCTCTACCAGATACTCCTAGTACTCCTACGAGAAATCTCTCTACCCCAGGCCACTGTAGTAGAGCGGCGGTCGAACCCGCCCGGTGCAATTGTCGAGTCGCCAAGCAGTTGCCGCTCTTTCGCAAAGCTCGAGGTTCACCGAGTACTTTCTCCGACGTTGTTGTCCCGAACGTCATGTGGGTTACTGTACAGAGTGTGGGTAAACTCCGGGGGCTTCCTTGGGCGGTACAGAACAAAAGGACGTCTAGAACAACACAGCGAACGGCGAAGGACGGTTGCGAGTTTGTAAAGGCGGCAAGCTGGTTCTAGAGATTTCGGAAGGGTCGGTGAGTAAGGACGAGAAATAGGCCTCGTTCGGCACACACTACGCCGCATGCCAGCTGGATCGTACGGACGGAGTACGATCGAAGAACGGCGTGGTGCGTTTACCTCACGTGCATCACCGACGAATCGGAGGCGTCTACACATCTGAGGTTTCCTCACGTGGTCTAAAATTCTGTGCGATATTGAGTCAGTGGTGGAGAAGTGAGGCCTGAGCAAGTTGGGACTGCCTGCCGTTTTCCACCCAGCATTCCTCCCTCCACAATTTAGGAAGGAGAGGAGGAGAATGCTGTGAGGGAGGAAGAGCAACAATGTTCGTGCCCACATTTCAGCCAGGTCAAATCTCACAAGCACTCAAATTAAAGCCGGCAGCCCAAATTGCACAAGTTTTAAAAGGTTGACGCGAGGGGGTTTTTGTGGTGAGGGTTTTGGCGAAAGATTCCGATTTCGCTTTTTTTTTTTTTTTCGCCAAACCCAGCCCGCCCTCGTATTTCGCCCTGGGGGTTGGTTCAGTTCCCAAAAGTCCCAAATTGCAGGCACGCTTTTCTTCAAACCTTGAAAACACTAGTTCGTCAAGTTTTAAAAGCATGACCCGCGCGGCTCGCAATTTGGGAATCGGGCTTTAAATTGCACTCCGAAGTAGGAACAACACCCTGCCAAGTTGGGACATCGTCTGTAGTTTGACAATATCCATATGCGAGAGATCGTTTGCGCTTGGACTTGTACACCCTGGCGGGACTGGGTTCTCTAACCTAAATTCGGGCAACCAAGCAATGGTATATCGTGTCAAAATACTGTCCACGCTCCATGCCTTTGGATTCTCCTTTCTCTGAAATGCAACAAGCGGCTCGTCTCGGCCTCCCTGGACATGCGATGCGAGAAAGCATGGAACAGTAAACCGATTCATGATTCATGAACCAGGCTGGCAGGAAACTAGCCTCCACCGGACCTACCGGCTCGCAGACCTCGGTCGACACTTCCCTGTCAGACCATAACCGAACCTGCACCCACCTAGCGAGTCTCATGTCGTGAGGCGAAGTGCCATGGACGTCAACGTGCTTCAGCCGATTCGAGCACAAATGAATGTGGACCTCTTTGACTTGAGCTGTGGTGGAACAGCCCAAACCTGAGCTGGTGTGCCAGCGTTATCCCAATAGAAGATGGCTCGGCAGCACGTGGTACGCCACGAACTTGAAATCTCGCTATTAGCGGCAAGTCGTTTCATGAAACTATGATACTCATTTTCTGTAAATGCTTGTTATGTAAGACAAAAATTATGCCTTATTGAGAGTAGCAGAGCTGCCGCAAGCGCGAACGACCTGAAGGTCAACTCATTTCTGCAAGTCCACCGCCGCTCTGCACGCCCTTGGAATTGTTCCATCACCCATCCCGGTTTCCATTTCAACTCATTTTTACCAGAAGAGCATTTCCACTCCGGTCTGACCATTTTGTCAGTGGAGTCTTCTTCCCTCATCACCGAGTCTTCTCGAAGTAAGGGCCAAGTCTTGTCCCAGCGTCTTCTACCCTCGGCGGTGAGCATCACACTTGTCGCTTCCACAGGCTAGTTATGCATGCTGCCTGTCATTCCAAGCGGTTCTCGTTTCTCGCTCGCTCCTCTGTTGCGCCAGGCCGCAGGAACACAGGAGTCCATTCTCTGTAGGCGATTTCTTGACCTCGGTGAATTCCTGATCAACTGATTCGTTTATTCAGTCCACTATGAAGGTTTCGTCACGGCTGCGTTTGCCTTGCATCTGATGGCTGCTAGTCAGCGTTACGCGGATTCTCCTACCAGCGATTCGTCTAACTAAGACATGTCAATCGTACAGTAACTTTACGGGAGCCAGCATGAAGCGTTTGTGTAATGGTGCTCCCATCTTTGATCGAATTTACATTCAGCTGTGTCTTACGGTAACAGATTCTCATCATGTAGTGACAACTGGATAGCAGTCAGCATCTGTTCAGACGTCCAGTGATAGGGTTGCTGTTGAGATAAGCCATTTTTAAGCCGCGTCATTAGTCAGCATCTGTTGAGACACCAAGTAATAGGGTTGCTGTTGAGACGCTCGAGATATCGTCACGAATGAGCCAGTTTTTTAGCCGCCTCGAAAGTCGGCATCCGTTGAAACGCCCGGGATATCACGAGTCAGCCAAATATGTCGTCACGGTATGACTCAGAATCCTCTTGTTTTTATTCCTACGCGTTGTTTGACTCTGAAAAACTCGTTACAAACTCATCCTTATCTCGTCGTTCTTAATCGAAATCCTTACTTTTTATCATCTAATCGTAGTTTTTTACCATCTCCTGCTCTTCATCATTGCCGTTTCGTTTCAGCCACTCACTGCACGAGGCTCGAGTTCGCGTGAGAGCCATCGGTCGACTCGTGGACCAAGCGATGCTCTCTCACCAGCAAGCCATGCAGGCCCTTCAAACTGCCACTTTCCTCAAAGCTTCCGGAAGCTCGGAAGAAGATCGTTTAAAGCTTGAGAAACCTGAAGGGCTAGAGGGACCTGGGGATTTGGAAACTCTGCAGAGCCAAGATGGCTTGGCGAACCCCGCTTGCAATGGGAGAATGAAAGTCGAGGTTGCAAGGGATTGTAGCATTGGTGCGGAGGGTCCGAGCAGCGGGGGAAGGGATTGTGATGGCGGGAAGCCCGTAGCCTGGCTCTCAGATGTGGAAAAGCGTGCAATTTTGGATCAAGAGAAGACTGTTGGCGAAGTGCTTGTGAGTAATGGTTGTGAGTGGTGCTTGGGGGTAATGGTTGTGAGTGGTGCTGTGAGTGGTGCTTGGGAGAAATGGTTGTGAGTGGTGCTTTTGGGTGATGATTGTGAGCAATGTATGCGAGCAGTGCTTGTGCCTACTCCCCCTCCTTCCTCCTCCTTCCTTTCCAGATGTGCTTTATGTCCCTACTCCCCTGTCTTATATTCAAGTGGCAGTGTTCACAAGCAGCCGTCCACCCGTCCTACACCAGGCTGAGCTGATCAATTGGATGTACGATTCGTTTGAAACATTCTTGAAGACGAAATGAAAATATTTGAATGATGCATTTGTGGGTGCCTATCTGCTGCTGTGGCAGGCGAAGGTGGACGAACAGTTGCAGCAGCTGCATGGCATACTGAAGGTGAGATTGGATAATCTTTTGAGATGGTTCAGAAAGAATCTCACCTTCTTTCTTTTCCCTTGTCAACTGAAGCTAGACGAACAGTTGCAACATCTACATGACATCCTCAGGGTGGTTCGATAATAGTTTAGTTGAGTCGACTCAGCATACGCCTGGGCAGGCGAAGGTGGACGAACAGTTGCGCCAGCTGCATGAGATGCTAAAGGTGAGCCCATGCTTTTTAAGGTGACTTCTGAGGTGAAGGAAGAGTGATTTTGCGACGTCTCAAAAACACTCTTTCACGTTTTTAAAAGGTGACTTCTGAGGTGGCTCATAAGTCGTGTCCATGCTCTCTTTTGTTCCTCCCTGATCGCCCCACAGAGCATAACATGCTCCTGCAGCAAGGCGACCCATGCTTCTGTGACTTCTGAGGTGACTCATAAGTCATATCTAGGTTGTCTTGTGTTCCTCCCTCGTCCCTCACAGAGCATTACGTGCGTGTGCAGCAAGCAAGGCGAGCCATGCCCTTCAAAGTGACTTCTGAGGTGGCTTACAGGTCGCATCCATGCTCTCTTCTGTCCCTCCCTGGTCCCCCACAGAGCATAACGTGCGTGTGCAGCAAGGAAAGCAAGCCATGATTCTCAAAGTGACATTTGTGCTGACTCAGATGTCTCATCCATGCTCTCCTGTCCCTCACTCGTCCCCCCACAGAGCATAACATGCGTCTGCAACAAGGCGAGCAATACTCTTCCACCAAAGTGGTTCGAGGAAGGATCTGAGGACTTAAGGGGAGGAGGTGGAGGAGGGGGAGAAGCAGTTATTGCTGCTGCAGCAGCGGCTGCGGCTGCGGCAGTTGCGGGAAGCATTGGAAACAAAGTTCGGTTAGTGTTAGTGGAGGATGTTGTAACGAGGATGCAGGAGCAGCAGAGGCAGCAGGGGCAAGTGGAAGACCTGAGAGGTATAGAAGATAGAGTTACTCATACCAGCAGCCAGAGACACGAGCAGTTGCATGAACAGCAGCAAGGGCAGCAGCAAGAGCAGCAGGAAGAGCATATTGCAGCAGCAGAAGTGGGTCAATTGAAAGAGAAGCTGGGGAGTGCGAGTGGCGGCAGTTTGAAGCTAGAAGCCGAAGTGAACACGCAGAGAAGCCGGATAGACGAAAACGAGAAGGTAATTGTCGTTTATGCCCACTCCACTTTCCCCACTCACTCCCTTACTAATCCATCGAACCCTACTTTTTTCTTGAGGCACTTCAGAAACAAACCCCTCCCATTCCCTACCCGTCCCCCTTACCCACCCTGCTTCCTCCACCCATTCCCTGATCCATCGAGCCCTAGTTGTTGTAGTCTGTGTGTGATCTCTCAACTACTAAAATCGTTGCTCCTTTTACAGAATCTTTTGTGGCTGACTGGCACATGTTGTTCCTACTGTCTCAGTTCACGACTTCTCCATTTTAGTCTACTTGCCACCATCTCCCACCCACCACCTCCCACTCTCAACCTCCTTCCTCCCATCCACGATCTCCCTCTCTCACCACCTCCAAACCTCCCATCCCCTCCCCCCCCCTTCCCCCTCTTTACCACACGCCCTCTGCCCACACTTCTCTGCCAACAGGCAACAGCCCATCTGATGCTCCACTCATTCCCCATCGCCCTGCAACAAGCCTGCCTCGACTTCACACCCTACCCCACCGTTTCAGACCGGGACATATCCCTCTTCATCCGCGCCCTTTCCATTCTCCACCCTTCCATCCTCCCCACCATCACCAAACTCGTTTTCGGGCGGGAGGGTTCCAAATCAGCTTGCAAGGCCATCACCGGAACTTTTCTTCTGCCCGGGGCAGGAGTGCTTCAGTTTGACAGCCTGACCGAGAACCTAAAAGAGCTCCACCTGGTGGGATGCACAGGGATCACAGATGTCTCTCTTTGCCACCTGTCGTCGTTCCATTCGCTGCAGCGACTCAACTTCACCCTCTGTTCAGGCCTCTGCTCTCCTGCTATAGCCCATCTCTCCAAGTGCTGCTCGCTTAAGTCACTGTCAATCTCTCACACACATATAAGAGAGGAGAGTTTAGGTCACCTTTCTACAGTAACTACACTCCACGAGCTGTGGTTACAGGGATGCAGCATCAGCAGTATCGGCCTGCATCACCTGGGGAAAATAAAATCTATGGAAGTTCTCTCCCTGGGCGGCTGCGTGGGTTGCACAGTTCGTCATGACATGAGCGCCTCACTGTTGCACCTGTCTCACCTGCGTTCTCTTAAGGAGCTCTGGCTGTGGGGCTGCGATACAGTCACGTCAGATACAGTCAAACCCGCTGCTGCTGTTACATCAGCTACAACCACAACCGCTACAGCTGCTACGGCTCCTGCTACAGCTGCTGCTGCTGCTGCCACAGCTGGTACATCCTCATCTCGGCCCCCCTTCGCCAGCTACCGACCTACATCTCTGAAACAATATTTTTCCTCCTCCTCCCTTCCATCTGCCAAGCCTCTCCTTGCATATGATATTCCCCCTTCATCTGCCATCCCCCCTCCATCTGCCTCCTCCCTCTCATTTACCAAGTCTGCCTGTGTGAAACTCACAGACAAGGGCCTTTCGCTCCTAATGCACATAACTACACTCAAACGTCTACACCTCAAGGGATGCCAAGCCGTTACAGATGATGGGTTTGCGTTAATTGCCGGCTTGCGATTGGTGCTCCTCGAAGCAGACGCATGCCATGCCATCTCCGATAAAGGCATAGAGAAGCTGTCTCGTTATAAGCCTCCAGGGCAGGAGTATTACTACAGTGACCAATACCTGGCGCGGTCGTTACAGGAGCTACACCTGCGGGGTTGCTTCAGGTTAACGGACTATGCCTTAGGGTATGTAGTGCGGTTTACTGCGTTGCAAAAATTGACTCTAGATGATTGTTCAGGGTTCACGACACATGGAATCAGCCGGCTGAAGAGTCTCAAGAGGCTCAGCTTTCTTTGCTTGAAGACATCTTCTAGGATTAGCCAAGAGCAACTCCGCAAGTGCTTGAATTCAACAGTGAGTGTTTCGGATCCATGACCATGAGTGATGCATTATTATTTGCAGTGCAACGTATACTTCTTCACAGTTGACTTCATACGGTAATCTGCTTTCTAGACTGTCTGGCTCATTCTTCGCTCATTCCTCTCGTATTCTCATTTATCTTTCTCTTCTTTTATTTGTACTGTATGATACACCAAAACGCATCTCCTTCTACTATAACGACGTCCATCCACAGGAAGACACCGATAAAGCTCCATCTAGTCATGCCTGAAATACGCCAGTTGCCAAACAACCGTTCATGTGATAATGTGAATGACTTTCCAGTCACCACTGGAAATAGGGCAACACATATGAAGGCTCAGCACCCGTCTCTTCCAGAAGCTCTCTCAACTTCCCCACATCCACTCCTCCCCTTGCCTCCCTCTCTACTCTACTGTGCACATTTCCCTCTCCTCCCTCCTCCTCCCCTGGTGCTGCTGCTGCTGCTACTGGTGGTGGCACCCCCAGTTGATCTGCGTGTATCCCCCCTGCCACAAATACGGAGTCAATGCCGAAAGATGCCGCCCCTAGAATGTCGTGGTGTAGCGAGTCGCCGACCATGATTGTGCGGTCGAGAGGAAACCCGGTCAGCTGCTGGGCTGCCCGGAAAGAAATCTGGGAGGGACGAAGGAGCAAGCAGGAGCGAAAGTAAGGTTAAAAGAATTCGCGACTGAGGGATGGATTAAAGCAGGCATCTTCAGATGAAAAGGATTTGAGGCGTATTTTTAGGCGCCTCAAAACACACCTCAATTGATGTAGGAAAAGCAGGAAACCACTCTCAGGGTCATGTTTCCCCATGCACTTGACCTCTACGCTCATCAGCCCATACCTTTCAGAAAGCTTGACTACCTTTCACTACAACTCAAAGCATCTGGTTTCCCCATGCACTTGACTACACCCCCATCTGCTCATACTCCCGAGCCAGAGTCCCAGGCATGACCCTTAAAGCCCGAGCCTCCACGGTGACTATATCGGGGTTAGCCACGGCCATCGGGATCATCCTGCCTCTCCACCTCCCATCCAGGTGTAATCTGATTGAGTCAACTCAGATCTTCCTCCAGAACGATAAATATTCTTTGGGCTGTCCAGAAAGAAAGTGATTACTTACAGGATCCGGTTTCCCCATGCACTTGACCAGACCTCCCATGGCCTCGTACTCCCGAGCCAGAGTCCCAGGCATGACCCTTAAAGCCCGGGCCTCCACCGTGACTATATCAGGGTTTGCCACGACCATCGGGATCATCTTGCCTCTCTGCCGCCCCTCCTCTGCCGCCCGACTCATCAGCCCCGCCAGCTCGTCTAGCGAGGCCGGGCGGGCGGGTTTGTCTGCTTCTGCGACCCCCAATGCCTCTGTGCCGTGCGCGAGGATAAAATCCGCTTCTTCTGGTGAATCTACCACTTCGAGCCCCAACCCCTGTGGTGGTTGGTGGGGGTCGTGGTAGGGGGAGAGGGGGAAACAGATATGAAGGTGAATAGTGTGGGTGTGTGTGTGACACCCCCACTGCCTCTGTGCCGTGCGCGAGGATAAAATTCGCTTCTTCTGGTGTTTCCACCACTTGGAGTCCCAACCCCTGTAGATGAAGGGGTGGAGAGGAGGAGGGAGCAGGTTGATCACACATCATCAGCACCCGATTGAGTGAGTGAGAGGGTAAGCGAGTGAGGGAGTGAGTGGGGAAATTATGCACCGGCACCTGACTGAGTGAGAGAGTGGGAGATCACACTTCCACTGATGAGTGAGCAGGAAGATCCAACAATCAGACTTGTGTAAGCCCAAATACCCCCCACCCCCCCCCCCTCCCTTAGCCTCCCCCTCCCTCCCCTGCCTCCACCAGAACTAGGATAGGATTCATTCTGTGCTAGCTCCAGTTTATCTGTGTTTTGAGACGTCTCAAAACACTTCTTTTTACACGTAGCTCCAATTTATCTGTGTTTTGAGACGTCTCAAATCACTTCTTTTTACACGTAGCTCCAGTTTATCTGTGTTTTGAGACGTCTCAAAACACTTCTTTTTACACGTAGCTCCAGTTTATCTGTGTTTTGAGACGTCTCAAAACACTTCTTTTTATACATAGCTCCAGTTTATCTGTGTTTTGAGGCGTCTAAAAACACTTCTTTTTACACGTAGCTCCAGTTTATCTGTGTTTTGAGACGTCTAAAAACACTTCTTTTTACACGTAGCCCCAGTTTATCTGTGTTTTGAGACGTCTGAAAACACTTCTTTTTACACGTAGCTCCAGTTTATCTGTGTTTTGAGACGTCTAAAAACACTTCTTTTTACACTTAGCTCCAGTTTATCTGTGTTTTGAGACGTCTAAAAACACTTCTTTTTACACGTAGCTCCAGTTTATCTGTGTTTTGAGACGTCTCAAAACACTTCTTTTTATACATAGCTCCAGTTTATCTGTGTTTGGAGATGTCTAAAAACACTTCTTTTTACACGTAGCTCCAGTTTATCTGTGTTTTGAGACGTCTAAAAACACTTCTTTTTACACGTAGCCCCAGTTTATCTGTGTTTTGAGACGTCTAAAAACAATTCTTTTTACACGTAGCTCCAGTTTATCTGTGTTTTGAGACGTCTAAAAACACTTCTTTTTACACGTAGCTCCAGTTTATCTGTGTGGCCCTTCCTCACTCCCTACCCCCGGAGAATCCCTCCCGCCTTAGCAGCCCAAGTGAGGAATTCACCCCTGCAAGCACCTTAGTAGAGTCAAGAACCACGCCCCTGCCCCTGCCTCTTAGGATCAGAACCATTCTCATTCCGAGCCATTCCAGTGCACGCCTGTAGCCCTACCTCCAGGCAAGTCGCCCCCCCTGGCAGTCCAGGTGGGATGCTCCGATGCGGGCACTTGGATAGTACGAGGTCTAGGAATTTCCTCCTCGGATCGCAACAATCCTCAAAGTGCATGCACCACATTCCGAGACACTCCAGTGCACGCCTGTAGTCCTACCTCTAGCGAAACAACTTCTGAGGCGCCTCAAAAGGCATTCCGAGACAGTCCAGTCCATGCCTATAGCCCTACCTCCAGCGAAACAGCCCCTCTGGCAGCCCATGTGAAGTGCAGACACTTTGATCCGAGCGTCTGGAAAAAAGGGTCGAGGGAGCGACTGGAAGAGTGGCGGAAGGAGAGGAGAGAGGAGGGAGAAGGAGGAGAAAGTGGGTGGAAAGAGAGGGAGGAAAAACGGGGTGAGGGAAAATGCAGCTTTCCTATCAGTCCAGGTGAAGTCCAGGCACTTGAATCCGAGAGTCTTGAAGAGGGTTGAGGGAGCGACTGGAAGGCGGGGGGGAAGAGATGCGGGGCGGGAAGGAATAGAAGGGGAGGAGAAAGCTGGAGTAACGAGAGGGAAGAAAAAGAGGATGAGGGGAAATGCAGTTCCTCTGGCAGGCCATGTGAAGTGCAAGCACTTTGATGTGAGAGTCTGGAAAAAGGGGTCAACGGAGGGACTGGAGGGTGGGGGATGAGAGGAGAAGGGAGAGGAAATATGGACAGGGAAGGGAAAGAGACGGAAAATGCACCTCCGTGCAATGTCGCATCAGACAAGATCCCAAACCAGTGGGTCCATCTGTTCCTCTTTCTAATAATTTTGAGAAGTGAAACAGAGTGAAAACGTTTCTGTCATTTGGTCAAACCTTACGTGGTTTTTCTTCCGCCATCTTAACGTGGGGGGTGTGACCGGGCCACCCACTCACTCCCTCACTCCTGTGTGATCTCCCTCCCTCACTCACTCACTCTCTCACTCACTCACTCACTCCATCAAGTGCCGGTGTGTAATCTCCCCACTCGTCACGATTCCACAGAAGAGCGACGAGTCAAAACCCAGAGATGGAAGCTTCTGGGAAGCCACCTCCACTCTCCGGGACGAGTTGCTGAGAAGCACCACCTTGGCGCCAGACGCTGCCAGCTGGCGCACTGCGATTGGCCAGGTGGGGATAGTGATTAGAGATTAGTGAATGGTTGTCTGTGTGGTCTGAGGGAGAGAAGTATTCTTGTTGAACTTGCAATAATTCTCTAAATGGATGCGATTGGCCAGGTGGGGTTGAACTTGCAATAATTCTCTAAATGGATGCAAGAAAAAGGGAATTTGGAGGGAGGGGCGTGCAAGGTAGGGAGAGGAGGGAACGCACCACCACCCAATACTCGTTACAGGATACCCCTTACCCCGGTAGCTGAGAGCAAACGAAACGGGTCATGATGAGTAGTGAGAGCCACTCACATGCTTCGATCGCCTGGGGATACGCCTTGTTGCCGTCGTGCAACACCCCAAACTGGTCCAGAATCCACGCCTAGGGGATGGGGCAGCAGAGGGGAGAGGGAAGGAAGGGGGAGGAGGAGGGCGCGTGGAAAAGGGGGTGAAAGGGAAGGAGGGCAGTGGCGAAAGGGGGGTGCCTAATCAGAGAAACAGAGGAGTAGTGGAATAGAGTGGGGATAGGCCTTCTTGCCGTCACACATCACGCTAAACTGGTCCAGAATCCATGCACTGGGGAAAGGAAAGTGGCAGGAGGAGGAAATGGAGGAAGGCGCAGGGGGGAGGTGGGGAGTTGACTTTTGAGTCGACTCACAAGTCAGCGCGGAAAGGTGGCCTTCAAGCAATCTCGAAGCATCCGAAACTGTTTTAGAATGCATGCCATATGACCATGATGCTGCAGGGTATTTTTGAGAATTCTCAAAAATACCCTGCAGCATCCAAAACTGGTTTATAATGCATGCCATATGACCAGTCCAAGTCCTTCAAGACAAGAGCCTCAAGCTTCAGCCTTCTGGCTGTCCGTACCTCGTACTTCCCCGTTTCAACGAGCTCCTTCAGCCCGGAAATTTGAGCGGGTACGTTTTGCGCGGGTAAATTACCCTCGCAATTCGCTTCTGCAGTGGTTGCCGTGTGTGCAGCCGAAGCCATGGCTGCCGTTCGGCGACGGGTAACTGTGTTATTAGTTGGGCGAATTGATCTGTGGGTAACTGTGGAAGTAGTACCCGGATAACTGGTTTTGCGGGAAACTACTACGAGACGTGTCCTTGTTAGAGCGGGTAAGCTTGACGATAACAACGGAGATGGAGTGTAGAGCGAAATGGCGCTTCGAGTCGGGAGCGGTAATAAAGAGGACATTGCTCCACGCGCTCGGGAAATGCGGGGAGGAACTACGGGCGAATCGCGCCTACAGCAATCGCTGGTTGCATCAGAAAAGCGGAATGCACGGAGCAAGCCGACGGCTCGGCTCACAGGCGGAGGAAAGAAAATGCAGAGCTGGGGGGTAACTGGCAGGTTCGCTGCACCCGTGTCTGGTTCGAGTGGTTGCAGTGTTCGTCCAAGAGAGACCGAAAGGAGCGAAATTTCGCGCTGTTTCGCAGTTGCTTTCGGCATCCCAGTCAAGATTCGCTCACCAATCAATTTGTCGTCGCACAGTTTTCGAGTGATATGATGGAGCCGACGAGCCCACTGCGCGATGGTAACCGGGCTCGCGACAAACTCAATTGTTGACTCAGTGGTAACGGAACAGGCTTTCAATGACACATGACCGTTCGGGGGTGTACAACGCCCTAGAAACGTGTTCTTCTAAAGTCTAAATCAGAATGCGCTGTGGAGTATAATCCAGGTTTTGAGACGCGACGCGATCTGCCTAATCGAAGCCGCCTCCCTTTCCCTCTGTTATGTCGAGTCGCAGATTCCTCCTTCCCTGATACCACGGCGACTTCTCCTCCGTCTCACGCCGCGAGTAGTTGAAATTTTTGCGCGCCATGCCTGTATAATCTGAACCAGGATAGTCGCCTTCGACGGCTTTGGACGCCTTTGAACAGCATACCTACGGTAGAGAGGCAGCCCGCTGTGAGCGGAACCAGGCATGTTCGACTCGAAATGCACGTTTGTAGAACCAATGGCGGTTGTAAGAGCGGCTCGCGTAGGCTCGTTGCTCTTCTCGTCGTGTCGGGCGACCACCTCCTCCCACGTCCACCGTCCTAATTCGGTTCGGATTCGAACCTTCATCCGTGCAGGCTCGGAAGCTACAGCCAAACCATCCGCGAGCCCCACACCTCGTCCGAGCCTGGTGTCCAATAAAACGAAGGATCCCGCCTCGGCTGTACCAAATAATTCGGCTCGAGGCGTCTCACCGAAGCTTCCTGCCGAACCTGGGAATACGTCAGGCAGATGTGGTTCGGACGGTCCAGCGATCGAGGTGGTATTTGAAGATGACGCTCTAATCGCAGTCAACAAACCGCCGGGAATCATGGTACGTTAGTCCAATCCAAGCTGTGGAAGATCGAATTAATTGGCCATTTATTGAAGTCATGGTAAGGTAAGCTGTGGTATCTGAAGATGAAGGGAGGAGGGAGGAGCGAGTGCTGGGAGCCTGTTGCTCACTGTTTGCAACCGTTTTCCCCCTTTTAAAGTACATGATGCTGAAGGGTATTTTTGAGAATTCTCAAAAATACCCTTTATTAAAGTAGCCCTGGCCCTTGGGAGAACCCTCTTTGGGAAAAACCCTCCGGGCCATACCAGTCTGCACTTGCAGCAATCACACCCGCCCCGTTTCCCATTCTTCCCCCCTCTCCCCGCAGGTGCACTCGTCTCGCGAAGCCACAAGGGAGGAGCGAGCGCAGGGAGCCTTTGTGAAGGATATGGTGGAGCGACAGCTGGGGTTAGGTACGTGGGTGGGTGAATGACATGAAGGATGGTATTGGAAAGGAAAATGGGACTGGGGATGGTGAGAGATGACTGATGGGTTGACTACATGCATTTAAGGGAGGAGCGAGCGCAGGGAGCCTTTGTGAAGGATATGGTGGAGCGACAGCTGGGCTGGTTATGTGAGAGGGTGAGCGATGGGCGGGTATGGAAAGAAAGCTAGAGTTTCAGGTTTAGGGCTAGGGCAGTATGATTTTTTTTAGAATTCTCAAAAAACATACGCTAGGGCAGTATGAAGGGAAGCTGGGGCTGGTTACAGTGAGAGGAACAGGTAGGTAGGAACTAACGTTGACTACCCACCCCCTTCATTGTCCCTCTCTTCTCTTCCCTCTCTTGTCTTCCTTCACTTCCTCTCTTCTCTTCCTCCCTCTTCCCCCGCTTCACCCTGCCAGGCCAACTGGCAAGCGGAGTGCTCGTGTTTGGGCAGACGGCAGAGGCAGCACTGGTGCCACGTGAAAAAAGGAGTGTTTTGAGACGTCTCAAAACACTCCTTTTTTCAGACGGCAGAGGCAGCACTGGTGCCTCCTTCCCCACTTTCATCCCCCCTCTTCTGTCTCGTCACCCTCCCTCCCCTCCATGCGCCACAGGCCACCCTCTCTTCCCAGCACACAGAATCGACAGACCAGCCAGTGGGGTGCTCGTGTTTCGGCGGACAGCAGAGAATATATTAATGCTCTTTTCCCCTCTCAATCCCTGCCTTCCCCCTCTTCCTTCTCGTCCTTTTCTTCCACTACCCCCCTCCATGCGTCACAGACAGCCCTCTCTTCCCAGCGCATAGGAACGACAGACCAGCCAGTGGGGTGCTCGTGTTTGGGCGGGCAGCACTGTTGCCTCCCTTCCCCAACTCCCTTCCCCCTTTTCTGTCTCATCCTTCTTTTCCATCGCTCCCCGCATGCTCCCCCTTTCCCCCCGTCACAGGCCGCCCTCTCTTCCCAGCGCATAGGATCGACCGGCCCGCCAGTGGGGTGCTCGTGTTCGGGCGGACAGCAGAGGCGTGTAGGAGAGTGCGAGCAGCCATGGCTCACCCTTCAGCCATCAAGGAGTGAGTGGGGGTGGTGGGGCAGGCGAGAGTTGGTTTTTGAGAATTCTCAAAAGCCATGGCTCACCCCTTCAGCCATCAAGGAGTGAGTGGTGGGTGGTGGGGCGGGCGAGAGGGGAAGAGGTTGTTGAGAGTCCAAGAAGGGGTGAGCGCAATGCCGTGGCGTACCCTCATGGTACCTCTCCCTCTCCCTTCCAGGTACCTCTCATCTCATGGCGTACCCTCATGGTACACTCAAGCCGCCCCTCTCCCAGTACAAAAAGCTCCTCTCCCCTTTCCCCCATCCCTCCACATTCACCCCAGGTACCTGGTGCTTGTGCGAGGCTCCCCTCCCCACACCTTCACGTGTGACAAGCCGCTCAAGGACGACCGGGGTGCACTCAAGCCGCCCTTCTCCCACTTCAGAAAGCTCCTCCCTCCCTCTGACCATCTCTCCCCATTCCCCTCATTCCCTCTCAGGTACCTGGTTCTCGTGCGGGGCTGCCCTCCTGATGAGTTCACATGTGACAAGCCAAGCCGCTCAAGGACGACCGGGGTGCTCTCAAGCCTTCATATGTGTCCCATCCCCCTCTTCTCTCTCCCAATCCCTCTGATCTCATCCCGTCCTCTCTCCTCCCCCCTACCTAATTCCGCCCAGATACCTAGTCCTTGTGCGAGGCTCCCCTCCTGATGAATTCACGTGTGACAAGCCGCTCAAGGCTCCCCTCCCCGTATTACTCCTCTCCCAGGTACCTAGTCCTTGTGCGAGGCTCCCCCCCTAACGAGTTCACGTGTGACAAGCCATTGAAGGACGACCGGGACGCACTCAAGCCCGCCCTCTCCCACTTCAGAAGGCTCCTGGAAATTCCGCAGCACCGCTGCGCGCTGCTGTCAGTGCGAATATCCACGGGCCGCCGGCACCAGATTCGGCGGCACCTGAACCACCTCGCCTTTCAAGTGAGTTTCCAGTGATGCATGCACGTATGCAAACACCTATGTGCACGCTTTGGACCCCCCCATGACCGCTGGACTCCGCGGTCCGTGTGATTATATATGGGTCGCCCGCACCAGATGTGGCGGCGCCTCAACTACCTCGCCTTCCAAGTGGGTTTCAAGTGATGCAACCATGTGTACCCACGCATGGAAACACCTAGGTGCATGCTTTGGATCCCCACCCATTACGAATACATGTGGGTCGCCCGCACCAGATGCGGCGGCACCTCAACTACCTTGCCTTCCAAGTGAATGGTTCTGACATGCATACATGCGTACATGCATACATGCATACATGCGTACATGCATACATGCGTACATGCATACATGCGTACATGCATACATGCGTACATGCATACATGCGTACATGCATACATGCGTACATGCGTACATGCGTACATGCATACATGCGTACATGCGTACATGCGTACATGCATACATGCGTACATGCGTACATGCGTACATGCACACATGCACACATGCGTACATGCACACATGCGTACATGCACACATGCGTGCATGCACTCATGCGTGCATGCATACATGCGTGCATGCATACATGCGTACATGCGTACATGCATACATGCGTACATGCATACATGCGTACATGCATACATGCTTACATGCGTACATGCATACATGCGTGCATGCGTACATGCGTACATGCGTACATGCATACATGCATACATGCGTACATGCATACATGCTTGCATGCGTACATGCGTACATGCGTACATGCAGACATGCGTACATGCACTCATGCGTACATGCATACATGCGTACATGCATACATGCGTGCATGCATACATGCGTGCATGCATACATGCGTACATGCGTACATGCGTACATGCGTACATGCGTACATGCGTACATGCGTACATGCATACATGCATACATGCGTACATGCATACATGCATACATGCGTAGATGCATACATGCGTACATGCGTACATGCATACATGCGTACATGCGTACATGCGTACATGCGTACATGCATACATGCCTACATGCGTACATGCATACATGCTTACATGCGTACATGCATACATGCTTACATGCGTACATGCATACATGCGTACATGCATACATGCGTACATGCATACATGCGTACATGCGTACATGCGTACATGCGTACATGCGTACATGCGTACATGCGTACATGCGTACATGCGTACATGCGTACATGCGTACATGCGTACATGCGTACATGCATACATGCGTGCATGCATACATGCGTGCATGCATACATGCGTACATGCATACATGCGTACATGCACTCATGCGTGCATGCACTCATGCGTACATGCATACATGCGTGCATGCATACATGCGTACATGCGTACATGCATACATGCTTACATGCGTATATGCGTGCATGCATACATGCATACATGCATACATGCATACATGCATACATGCATACATGCATACATGCTTACATGCGTACACGCGTACATGCGTACATGCATACATGCGTACATGCATACATGCGTACATGCACTCATGCGTACATGCATACATGCGTGCATGCATACATGCGTACATGCGTACATGCATACATGCATACATGCGTACATGCGTACATGCTTACATGCGTACATGCGTACATGCGTACATGCATACATGCGTAAATGCGTACATGCGTACATGCGTACATGCATACATGCATACATGCGTACATGCATACATGCTTACATGCGTACATGCGTACATGCATACATGCGTACATGCGTACATGCATACATGCGTACATGCATACATGCGTACATGCGTAAATGCATACATGCATGCATGCTTTCTGCTTCCCCATTTCCCTCCCACCTCCCCCACACTCCCAGGTCATAGGAGACTCAGTACACGGCAAGGGTCGCACCAACGCTCATTTCTGCACCAACCACTACCTGCCGCCCTCCCGCCTCTTCTTCCATGCTACCCACCTGCTGCTGCCGCTGCTCACCCTTCAAGCTGAATCCCCTTCCCTCCCCACCAATCCCACAATCCCAGGTCATAGGCGACTCGGTGCACGGCAAGGGCCGCATCAACGCCCACTTCCGCCAGAACCACCACCTGCCGCCCTCCCGCCTCTTCCTCCATGCTGCCCGCCTGCTGCTGCCGCTGCACGCGCATGCACCTGAAGCAGAGCCTCTCCCATTGCTCACACCTGACGGCAGATTCATAGATGCACCTGAAGAGGAATCTTCACACCCTTTAAACACACCTGAAAGAGGTTTTCCCCTCTTGCATGCCCTTGAAGGCGAGTTTTCCTACCTCCATACACTTCCGGTAGTATCTACTCTGGAGAGTAGTGTGGGGAGGGCAGAGGGACTGCTTGAGATTGTTGCTCCATTACCAGATGACCTGATTCAGGTGTTGCTCTCTCTTGGCCTAGACACGGATACGATTATTAGTCTTAATCAATTTAATTTAGCTCCTGAGACTCATCTAGATCGTGTAAGAGGAGTGTGAGACTTAGTGTGTTTGAGCGTTACTATAGGAATACCTCATCCTCATTCAACTGGTTGAATTTACAATGCTGTGCGGAGGAGGCTGCGAGCTTTCACTGATTGGATGCCAATGAATTTACATAACGTAGCTGCGGTGGAAACAGAACCTGCTGCTGCTCCATAGACAATTGTGAAGACCTCTTTAAAGGGGATACTAAGCCCCCACTCACAGATCCATTCCGCCCAATTCTTGCCTTCTCCCCTGCTGCTGCCTTCTCCACTGGTGCTGCTGACGTGGATGGTGCTGCTGGTGTGGAACCAGGAGCAGGTGATGACATGGCGCGAACGCGTGTCGAGCGTCTAAGATTACCCGAAGCACCAATAACCCCACTGTCAGCACCAGCAGCACCGTTTGCAACAGCAGAACCAACAGTGGGAACTGAAGGGGGCGGAGAGGAGGAAAAGGCAGCAGCTGCTGCAAGCTGGCGAGTGAGAGCCCTCGCCCCTGAGAGGAGGGCGGATCTGAATAGAAGTGGGAGAGAAGCGGGGAAGAGACAAAATAGAATGAGGGTGGGTAGGTGGAAAGGTGGAAGAAGCAGCAGCTGCTGCAAGCTGGCGAGTGAGAGCCCTGGCTCCTGAGAGAAGGGCGGATCTGACGAAAGAGGGAGCGAAGGAGGGAAGAGACAAAATTGAATGTGAGAGTCCAGCAACCCGTTCATTTTTCTTTTTACCTTGGTGCATTCTTGGCATCATAATCTTCGCGCCTAGGAGATTCCTTGCGTGATTTTCATCTGCACCTGAGTATTAAGTACCATGCTTGCTCTACCTGATGCTCGGTCAGCTGGGCTGGGCGTGCCATGAAACGAGGTGACATATGTCACACCGAAGCTGACACTCACACGCCATACCTCATGCTGTCTTGCTGTGCGGTCAGCTGGGCGTGCAGACGCTTTTCACACGGAAAGCGAGGGTCCAGGGAGCTCAGCAGGGCGTCAAACTGTGTTGAAGGGCGGGGGAGAGAGAGTGGAGATTAGGGGATGAGCTGTGCGGTGCTGTGTGGTGCTGTGCGGTCAGCTGGGCATGGAGGCGCTTTTCACACGGAAAGCGAGGGTCCAGGGAGCTCAGCAGGGCGTCAAACTGTGTTGAAGGGCGGGGGAGAGAGAGTGGAGATTAGGGGATGACCTGTGCGGTGCTGTGTGGTGCTGTGCGGTCAGCTGGGCATGGAGGCGCTTTTCACACGGAAAGCGAGGGTCCAGGGAGCTCAGCAGGGCGTCAAACTGTGTTGAAGGGCGGGAAAAAGGGGAAGAAGCAGGGGGTGAGGAAGGGGGGGCGTGGGGGGGTTTGGGGGGGTTGAGGTGACGGGAATTCCTCAGTTGACTCATAAGCAACATAATATAATATCTGTCGTGCAAGGTGCTGTTCAGTGCTGTGCAGGGCCATGCAGTGCTTTAATTTGCCTCTCTCACCTTTTTGGCGGTGCTGCCGTATCCTCATGGCCTCGCCCCTTCCTTTTGCCCAGTGCAGTGCTATGTGGTGTTATTCAGTGCTATTCGGTGCTATCCGGTGCTATTCGGTGCTATTCGGTGCTATTCGGTGCTATTCGGTGCTGTGCACATTCTTCTACCCCCTTCACACATCATCAACACTGCTGCAGTAACCGCATCGTCTCCCCCCATCCCCCTCCACAAACACCCTCTCCTCCCTCCCAAACCACCAGTACTGCCAGCCCTCCCTGTCGCAACCCACAGGAACTGCATGAGCCGCCTCTTGCAATGCGGTGGAGTGAGGTGCTGTGCGTTGCTGTACACTTTCCTACCCCCGTGCTCACCTCATCAACACTGCTGTAGTATCCCCATCGCCTCCCCTCCTCCCCCTCCACAAACAATCTTGCCTCCCGTCCAAACCACCAGTACTGCCTGCCCGCTCGGTCGCACCCCACCGGCAGAGCTCTAGCTAATGCTTTCTCTGCTTCTTTATCTAGGTCCCGACACTGGTGGGAAACAGGGAGGAGGGACAGGCAGGGCAGCAGAGAGAGAGAGGGGTCTATGCGAGTACTGCCTTGCCTCCCGGTCACACCCCATCGGCACAGCTCGAGCCGATGCTCTCTTTTGAGTTGACTCAAAATGACTTCTGACTTTTGAGTCAACTCAAAAGAGAGAGGGGTCTATGCGAGTGCTGCCTTGCCTTCCCTCCTGGTCACACCCCATTGGCACAGCTCAAGCCAATACCCTCTCTGCCTCTTTATCAAGGTCCCAACACTGGTGGGGCGAGCGGAGGAAGGGAAAGAGAGGGGAGCAGTGAGGGGTTGGGAGCCAGTACCACCTGCCCTCCCAATCACACCCCACCGGCACCGCTCGAACCGACGCTTTCTCTGCTTCTTTATCTACGTCCCGACACTGGTGGGGGAAGAGTGGGAGCGGGGAGAGGGAGAGGAGCAGTGAAGGAGTCGACCATGCGTTGGGCACCTGTACTGCCTGCCTGCGCTGCAACACATACCTTCTTTTGCAGTTGCTGCCTCTCCGCTGCCTCCTCCTCCTCCTCTCGCTTCCACCTCCTCTCCTTCTCCTCCCACTGCCGCTCCCACTCTCGCCTCTCTCCCTCATCCCCCTCTCCCTCCTCCCTCTCTCCCTCATCTCCCTCTCCCTCCTCCCTCTCTCCCTCCTCGCTCCCACCCTCGCTCCTTAACCTTCCTTTTCCTCCACTCGTTCCTCTTTTCCTTCCCCTGGTATGCATACCCATTCCTCCATCCCCTCCTCCGCCCTCCCTTTTTCCCTCCTCACTCCCCTCCTCTCTCACCTCCTCCTTCCCCTCATCCCTCTCCTCCTCCCTCGCCTCCTCCCCCTCTTCCTCCCTCCTCTCCTTCCTCCCATCCTCCCCTTCCCCCTCCTTCAAATCACCGGACAGCCCTCCTACAGACTCTCTTCTGCAAGTGCCACGTGTCCTCCTGCTACTGGTGGGCCACGACAGCCCCCGCTTCCTGCCCCTCCCAGCAGCCAATGAGGTAGCAGATGGGGATTCTGATCCCATGGCTGAAGCAGGTGTAGCATCAGCGGCAGCTGCAACAGTTGTAGCACCATCAGTAGCAGTTGTAGCACCATCCATCACAACTGTAGCAGCTGCATTTCCATCCATGTTATGTGTAGCAGCATTAGCAGCAACCACAGTATCAGTGGCAATTGTAGCAACTGCAACCCCATCCATACTCTCTAAAGCAGCATTAGTGGCAGCTGTGGCAGCTGCAGCAACCGCAACCCCGTCAATATTCCCCGTAGCATCAGAGGCAGCTGCAGCAGCTGTGTTTCCATCAATAGCCACTGTAGCAGGATCAGAGACAGCGGTAACAAGTGTAGCACTTGCGACCCCAGCAGTACCACCACCGCCAGTAATGGATGGCTCATCAACAATATTGGTGGACTCATTCTCAGCGGCGCGATCAGCACCGGCACTACCAGCAGCAGCAGCAGCAGCAGCAGCCCCAGCAATACCTTTGCTGGATTGCTCATCCTTGCCCCGACAATCTTCAAGGGAAGACTGAACGCAGGGAGAGACGCCACTGGGACTGACACTCGTATCGACACATGTTTCGACACCAGTGTCGACACTGGTGTTGATCGTTACACCAGCATTACCGCCCGCACCAGCATCAACACTTATACACATTGTGAAACCTCCTGAAGATTCCACTTTACATGGAAGCTTATCAGCAAAGCTACTGCGGGATCTCTGCTGCCTCCCTCCCCACCTCCACCTCCTCTCCATCTCCTCCCTGCACACCCTCTCCTCCTCTTCCCTCCTCGCCCTCTCCTCCCTTTCCTTTCTCTCCTTTTCCCTCCCTTCTCTCTCCCTCTTTCTCACTCTCTCCCGCAACGCTGCTTTCTCTCTGCACGCCCGTTCCTCCTCCACCAAAACTTTCTTCTGCCCGGCCACCTCGTCCATAGCGGCAAGCTTTTTTTCAACAGCTGCCCGGAGAATGTCCCCCTCTAGTGCAGCGTTCACCAGCTCCCGAAGCAACAGCAGCTTTTCTCCGGCGCCGAGCCTAGAATAGTGGTTCGGCAAAATGCTGAATGGAAGAGGAGACGGACCTGAAGTGTTTCTGCGATATATCCTGCTAGAAGCAGCAGTAGCAGCAACCACAGCAGCAGCAGCATCACCACCACCAACACCACCATCATCAGAAGTAGCACCAGAACCACCATCAGAACCAGCAGCATCATCAGCACCAGCATCATTACAGCTCCTGTCACCACGGCCCAAGCACTCAGCCATGCTCAGCAGCTTCCCACCGTCGGATGCACAGGCCTCCAAGACCTGTGAACCGTCGGATCGACGTGCCTGCGATGGATGCACGCCATTGAGAATCAGCCTACGTGGCTGTAGGCTCCCACTGACGCTTCCACGCGCTGAGGAGCGGCTGATAGAGGCTTCAAAGCGGTCCTGAAATGGGGCTTGCACTGCAGGGGGACTGTTGGTTGAGTCCTTAAAGCAGCTCTGGGACGCCTGGGAATGCAGTCTGGTGCGAATTGAAGGGGTGTTGGCCCATGCTGATATGTCCTCCAGCCATGTGTGAGGCGATACCTGACAGGGGGGGAGTGTGGGAAGAGTTTGACTCAAGTCAACACTTGGCCGCCGTGTTGGCCCATGCTGATATGTCCTCCAGCCATGTGTGAGGCGATACCTGACAGGGGGGGAGTGTGGGAAGAGTTTGACTCAAGTCAACACTTGGCCGCCGTGTTGGCCCATGCTGATATGTCCTCCAGCCATGTGTGAGGCGATACCTGACAGGGGGGGAGTGTGGGAAGAGTTTGACTCAAGTCAACACTTGGCCACCGTGTTGGCCCATGCTGATATGTCCTCCAGCCATGTGTGAGGCGATACCTGACAGGGGGGGAGTGTGGGAAGAGTTTGACTCAAGTCAACACTTGGCCGCCGTGTTGGCCCATGCTGATATGTCCTCCAGCCATGTGTGAGGCGATACCTGACAGGGGGGGAGTGTGGGAAGAGTTTGACTCAAGTCAACACTTG